GATTTCGGTTTGGCCAGGCTTCTGGATCACGACAAGAGCCCCGTTTCGACCCTCACAGCTGGAACGATGGGGTACCTGGCACCCGAGTATCTTCAGTATGGGACAGCAACCGAAAAGACTGATGTCTTCAGCTATGGTGTGGTTATACTGGAAGTGGCTTGCGGGAGGAGGCCTATCGAGAGGGAAGGAGAAGGCGAGAAAATGGCGAATTTGGTAGATTGGGTTTGGCGGCTCCACTCTCAAGGAAGGATAATCGAAGCAGCAGACAAAAGGCTCGGGGGGGAGTTCAGAGAGGAGGAAATGAGGAAACTGCTTCTTGTAGGCCTAAGCTGTGCAAATCCTGATAGCAATGAAAGGCCTTCCATGAGAAGAGTTCTTCAGATACTTAGCAATGAAGCTGATGCTGTGGATGTTCCAAGACTAAAGCCGACTCTCACTTTCTCCAATAGTCTGCCACTTAGCATCGACGACATCTTTTCAGACAGCGAAGATTGCAGGGATCATGGAAGCCTCATAGAGATCAAACTCAATGAAGATACAGACTAGGTTTCCTTAAATTTGATGCCTAAGTGGCTATGTTTCCTTAATTCATTGTTATTCTTTTTCTGCATTCACAGATTGTAAGATGAGATGATATAAGCTTAGAGCCTGAGTTCAAAGCCATTCCATTGAACTCTTATGGTCTTTTGCATTTTTTTTAACACTTCAAATCTGTATCAGATTCACATCACAATAATCCCACTAACTCATCTGTTCTTGTCTCGTGCTGCTATGGAGATCTATGGTTGTTTTACCAGTAAAAAACATTGTTTCTTGATGATACAAATAGGTTATATCTCAGAAAAATTCATAAAATAATGATTGAATTACAAATGAAATGATGAGAACGACAACGAATATAAACACTCGACTAGGAATTCTGCTTTTGATAAGATACTCCAATGCTGATTGCAGAAGCAGTCAGAAAACAGCAATCTGGTTTTGTTGATGTGCAAAGTTCTGCTGTTAAGGATGTCTTGTAAAGTCATAGCGATTCGATTGCATCTTCTGTGTTAAGGAATGAAACCAATCAAATCTTTAAACTTTTGATGTTTTCTTAAATGCATTCACTGTTCTTGAATTTTCTTTATACAATAATCATTTTTTTTTTGCCTCCTTGAGGAAAGAAGAGGGAGCTTATGACAGATAGCAGAGAGAGCACATTCCATGAAAAGCAAACACCATTTTTGCTGATTAAGGATTGTGCTCTCTCTCTTCTGTCAACACTTTTCTCCTTAACATCCTCAAAGAGCCAAAGTAATTAGTGCCACTCCTGCAAAAGATACCATAATCATTAAACCATGATAATTTGCAAAAAAGGATATATCAGATCGAAAAGAAAGACTCTCAAGAAAACACCTTTAGCTTGAATCAGATTAACAGAAACTATGGATAATCTTGTCTGCAATGAGTATCAGAGAAAAGGGGGTGTACAGAAATCGACTCGAGTGATCAAGAAAAACGATGATGATGATTATCTTCCACAACATGAACCTCGTACCCTCATAGCCACCACCGAGGATTGAGCATCCTGAGAAGAACAAAAACTAACCAGGAGTTTAAGAGGATGAGGGAGACACATAGAAGATGAATTACATAGTGGACAATTTATAGAGGGGAAGAGAGGGGTTAAACCTGCAAGGCATTTTCATGGTCTGAAAGGAGGTGTAACATATGGAGAATAAATGGGCAGGTGAATTTAATACCATGTTGGCTCAACTTTGGCAGTTTTGTTGGATTCAGAAACTCTGCTAAAAACATATAGCTTATCTGAAATGTTAAAATCAAAATAAAAGAACAAGAAATTAAAGTCTGTCACTTTGGAAACATTTGAAGGAGCACTGTGGAGATGAACCATGTAAGCCAACAGTACAGTGTCATGCTTGGCTACTTCTAGTGCCCAGATAATGACCCCATAACAAGATAATGTTTTGTCATTCTCATATTGATTATTAGTATACATTGGTCCTCTCCACCTCAGGGTGTCTGTGTAAATTTGAACCTTCAAACCCTTATAAACGTCTAATTTTAATTCATACAAATTAAAAAGAGTTAATTACCGATTTGGTCCCTCAACTATGAGGATTTCACCAATCTGGTCTTCGACTTTCAAAATTCCTCAATTTAGTCCCCAATTAGGTTTTTTTTATTATTATCCGAAATGGTCATAACCGTTAGACATTCGTTAAATCGGGGCCAAATTGATAATTTCGCTATAGTCAAGGGACTATTTCGATCATCACATGCACTATTTTATTCGAAAGTTAATTACCGAAATGGTCCCTTGACTATAGCAAAATTATCGATTTGGTCCCGAGTTAATGGACGTCTAACAGTTAGGACCATTTCAGGTTTTAAAAAAAAAACATAGTCAGGGACTAAATTGATAAATTTTGAAAGTCAAAGACCAGATTGGTGAAATCCTCATAGTCGAGGGACCAAATCGATAATTAACTCAATTAAAAATCATGATTTGAAGACTTTACGACATGAGCTGACTCAAGACGGGGTAGATGGACCATGGGCTTGGCCCATGAAGGAGAAGTCTAGTCCAAAATAGTCCGTTGGTAGCTTTCAAGATATTCAAACTTGAAACCTTGTGGTTATCAAGTTAACAGTCTGATCAACTTGAACGGATTGTCCCGTAATATATAAATATACTGTGTTATACATGATACTAAACCTTTTGAAAAGTTTTATCCACTTGCTAGAAGTGGTGATTATTTAAGGTGAAACATGTTGTAGGCTTAGTGGCAAGGAATTGAGACAGAAGATGTAGACATAAACTTTTAATTAATGGTGAGGCTGCATGTGTTGGGACTGTGGACAGCGAAAACAGGTACGAAATAGAAGGAAAAAATATCAGACTGACAACCTTATAAATGAATGGTTTCTTCGATAGATTCAATCGATAATTACATGTCAATACATAAACAAATCCTATCCGGAGTCAACATCATCATTTATCTCTACCAACTTCAATTCTCCTGCACATATAATTAGAGATGATCACATCTCAATTTTAGCCATCTAATTCAAATGGAGTCATGTGCTGTGTAAACCTAATTGAAATTATGTAAGAGATTTCAGTTTTAACCGTGGGGAGAAAATTAAAATTTGAAACTTTTGTACGAAGTTTTGGTTCCAATTCTTTCAATAAAGGAACCGTGAATTGTCGGTTTGATAACGGAACCGGTACTACTGTACTAGGTTATGTCTACTGATGGGTACTACTGTACTAGGTTATGTCTACTAACCCTCAGTACGGCAATTTGTTGTGTTGTGGACCATAGTCCACACAGCTGTATAGATTACGGTCCAAAACGACGTAGTTGAATTTATGAGTTAGAATAATGAAACCTCTGGGGTAAGATAATATATTTAGTTAGAATAATGTACATTATGAATTTATAAAAATGTATGTTGCAATGGGTCGTATGAAAAAAAAATTACGTGAAACAACTTCGTTTTTGGACCGTGGTCCACACAACTATGTAGACCACAGTCCACACAATAACTATTGAGTTGTTATACCATGGACCAGGGTCCACCTTGTAAGGTGGACCCTGATCCTAAATGACGTACAAATTATGTATTTTTAATATTGGAATAGTGAACTTCTATTATATAAATTATGTTTCTAAGTCAAAACGTATAACAACTGTACAAGGAAATTTGTGAATACAATATAGGGTCTTCAAATCCTAATCTGTTAATATTGTGTAACTGAAGTATTTGAAAGGAGCTTGTGAATACAAAACAAGATAATCAATTACATATATGTTAACATTGTGTGTTCGTAGTAAACAAATTATAAATTTTTAAAAGGTAAACTGTGAATATTTAGTAGATAAATTGTGAACATTTAGACCCGGGTCCACAAAATAATTTGCGATAACTATTGCCCTAAGTACAACATTGTAACTAGGGGTGTTAGCGAACAGAGCTTTCGGCAAACTACTCGTGTTCGTGTTCGGTAAGCGTTCGTTTATGTTCGTTTGTTAAGGTAAACGAACATTAACAAACAAAAATTAGAGCTCGGTTAATAAACGAACAGAGCTTGAACCGTTGTAAGCTCGTTTGCTAAGAGATCGTGAACAAGTTCGTTTGTGTTCGTTTACTAATGTTCGTGAACAAGCTCGTTTATGTTCGTTTAATAATGTTCGTGAACAAACTCGTTTGCGTTCGTTTAATAATGTTCGTGAACATGTTCACAAACATATATTATATTATATTATATTATATTAGTTTTGTAGTTGTGTTGTTTGTTTGATTATTGTTCGTGAACATATATTATTTATTGTTCGCGAACGAATTGTGATCATGAACATGTGCAGGTGTTTGTTTATTAAGTATTCATGAATGTAAATGAATATGTTCGTGAACGTGCTGTTTAATGAACATGTTTGTGAACGTTAATGAACACGTTTGCGAACGTGTTCACGAACGTAAACAAACACGTTCGCGAACATGTTCGTTAACGTTAACGAACACGTTCGTGAACATGTTCGCGAACGTTAACAAACACTAACGAACTCTTAACAAACGAACACGAACATGATTTTCAAAAACCTTAACAAACGAACACGAACACGAACACTCCAAATTCCTTAACAAACGAACACGAACAACCTCCGTTCGTTTATGTTCGGTTCGTTAACAGCCCTAATTGTAACAAGTGTTGATGTTCATTGGGCTTTCTCGTCTTTTAAATTGTGAACATTTGGACCCGGGTCCACAAAATAATTTGCGATAACTATTGCCCTCAGTACAACATTGTAACAACTAACAAGTGTTGATGTTCATTGGGCTTCCTCGTCCGTTAAATTGGGCCCTACAAAACCCAGTTTGGGAGATTTTATGGGTTCTTAAAGAAGGCCCAATTTGATACAAAATGACCCACTAGCCCAATATGACACATCAAAGGCTATTGCTGCTTTGCTGTATGATAACGAGAAGGTGCAGAAGAGGAAGAGGAACAAGAGAAGCTCCATAGCCATGGCAACCAAAAGAATAACACTTTTTTTTCCACAATTTTCAAGAATTAAAGCTTTTTCCGGAATGGGTTTCTTGGAGAAACCGGAAACTTCCGCCAAAACTAATGTTATCACAGCATCGATCAAAAATCAAGCAGCCAGTACATACATCCTCCCCCTCTCTCTATCTCTCATACATATATGCTCATAAAGTTATGTTCTTTCTGGGAATAGGTGAACTTAGATGTGCATATGTATGCCTCCACTAATAAAGTTCTGTTCTTTGCCGAAGCAGGCGAAGGAATTGACAAGAGCATCTATGCAATACTGACCGTTGATCGCTGGGAATCACTGAACCAGATGGAGTATAAGTTAGCTTCGCTAAGGCCAGTTCATGGGAGGCTGGCTTTGAAATTTTTGGAGTGGTTCATAAAACAACCAGGTCTGGAGCTAAATCACATTATACACATGCACTGTATCACTTCCCATATACTTGTAAGAGCTAGAATGTATGATTCTGCTAAGTCAATTTTTAGGAATTTATCAGAAATGGGTGTTGGGTCAAAATCTGTTCTTGGTGCACTTATGGATACTTATTCCCTCTGCAATTCGAACCCTTCAGTTTTTGATGTTTTAATCAGGGTTTATGTGAGAGAAGGAATGGTCAATGATGCTCTGGAGGCATTTTATTGGATTGGTTCTTGTGGAATTACACCATCAGTTTACACTTGTAACATGATTCTTGCAGCAATTTCAAAGTGCCAGGGTGCTGAGTCTGTTTGGTCATTTTTCAAGGAAATGCTTGCAAAATGTATATGCCCCAATCTCAATACATTTAACATACTCTTACATGTTCTCTGCACAACGGGAAAGCTCAAGAAAGCAAATTTCTTGCTTAAAAGGATGGAGGAGAGTGGCTACATTCCCGATGTAGTTACTTATAATACTTTGCTTAATTGGTACTGCAAGAAGGGAAGGTATAAATCAGCATCGGAGCTGATTGATCGCATGGCTTGTAAAGGTCTCAAGGCTGATGTTTGTACATATAACATGTTTATAGATGATTTGTGTAAGAATAATAGGAGTGCAAAAGGGTATTTACTTTTGAAAAAGATGAGGAAGAGATTGGTAATTCCAAATGAAATCACCTACAATACTCTAATTAATGGGTTCATGAAAGAGGGGAAGATTGTAGTTGCGATGAAGATTTTTCATGAGATGATGAAGTTGAATCTGTCACCAAATTGTATCACTTTCAATGCTTTAATTGATGGGTACTGCCGGGCAGGCAAGCTTGAAGATGCTTCAGAACTTCTGAAGGAAATGGAAACAAGAGGACTACACCCTAATGAAATCAGTTACGGGGCTCTTTTGAATGGGTTCTGCAGACTTGGAAAACTAGATTCTGCAAGACATATATTTGAGAGGATGAGGAAGAACGATATAGCTTTAGATCATGTAGCTTACACAATGCTAATTAAAGGGCTATGCAAAAGGGGGATGCTTGAAGAAAGTCTTGATCTTTTCAATGAAATGGTTGGCAGCGATATATGCCCTGATGCTATTGTATACTCGGTGCTTTTAAATGGGTTTTTTAGTGCTGGAAGGATAAAGCATGCAGAAGAGATATGGTGTAAAATGTACAAAGTTGTAGCTTTGCCAAATGAGATCGTGCATTCTACCCTAGTTTACAATTTTTGCAAGCAGAAAGATGTCATCAAAGCAATGAAAATCTACCAAGTGATGCTGGAAAATGGCCATGGTGCTGACCTGTCTGTATGCAATTTACTTATTTCTTGTCTTTGCAAATGTGGAAAGGTAAGGGAAGCAGAGGATTTCATGCGTCACATGCAAAGGATTGGTCTGGTTCCTAATGCTGTTAGTTTTGATTTTGTAATTAGTGGCTATGGACATGCGGGTGATGGCTTTAAGGCATTATCCTTGTTTGATGAAATGATCGAATTGGGCAATCACCCTACCCTTCACACTTACGGAAGCATATTAAAGGGACTGTGCAAAGGAGGAAACTTTATGGAGGCAATTGAATTATTTGATAGACTTCGTTATGCTCATTCTGTCGTTGATGTTAATATCTACAATACGGTTTTGGCTGAGATATGCAACTTAGGAGATATGAACATGGCATTGATCCTTTTTGATGAGATGGTGGAAAATCATGTGATCCCTGATGGCTATACATATGCTAATCTCATTACCGGGTTCTGCAAAAAGGGTAAAATAGCTGCTGCAGTTCTTATATTGTCGAGAGCATTGGAAAGAGGAACTTCATTTTCTAACCGGCTGATGTATACTAGTATAATAGACGGGCTTTTCAAGAGTGGTTTGCCAAAGGTTGCTGCTTTCTTCTATGATGAGATGATAAAGCAAGGGCTTAGGCCTGATACAATGACACTAAATGCAATGATAGATGGGTACTCAAGAATTAGTCAAATGGCTCGAGCAAATCGATTCTTCTCAATTATGATGGTGAAATCTCTGTCTCCTAATCTGGATACATATAACAGCCTATTACATGGCCACTCAAGACTGCGAAATATGTCAGAATGTTCTGAATTGTATCATTCAATTACAAGAAATGGTCTTAGTCCAGATGTATCGACCAGACAATCTGTTATCTTTGCACTTTGTGAGTCGGGTATGTTGGATGTTGGGGTTAAATTTATGAAAAAGATGATAATGGAAGGAGCAGTAATAGATAAATTTTCGTTCAACATGCTAATCGCCAAATACAGTGAGAAGGGAGAGATGCAGAAGGCCTTAGATGTGCTGAATGTTATGAACTTAGTGGGTTATTTTCCCGATGGAGATACTTACGAATCCATACTTAAGGGACTGAAAAGAACGTCTAATTTCCGAGGCTCTCGCATTATCTTGCAAGAAATGCTGGAAAAGGGGTTTATGCCTACCGATAGACAGTACAGTGGTGTCGTAAGTGGTATGTGTAGAGCGGGAGATATACAAGGAGCGTTCAAGTTGAAGGCTGAAATGGAGTCACTAGGTGTTAGCTCTCGTAATGTTGCCGAGAGTGCTATTGTTCGAGGGCTTGTGCGCCGTGGGAAGATGGAGGAAGCGATGTATGTACTCGATTGTATGCTAAGGGTCCCACTTCTCCCAAGCGTCGCAACGTTTACAACACTAATGTATGGGTTGTGTAAAGAGACTAAAATCTCCGATGCCTTGAAGTTAAAAGAGGCAATGGAACTTCATGGTGCAAACCCCGATGTTGTTGTTTATAATGTTCTCATTACGGGCCTTTGTGTTAACGGTGACATAGACCAAGCCTTCGATCTGTACGAGGAGATGAAACAGAGAGCCATCTGCCCTAACATCACCACCTTTGCTACTCTTGTCAATGCAGTTCAGTCGGGCAATGATCCACTGAAGGGCGAAACTCTTCTAGTGGACCTTCGGGAGCGAGGACTGATAACCCAAAAGCCCGGTCCAGAAGCTATACATGAAAGATTGACAGTTGTGATGCAGAAGCTGAACTTCTTGAGGAAGAAAAGGACACATGGTAGCAAAGAAAGGGTGAAAAGCGCATCAAATGTTGCAGAAAAGTACAATCATTATGGCGTTTGGTAGGCCTCCTTTCTTTGCTCAAGACCTAAATCATTTGTTATTTTGAATATCAAGTCACTAGAAAGCTACGTTCTTTACACTCCTTTGCAGATTCATTTTGTCAACAAACCATCATGAGAGTGCGTTTTTGTGCCAATGGCCAGATTTGGAAGCTTTTACACCAACCACAGTAAAGTTGGAGCCTGAAGCTTAAAAGGTCTGCTGATACATTATAATGGTGTATTGTTACTATTAACTCTTAACTATTCATTTTGATGAACTGCTATTCTAAAATATAGGTTTCCATGAGCAGAAAAAACTTGAACTTTGACACTCGAGATGAGATTGGTAACGCAAAGGTTCTACCTTTAATCACTATTCTTGAAAAGGGAACCTCAGATTTCTCGAGTTTCCGACTTTGTAAGCTTCTAGGTAGATGTTTGCTGTCACGGTTGTGCACACGCTTCTAGGGAGATGGTCAGACTGCAAACACCACAGTTTGAGGTTATTTTCATTCCTTGGTTTTCCCAGCTAAGATCAACTTAACTTCTAGCCAAATGGGTGTCTCTCATTGGATTTCATTAATGTGCAGTTGATGTTGGAGACAGCTAGATGCAGGCATGCACTAAGACCCATGGCATGCCCAGGAACCTGTCACAAGAGCCTCACAGTCCCTCTTTTCGATACATTAGGTTTTTCAGCTCACGCCAGACTAATTCGAAGCCCTCAAAACTCGTATCCAAGAGTCACTGGAAGAGGTAAATCGCGAGTCGTCTTGTCAGTCTTCATCACTTCTGATCAATCAAGGTCTCCCAATGATCCCCGGGTTCCAGTAAGAGCAAGGTTTTAGGGTGATTGGTCGAACAAAATGAGATTTTGATTTGGATCGTCTGCTGTCCTCAACAAAAGATTATTCTTGCTGCTCCCATGGCAGACAGAATATAGCAAAATTTTGGGGGAAATAATAAAATTTCCCCTCAGTTGACCTCTATTCTGTTTTTATTATTTGTATAGGTCACCGGCTTATTCTCCTGAACTTAAAGCTTCATTCTTTATTCCTTCACAATTCCACTCCATCTTCATGTTGTTTTACTATTTTATTCGAGAATTTTTACAATGGGGACTAGTAAAAGTGTTTGATGTGATTCTTTATTATCATAGTGGGAATTGGGAAAGACTCTTCAAGTAAGATTGTCACTTCAAGAATTTGAGAATACATGAATGGATTAAATATCAAGAAAACATGGTTTGAATGTTAAGTAAGACTGTTTCAAGACACAGACAGACATGATGAAACGCATCTACAGTTCTTGTAATAATTACGTTAAAGAATCGATTTTTACCGAGTACGATGAATTGTAGTTACCGTGTTAATCTAATTGGAAATGTTAACCTTAAAGAAAAAAAAGAAAAAAAAAATTCTGGGCGTTCACATGATGTGGTGGGGACATAGACGCATTACATTATTCCTCTCTGCGTTAACGAAAAGTCGAAAACCACCACCACCGCACTCCTCTATACATACACTGCCGCTGTTGATTTGCCCATTTGCGATTTCTCTCTCTTTCTCTCTCTCTCTCTCTCTCTCTTGCTCGCTTTCTCTCCCTCTGCCAATAGCACAATTCATTTTCCAGCAAGACTCATCTAGTGAGTGGATTCATGTCGGTATGTGTTTATTTTCTTTCCTTCACTGTGAATTGATTGATTGGGTTCCGGTGACTCGATTTGATTTAGCTTTTGGGGGTCATTATATGTGTTTTTGGGCAGTTATGATTTGAAAATTCTGTGGATTTTTGCTGAGTGAGATTGATGGATCGCTTAATTTTTGGCAATTTTTACTGCGTTGATTTTGGAGCTCATGAATAGATTATAGCGATCAATTAGCTGAATTGAGGTGTGATTGATTATATTGCACTAGGGTTCTATTGTGATGTTGTCAGCTCGCTCTTTTCACCTACCTAATCCAATGTTACCTTCTGAATTCTGATGGATTGATGGATGTCTTCTCCTGGGGAATTATTTGAGTTCCCAGGTTCTTTAATCTGTATTTGCTAATTAATTAGTTCACTTCAGTTTCTATATTTGTGGGTTCAGTGGACTGTGATGCTGGAAGTTATGTGTTCTTTGAAAGTATTGGTGGGTGGGCAGAATTTGGGCAAATCAAGAATGTGATTTGAAGATGCTAAAAAGTAAAAAGTTTCCCCCGGGGGCTCGATACTTTTTGCTGATGTTGTGGGCGTTGCCAATTTGCCATGCTTAGATTTTTGTAGGTTTTGTTTTTTCTTGTTTTTCATTCTCCAGCATGAAAAGAAAGATGCTAAAAAAAGGCATCTTCTTTGTGGTAGATGTGAGTGTGGGCAGGGTTTGATCAGAGCAAGAATGTGGTTTAAAGATGCTAAAAATGGCATCTTCTAACCAGCAAAAGCAAAGCACGGTTTTTGGGATGATCATAAGAGATAATCCATTCTTGATTAGTCCAAAAAGTTCCCTGCTTTTCCTGCCTTCTCTGCATTTGCACCTATCAAATGGGATAACCATAGAGTATTTGTCATAGCAAGGACTTGCATAGGCATTCTATTTTCATATGAACAAATCATGAGACAATATAATGATAAGAATATTAAAGCACTGTACTGTTACATGGTAGTTTTCTTCACAACAAAATGTCCTTTTTTTCTTTGTTTTTTTTGGTTTGGGTAACGATTATCTAATGCCATTTGGTAGAAATAGGATGTACCGGTTAGAAAGTGTGATAAGATAGTAGTAATAGGTGATAAGAGAGGAAGTTGAAATAAAATGTCCTTTTTTCTTGGTTTGTATGACAATTATCTAATGCCATTTGGTAGAGATAGGACGTACCAGTTAGAAAGTGTGATAAGAGAGGAAGCGGAAATAAAATGTCCTTTTTTCTTGGTTCGTGTAACAATTATCTAATGCTGTTTGGTAGAGATAGGTTGTACCAATTAGAAAGTGTGATAACATAGTGGTAATCGGAGATAAGAGAGGAAGTGGTAGAACCATATGTGCACGGATGCTACTGACTCTATTACATTGTAGTATCTGTTCAAACATACTTTCTCAACCTAATGAAGCACACGGAGTCAACAACGCCTCCACTGAGGCTCGATCTCATGACCTTGCATATGGGAGAGGTCACTACATGCCATTTGAGCACAAGGTGCTTGACCTATACCAATCCATTTAGTTGTAGCTGACCCCAACTAGATTTGCTATTAAGGCTTGGCTGGGTTGAGTTTTTTTTTTTTTTTTTTTTTTGAGTACTACTGACTCTGTTACAATGTAGTATCTGTTTATAGTTACTTTATCAACCTACTGAAGCACAAAGAGTCAATACCGCCCCCATGGGGCTCAAACCCATGATCTCCCATTTGGGAGAGCCACTTCCTATTATTGTTTATTAGCTACTACAGAGGAGCTTAGTAAGTTTATAATGTTGTATTATTGGGGCATCCTCTAATCTGGTTCTTTCTTTCTTTCATTGCATATCTAATACCCCTAGGAAGAGAAGGGTCGACCCTTGCCAAAGTTTGGTGAATGGGATGTTAACGACCCAGCTTCAGCAGAAGGATTTACTGTGATTTTTAACAAGGCCAGGGATGAAAAGAAAACGGGTGGTAAGCCTGAATCACCATCAAAGGCTGATTCCAACACTAAACCTGCAGCAGATCCATCAAAACCACCGGCTGTAAGTTGTTTTCTAATTACCAAATCAGACTTCATATGTTCTTTGTTGGAACTTTTACAGTTGCGGGTGTAGACAGGTGCTCTTGTTTATGTTTTTACCTTAAAAACACGTTTTTGTTGTTTTTTCCCAGAAAAAATGGTTTTGCTGCATACAGAACCCTCATGTGGATTCTTGACAAGGCTGTGGAAAAGGCGAAAAGCTGAAAATGGGATTGAATATCCATAATCAATTTGGCGTTTTCCATTTACAAGAGGAGCCGGAGGCTCTTGTGTTCTTCTGCTGGAATCTATTTTATCATGTAAAATTATGTTAGTGTGGGGTGCAGGTATCTTAAAAGACATAAAAGATATTTTACATATCTATATATGCTTTATCTGGTAATAGATATACTTCACAGATGAGCTTTCTGTTTGCTTTAACCTACCCATGGTCTCTGTCAATCATAATTCTTTTGTGATGCTTAAAGTTTTGTCACCCATTTTTATGTTTGTGTAGCCAAGTTTAACTGTTGCAATTTCGCCTGTGTATTCTTCATGTTATATACACTAGAATTTGGGAAAAGTGGTAGAAAGTGTATTGCTTGCATTATGCCAAAGAGAAATCCTTAGACCTAAGTTTCAAAAATTTGCATTGTTTTGTTGAAAATCTTTCACTTTACACTGCAAACAGCCAACACAACTTGAGGGGTGACAAAGGATCCAGTGTTTAAGGGGTAACTTCAGCCAAGTTGGTCAGACAGTTGGTTTTTGTGGAAGTTGTCTATTAACCTTCTTGGTTTGAATCGTTCAGCTATAACTTCAGCCAAGTTGGTTTTCTGTGGAAGTTGTCAATTAACCTTCTTGATTTGAATCGTTCAGCTATGAACAATTAAGACAAGTTTCACCCAGAATGCACATTCAGGTAACAACTGCAAACTTTCTCGTAAATCAAAAGATCAAGTTCGAACTTAGGTTTAGGTTAGGTTTCGAACTCTTCCCACCCGAACCATGCCTTTTGGTGCATAGATGACACCAACCCATACTATCACCCAAAGAAACCTAAGGCAGATACAAATTGGCATCTTTACAAAAGCACAATGCTCTACACTTTAAACAGCCAAGACAACAAAATGAAACACAAATGGCAAGATTCCAATACATAAACATACTCAAAAACTTCGGTTTATCTATTTAGACTATTACAGATCTCGCAATTAGTCTGCAACATGGGAAAATTTGTTAATAGGCAGAGCCACAAAAGGTTAAAGGTTCATAAGCCAGGAATAAGAAAATGCTATCATTTTTCGTTCTTTTTGCCAAACGAATTTTCTTCATCCGCTTGGGCACCGATAACTTGAATGTCCGTGTCAAAAGATTAGACTCTCGACTGCCCAAGCTTCCGTTCAAACAACCGTTTTAGGAGAAAAACTTGTAAAAAACTAGCGGCAATAAGAGCTGCAGACTCATACAAAGCTTTGTGAACTGCCCTTTTGCTCATCCCTTCATTCACTGCATTTGATTTGATCACACCACATTATTGACGATATATACATTGCAACCGGATCAGCAGACAAACATCAATAATTGAATCATCACACACAATAATAGAAAGATTCCGCCTTATCAACGTGGGACCGGATAAGAACAAACGCTGATGCTGATACACCATATATACACACCTAGATAAGGATAAAATTTTTATTAGCATCGAACAATTTCATATATACCTATAGCTTGCCGGTCTGTCTGAGCCTCCAACCAATGCTGCTCGAACTGAATGTTATATAAAGCTTCCTCTAGCTTGTTAATGTGTTCGAACAAAGGCCTGAGATGTTCTGCACACACGATACTAATCAAATAACGAGCAATTAAAAGAGCAATAAACTAGGAACGGATCTACCAAGAAAGATCTGAGAATATTCCTACCATCTTTTGCGTGTTCATCGTGGAACATATAGTGACCAGAATGTACATCAAAGTCGATGGTCTCATGGTACGGGGACTTATTAGTGAAACAGAAACGGTGAACGCCTTCCTGATGAGCCACAAACTCGGACTTCTCGCTTATTTTTTCACGAAAATCCTGAATTTGTTCGCCCACAGGTCCCTTCACCTGGTAATTCGATCACAATTCACATACAATGGCAAGATCAATCACAACATATACATGTAACTGAAGAGTTCAAGATTTGAACTTCAATGCTCTTTTACTAGTGGATAACCTTAAAGAAATGTTATTATCATATCCCCATCCTCGTACCACATAGAATCCAATAATCTAGCTATATTCTATATGATTTTTAAGGTTGTCTTGCTTAGCAATTAGCATAAAGCAAATTAAGTTGAGCAGACACCATTGAAGACAGAAAAACACAATGAATCTAACAAAATCAATGTAAAATTCAAAGAAAAAAAAAAAAAAAAGAAGATATATTTACCACAAGATCAACGCCTTCTTCACCCAAATTCCAGGACTTCTCAGACTTAATCACAACAAATGAAAAATGAACAGTGTCCCCCAATGCCACCTTGTGGGCAAAGCATTCCTCTCTATCTATCACAAATCTGATTCCGTATGCCCCTCCGGCGCTCCAAATCAGCACCACCGCCGCCGCCACGGCTGCCCAACCTCCCGACGGAAAAACTCGCACCTGCAATTCTCAACAATTCAATTGATATTCCCTTTGAACACGTACTCCGGGTAGAGAATCAAATCTGAAGATTTCGATTTTTACCATTTCTGGAAAAAAACGATGTGTTCCTCGAACGGCGAAAGAGGATTCGAAACCTTGAAACTGTTGATAGATTTGACCAAGTTAAGGTTGTGAACACCTCAATTGTCTTTACAATCCAAACCGTGAGTCCTAGTCACTCGTACTTGCCCGTGAAACTCTGCTCCGACACAAATTATTGTTCTACACTATCTAATCATTTTTCTTATTACTGGCGTTTATGTTTGTTTTTTTTTACAAGTGTATTTACTAATAGTGACAACTTTAACTAAGTTGATGGAATATTTACTTAATAATTATAATATTTTAAATTATATTATTTATTAGTCTTATTGATTTAAGTTATTCAATTATAGATGACAACTTAAACTAGAATAGCCAAAGTATCTATAAATCCATCTACACATGAAATTTTTTAAATTTTAGTGTCTTGATTTAACATTTTTGGTTTGGATTATCAACATTTTAAATTTCAATTAATGCAAGGTTGGGAAGTTATTTGAAATTCATAATGTACAGAATTGTATAGTTAAATACACAATTACACAAACACAGGTGTTAAAAAAGGCTGTAATGAAATAGTATCCGTCGCGTCAACTCTCCAACAACTTATAATCAAAATAACATCGTATTAGACCATAGTCCACAATACACTATAAACCCTGGTCCACGATATAACGATCCTTCTTCAAATAGGATATTACATATTCGAACACCGGTGAATTTTTCGATATAAAAATATTTGGTGATCCATTGGGTGAGATGAAATATGAAATGGGCCAATATGGGGGTAGGGGCCCAACCTAAATAGGCTCAACCGACATGTGTTCCCATCCCTCGAATAGGCCATTGTCATTTACCCCAAAAAAAAAAAAAAAAAAAAAAAAAAAAAAGGCCCATCTAGTTGTCCATTACACGTCATCCGGCAGCATTTGCACAGTAGATTCCGATTCGATTCTCACTCTAGAGTCTAGTCAACAGTAGCCCCATGCGTGGGTAGGTGACCAGGAATACAGGACCACTTATTTGAGGTAATTTTGCAATGATTTTTTTTTTAATAACAAAACTCAGGCCTCAGGGAAGGGAATTTCAATTCGTCCTAGATGTCCTTTTTTTTTTTTTAAATGATTCTATATGTATAATAATAATAATAATAATAATAATAATAATAATAATAATATAATTATAATTATAATAATAATAACAACAACAACATTATTATTATTATTATTATTATTAAATTTTACCCCTAAAATCTACATCAGCACATGAAATTTACATTTTTTTTTTTTGAAAAGAGAACATGAAATTTACATATTCGATAAATAAACAATAATCTGCTGAATATGTTATCATAGGGACTAGGGCTTTAGTCACGAAGCAACGATTATGGTTATATGCTAGAGTTAGACAATGTGCCAAGTCTTTAAAGTATAAGGATCAAAAAGTATAATTTTGATTAAAATATGGTAATTGTATACTTTTGGTTAACGATATGTCGATATGATTAAAAGTGTCACTATAAAAAAAACTTAAAGACTAAAAATGTCATTTCATTTTTAAATTAATTATTATGTAGCCCTTTATTCACATATGGTGATATTAACCAATTAACATATAAATATCGAAAATAAAATAAAAATTAAAGCTTTATATATAATGTTATGAACATTATTAGAATGTATTATTTGTAGTAAAAATAACACTATCTTTTAATATTTAATATGTCTCTTTCTCTTTTGTTGGGTATCATACCTTTTTATATGTGATAGCCACACCCCACAAGGCTCCAACTAATAAAATTGAGTTGTTGCTTAACTAATGCAATGAAAGATGTTTGAACAATTTTTGGTTTTATTATCAAAATTTAGATTTACACATTTACTTAAATATTAAGTTTTTTCCACATAAGTATAAGCTTTTTATTACATTTCCATACTTCTCTTTAAGGGTATTGAATAAAGGTCCTTCACATGGTACTACATGTAGGAAAATATTAAATAGTTAGTTGGGGAGGGTATGATTGCGTAGAATGCAAAATAAAAATAACAACTTGTTTAACATCACTAAAAAAAAAAAAAAGGAAAATATAATTTTGATATATATAATAATATAAATTGTATACTAAAATGTAAGATGTTGATTGACATTATAGACTTGTTCTACTCTAGCATCATCATGTCTTCAAAATAAAATAAAATAAAATAAAATAAAATAAAAAAGAAAAAAAAAAGAAAGAAAGAGAACAATATTAGAAGAAATCACATTTGTTTTATAAAAAAAAAAAACTCAACTTTGATGCATAACTCTTTAATATGACAACACAAATAAAAAAATGACTCCTTTGACCTTATAGTTGTTATATTAAGTTGTATTAGTATGCGCTTACCAACTGTTTTAAATTTGTTGATTTCAGTATTAATTATTCATTAACATACCATTTAGCAGTATTGCTATTTAATTTTTTTAACTACTCAATATATATCAAAAATATTTATATTTCTTGTCATTTTCAATAAAAAGACACTACAATTGGACCAACGACACCAACAATTATATATATATATATATATATATATATATATATATATATATATATATATATATATATTTTGCATCGCTTTGATGAGAAAGATCTAACAAATCATATCTAATTTAAAAATGAGTTATATTGTATGTATTTCTTATTTCTACTTCCTCACTTTTACTATCTGATGTGATAATTGATTATTAGTTATCTTCATACTGTGAGTCTCAATGAAAATGTCAACATCAAAATTTTGTGAGAGAGTAAAAGTTAAGAATAGAACTTGAGAGTAGGGTAGTATTTTCCTTTTAAAGTGCAAGTGACACGTGCAAGTAAAATTACTTAAAAGTGCATCTATTTACACTTATTAATGCAAGTAATTTACCTTTCACATTGGTGCACTTACCGGACGTTTGGTTGGAGGAAGGAAATTACGTGAGAAATGAATTACAATTCCATGGAAGATGAATAGCGTGGGAATAATGTGGTAATTTAAATTCCAATGTTTGGTTTGCAGGAATAAAATTATTGGGAAGTTCAATTATAATGTTTGGTATACATGGAAATTGAATTTAAATTTCAGTGTTTGGTTTGCAGGAATAAAATTATTGGGAAGTTCAGTTCTAATGTTTGGTATACATGGAAATTGAAAGGGAATAAGTAGTATAAAGTCTAAAATGGTCTAAAATGGTCATACTTATTATTATTATTATTATTATTATTATTATTATTATTATTATTATTATTATTATTATAAATCCTAAATGACCAAATTCAAAATTTTGCTTTTGAAAATTTATGTAACACGCTGTAAATAAACTCTAAAGTTGCATAACGAAAGCAATAAAATAGATAAAGGAGTTTTGAGAAAACATATTTGATTGAGGTTGGCGTACTGATTGACGTTTTGTGTTGAGAGTATGTAAAAGAAAAATACACACTATAATTGAAATAGAGAGGTCAAACATCAATTTTATGTTAAAAATTAGAGGGGTAATTTTGTCTCAAAGTTATATTTTTTCCTCCTAAAATTCATGGATTTGAAATACCAAGGGGGGCATGAGATTCTATTTCCATGGAATTGAAATCCCCTCCAACCAAATGAAGAAATTTGCTTGCCTTCGAAATTATGTGGGAATGAAATTGTAATTCTCTCCAACCAAACGCCTCATTAATGACAACGTTTGGTGCAATTAATGATAACATTAAATGCACTTAATATTGTTGGTCAACGTACATTATATTGTTGAACATTTAATACATTTTACTTGCACTATATGAAACTGTTACTTGCATCTTTTACACAATTACCTACATTTCAATATTTGAATATTTACAAAAATGTCACCAAGTTATTATTTGCTTTTTGATTCATTAAATATTTTGAGATGAATGGTTGTGATTGTTATGACAAGGAAAACTCACATCTAATATTCGAAGGTGCACATGAATAAACTTTGTTCTTATGTAATAGTCTACACAACAACATAAGAAATGTAAAAGAACTATATGATAGGTTCAACTAAGAAAATATTGACAATAATTGAACTCGTAATTTTTTAATATGAGAATCATGCCGTAAGGTCATAAATCTATATTTGATGGAGGAATGATTCATGTACATAGTAATATAGTATTGTCTGTATCCATTGATTTTAAAATTGTTTGATTAAAAATTTTGTTTGGGTCCACAGGAAATGAGACAGCAAAATGTTGAAGTGCTTACCCATCTCTTTCTAAAGCGTTTTTGCGCGTCCACTGAGCCCCATCCTATGCTCAGACGGTCAGCTTTGGACGGTGTCATTTGCTGACCTGGCATTTCCCCTCTCTCTCTCTCTCTCTCTCTCTCTCTCATCTTTGATTAGCTGGTATATTAAATTTGTCTCTCAATGCGAGTTTTCAACTTTTCAAACTCACTCTCTCTCTCTTCACGCACAAAACTTGCAAATTGAACTGTGAAAAATGAAATCTTTGACTGTTTCACGCCTTTAACGATTCCTTGGATTTTCATCCCAAGAAAAAAAAAAGTGTTATTTCGCCCTGTTTTGTGATTCTTGTGAAGGGGTTTCTTTATTTTTCTTGTTTGTACTCTTTTTGAATATTTTTCCTTGTTCTGTTTTAGACCAGTAGAATCTTTGAAGTGCTCTGCGGGATTTGCAACTTTTTTTTTTTCATTCTGGGTTTGGGATTTCCGTCATTGACCACACTTCTTGACCTTCAAGAGACTATTCACAATAGTGAAGTTGATCAACAAGCTTCTTCTCCTTATCTGTGAGACCTGGCTACTTACCCTTTTTGCAGAAGTTGAAGAGTTTGATGAGGTCTAGGGTTTATGCTCTGCATCTTTTCCTGGATTCATGATTTGGGTCTTTTATTGACTTATTATTAGGTATGTGCTTTTCCTTTCAATTTTTAAAGCTGCTTCTTTTATTTTTTTATATTTATCATTTCAAATGGATTACTTGCTTCAGATTAGTGGAATTCCATTAAGTATGATAGAAGGATCTCCTTTTTTTATGTTACTTTTGAAATTTGAAGTCTTCATGGTAATTCTGTGGGCAATCTCCAATCTGCATAATTGGCCATTATGGTAGGCTAACTAGGTTAATCACTGTAAGTTGCTGGGTAGGAATGATATCAAACTCCCTTTTTGCAGCTTTAGGAGATGCTATTATAGTATTATATATACTTATATAGTTATATGTATTGTTATATTCTGAAATTTGGGTCTAAAGGAAATTCTTTTAAGTTTTAAGCCCTTACATTCCAGTGTTCAAAGCTTGTTCATCCATGAAGCCACAGAGTGTGCTGAAATGTATATTCAGTGTTCTGTAGTGTACTCGTGATTAGTATTTCAGTGGCTTAAGGTCGGGTTAGAGCGATTATCAAGTTGTATCTTAGCTTTGGTTTTGTGTAATGTGATTAGTTGTTTCTTCTAAAGCTATAGGATTCATATTTACTCGGTTAGTTTCCTTAAATGCCGAAATGAAATAGTTGGAAGGTGTCTTTAGGAAGATGTTTTATTGCTTTAGTTTGGCTTTAGATGCGGGGAAACTCTGGCTATCTAGAATGTTTTGATCCTATCTAGTTCTCACGAAAAATTTCGACCTTTTGCTTCCACACAAAAAATATTCTTCCCAAAGCGGGAAATCACACTGCTAAACGTTGTGTTTGTTTGTACTGTTGAAATAATTGAACTTCCTTTTCTTGAAGTTTTCCATTTTTTTTGTCTATCATTTATTCCATTATAGATTTCATTTGGCTGTTCTTTGTAGGCAATCTTGACGAAAAGAAAAGAGTATGGTTGCGAAAGACCACAAGAAAGCCACGGGATCTCCAAAAGTAGAAGTTGGAGAAATAGACACCAGCGCGCCATTTCAGTCTGTCAAAGATGCTGTCACCTTGTTTGGAGAAGGTGCTTTCTCGGGGGAAAGAAATGTGATTAAGAAGCCAAAACCGCATTCCGCAGAGGTAGGCGTTCTAAGTCGAAATGCTTTCCTTCTTCCAAAGGTTGAACCCCAACCCTAAAGGGCCCCCCACACCCCGGCTCGACAGAGCATCTGGGAGGATGTCGAAATGCTTTCCTTACAGATAGGTGAGGTGGTTGCTAGGAGGCCTAGTTGGCGCCTAGGAGGCCTAAGCGGTCATTGCCTAGGTGGCGCTTAGGCGACTGAGTTGGCCGCCTAGCCGGCCAACTGCCTAGACCACCGATTATGGTGATACACTAGGCAGCCGGCCGACGCCTAGTGCCTAGGCGCCGATTAATCGGTGCCTAAGCGGGATTTTTGCAACACTGGTTGGGTTACGTAATTAAAAGGTCTCACACTATACCTTTTGACTTGTTCTAGAGAGTATTGGCGAAGGAAACGCAGCTTCACTTGGCAAAGAAAGAGCTAGACAAATTAAAGGAACAATTGAAGAACGCTGAAACTACGAAAGCCCAAGCACTCGTGGAGCTTGAAAGGGCCAAACGGACCGTTGAGGATCTGACCCAAAAGCTCAAAATTGTTTCTGATACGAAGGATTCTGCAGTTAAGGCAACAGAAGCAGCAAAGAATCAGGTGAGGCAGCTTGAAGAAGCGGGGAATAGCTATTCTAAACCGAATGGTAATGGCTCTTGGAAGCTGGACTTTGAAAGTGCGAGAGATCAGTATAAGGCTGCACTAGCTGATCTCGATGCAGCAAAACAAGAGCTGAGGAAAATGCGTCAAGATTATAATTCTTCGGTAGATGAAAAGGCTGCAGCTATCAAGCAAGAAGCGGAAGCTGATCGAGCTTTCAAATCTAACACCGAAAAAGCTAGCGAGCTTTCCAAGGAAATATTGGGTGTACAGGAGTCGATTCAGCAGCTAAAACTTGTCAGTTCACAAGTGCAGGAAGAAGAAGCAACAATTTACGTCGAGAAGGATGTCCAGAAACAGTCATACAAGTCCAGGCTAGAAGAATCGACTAAAAAGTTAGCTGCTTTAAGAAAGGAGATCAATCCCGACTTAACAAAAAACCTGGAAACTCAGCTGGCTGAAACATTGTCTGAGATAGAATCACTACAAAAGGCGATGGATACTGCAAGGTCTTCGGATCTTGATTCAGTGAAGGCTGTTACCACAGAGCTCGATGATGCCAAGGGATCGCTGCATAAGGTAGCGGAGGAGGAAAGTTCGTTGAGAACTCTGCTGGAGAAGCTTAAATTGGAGCTAGAGAATGTCAAAAAAGAGCACTCTGAACTGAAGGAGAAGGAAGTAGAAACTGAATCAGTTGCGGGAAATCTCCATGTCAAGCTCCGGAAAGCCAAGTCCGAGCTCGAAGCAGCACTCGGGGAAGAATCAAAAGTTAGAGGTGCTTCTGAAGAAATGATCTCTACCCTCAACCAGCTTAGATCAGAGTGTGAAAACGCTAGGCGTGAAACAGAAGAAATGAAGACACAAATGGAAGTGGTAAAGAAAGAAGGCGAAACGATCAAAATCGCACTAGAAGAGGCTGAAAAGAAACTTAAAGTTGCATTGGAAGAAGCTGAAGAAGCAAAAACAGCCGAAGCTCGGGCTCTTGATCAGATCAAGATTATGTCAGAGAGAACCAGTGCTGCCCGTGCCTCGACTTCCGAGTCTGGTGCACAAATCACTTTATCTAAAGACGAGTTCGACTCATTAACCCGAAAAGTTGAAGAATCCGAGAAATTATCCGAGATGAAAGTGGCTGCTGCAATGGCTCAGGTGGAGGCCGTGAAAGCCAGCGAAAACGAGGCTATCAAGAGGTTGGAGGCTACTCAGAAGGAGATCGATGACATAAAAGCTGCTACTCAGGAGGCACTAAAGAAGGCGGAGATGGCTGAGGCTGCAAAAAAGGCGGTGGAGGGAGAGCTCCGAAGGTGGCGGGAAAGAGAACAAAAGAAAGCAGCGGAAACAGCTTCCCGTATTCTGGCAGAAACGCAGATAGCATCCGAACCATCATCTCCTCAGAATCTCAGATACGAAAAGCATAGCCCACAAGAGAAAGTGATGCAATCACGCAAGCTGGAAAAGGCAAAGACATCTGTGTCAAAGAAAGCCGTGATGATGCCCAACCTTAGTGGCATGTTTCACAAAAGAAGAAACCAAGTCGAGGGTGGTTCTCCTTCTTATCTGCCCGGAGAGAAACCCGTGTGGTGAAGTTTGTGAGACGCACATCGACTCAAATGATTAGTAGTTGAGAGTGGGTTTTGTCCATGTTTTTGGCTTGTGTATAACTAAAACTTGTGGAACATCTAAGGTTGTCAAGAAGTCTGTATGTTTTTTTTTAATAAAATCAAATCACTGCATCTTTGAGGCTATTAATGTTGTCCATACAACTTTTAAGGAAATCCAACTGCCATGATGTTTGGCCTGTACATGGCTTCATAGTAAATAGTAATGTCCTTTGAGTGATTAAACAAAGCAGACAACCTTAGATGTAACCATCAAGACTTTGAGTCATGCCCTTTTGCCTTTTGAATTTGAATGCACAATGCAACTTTTTCCATAACATCTCATCTGCATATTTAATTCTCTCCAACCCCCACAATTCCTGCATGTGAGATCCAAAGCAAAGCAAACTCCTTTTCTTTATTCTCATTATAAATGTATGCAAAATTTTACTTTACAATGTGGTTTCATGATTATAATCGTTGTAAATATAATAAATATGTTCGAAAAATTTTGTATTGCCTAATGGCACTTGAGTTGGACTCCCATATGGGAGGTTATGAGTTCAAGCTTCAGAAAACTTTGAGAAAGTAGTTTTGAACATAGATATAATCCTTACATTGTTGTTATCGAGATTCAAGCCTTAAAAATGTTTCCTTTACAGACATGGTTAAATGCGGGCACAAGAAATCAGTCTATTTTAGACATAATCCTTACACTGTTGTTATCGAGATTCGAACCTTAAAAATGTTTCCTTTACAGACATGGTCAAATGCGGGCACAAAAAATTTGTCTATTTTATACATAATCCTTACAGTGTTGTTATCGAGATTCGAACCTTAAAAACGTTTCCTTTACAGACATGGTCAAATGCGGGCACAAGAAATATATCTATTTTAGACATAATCCTTTCGAACCTTAATCTTTTATTATTAGTAAGCTAAATAGAGAGATTTTAGTGGATGCTTAGTGATGACTACTAAGTACTAAACATATATCAGGTGGCTTTCACATTTTTAACTTTGTACTCTTTTTCTCTTACTAAACTCGTGTCGAACACATTACAAACACTCACTCTCTGTTCTTTATAGTGATGGCCAACGGCAATAGAGAAGATGCTCTTTCCTTCATGATCAATCCCCTCACGTCGTCGTCGTCTCCGGTGGCAGTTTCCGACCCCGATAGTTACCTTCTAGACAGCTCTCAGATTGGGAGCGCTTCCGGGAGCTTCCAGAACGAGGGTTTTCTCGGCGGCCTCGATGCTGCCGGCGGCGGAGACGCCGAGTTCGGTTTCTCCCGCCCGGATTTCCGGCAGAGCCCGCTGGTTGGCACCGTGGAGTTCTATGAGCGCCACGTGTTCCTCTGCTACAAGAATCCTCAGGTCTGGCCTCCCCATATTGAGGCCACTGAGTTTGATCGCTTGCCCAGGCTTCTTGCTGCTGCACTCGCTGCTCGCAAGACTGATATGAAACGACAGGTTTATCCCTTTTCTTCTACATCTACTCCTAATCTCTGGTAGATTAGTTCATTGATTGCAGCTTCGTTTGTAGTGATTTAGTTGATTTGTAGGATTGTAGGTTCTCTTGCCATTCAAAATGTCTTATTTGCTCGATTTGAAACACATTCTATTGCAAGTTAAGGATTTATGTTCACCCACTACTTGAAAATACTCTTAATATGTCAACTTTGTAGTCAATTTGAAAGTTAATCATTTTGCTATACATACCCAAATTTACAAGTGCAATCTTTGGGTCAGTGTTTAATTTATTTAAGGAAGAAAAAGGAATTAGGATTAGGAAGTACATGAAAGCCATTAAAAGTCATCTCTTCTTTCTACCAAGAGGAAGGAGTACATAATATCTAAAACAACACTTTTAGAATGAAGTGGGTGTGTAAAGTTTTAATCTTTTTGATAGTCAAGGAATGGGGATATCATTGGACGCACCCATAGTGGTAAATGTTCTGTGGAACTAAGATCATAGCTTCAACTGGTAGCTCCTCGTGGGATTAGATACAATTGACATGCTTTATTTACTTTTAGGTTCCATTTTTCCTAGACTAATATTGATATATTCTTTTGTGCCTTATCTAACATCAATGAACAAAAGCTTCATGTGTAATTATGCATTACCCACAAGTTTTGCAGCTTAATTCATCGATTTTTCTTAGAAGGGTGTTATGCTTCGTAGCCTTCCTTTGTCTTTGGAGCTAATAGAGTAATGTGTTTAATACTTTGCCTTCAGGTTTTTTATCTGTTATCTGTGTCTCACTGATTACATTAACCAGACTTCTGTTTACCTTTTTACATTTTTTTTTTTTAAATAATTATTGTTGAGCATATAACATATATAAACATAAATGTGCAATCCAACTATCAGCTTAGGCTTTTAGTTGAGATGGAGCACATGCTTCAATTATTATAATATGTAATGCATCATTCTTTGTGGAAATAACCAAAATATGATCATTTACCTTGTGTTTTTTTGTTTCTTCAAGACCCGCTTGACAATATGTGAAGGGCGTGATGGTACTGAGACATCGAATGGGGATGTGCTGATCTTTCCGGACATGATCAGATACAGGTCAAGATAGTGTTTAATATCTAGCATTAATTTGGAAGCTTAGTTTCATCACCATAGCATGAGAGTTTATTTCCTAATACTGCAGGAGGTTGACTCATTTTGATGTGGATACATTTGTTGAGGAGGTACTTGTGAAGGATAGTGAATGGTCGCCTGGAGCTCCAGAAGCTCTTAGGGGCTGGTATATTTTTGTGTGCTGTCATGGTACAAGGGATCGTCGGTGTGGTTATTGTGGACCACTTATAGTTAATAGATTTAAAGAGGAGATAGAGTTGCGTGGTCTTAAAGGTAAAGTGTCTGTTAGCCCATGCTCACATATTGGTGGCCACAAGTATGCTGGAAATTGCATCTTATTTGGGCCTAGATGTAGCAAGGAAGTCACTGGGCATTGGTAAGGAGAGAGCTTCTCTCGATGTCTCAATTCCCCTCCCTCATTTCTTATCTTCAATGAACTATCAGTATGATTTGTAAATTGCATTGTAAACATATTTGAGTTACTTTTAATCGTATGTTTTAACATGTTAATAGGTATGGGTATGTATCTCCAGATGATGTACCTATCTTGCTTGAACAGCATATTGGAAAAGGAAAAATTGTTGATTATTTGTGGAGGTAATATCTTCTGCTGCTACATTTGAGTTGTGGACTTAATGAAGCATGGCTTGTATTTTAAGTGAATGAAAAATTGAGTTATTAAAGACTGGCAAGTTACAATTATTTACTCTGTAATAGACTACTTTTTGGGAGTCTATTCGTACCTATAAATTTAATGGTCAAAAAACATGTTTCTGTGCAAGCTTAGGCATGGGTTCCCATATAGTTTTCATATTTATTTTTATTTAATATTTTGCATGAAAGTGTTTATTTTATATGGAGTATTTTAAAAACTTTAGAAGCATACCGATTTAGGAACATTTGAAATTCAAAGGTTTTCATTCAGCATGTCTTTTAAAGACTAAACACCTTTTCTAACTCTATTATTGGGCATTCGAGCTTGTCAAAGAAAAATAAATAAATAACGGGGCAACCCCATCCATGATGGCAAGAGATCCACGCTTGTAACTACAAGGTCACAACTCAAAAGTTTGAATCTTTCCCCCTTGGTTTGAGCCGGTCAGTAAGGGTGAAAATAGGCCAGACCCCTTCGTAGGGGCCTATGGCTTGGCCTAGCTGGCCTAGCCTATTTAGTAAAAAGGCCAGGCTTAGGCCTATTTAGCTAAATAGCCCAGGCCTATATGTACAAGGCCTAGTCTTCAAGGCAACCATTCGCTACCGGTCAGCTATGGTCCTTTGTCGGCTAGGGTCACAAGGCGGGGTTTACTCACACTTGAAAAAGTTGTGGGGTTTCCTTCGTCATCCAAAAATTTGTGGGGTTTAATCTCCACTTAATGACTAAAATCCTAGTATATACGGTAACCTCAACGGGTTATTGTTTATTTGGCAAAATGTGAATTTCTTGTGTTGATGTACATCTTAAGTGTCAAATTTAATAATTATAATCATGATGATATTATTATTATTCGTATTTTGCATAAAATGTATAAATATAATTTTTTTTGGAAGACAACATTGGCTATTGTCAACCAGTCGTGGTTGTCTAGAAATTTGACAGATATGGTTGCCAATCTGTTATTAGATGAAAGGCCACCTTCGTCAACTTTAGGAGGAAGGCTGAAGGCATCCATGACCGCCTTTTTTAACCTCTGAGGGAAAGATTATCCATATTTTAATGGATAAAGTTTAGGACTAAGAATTGTTAATTCTTGAAAATTAAAGAAAACTGCATTTGAATGCCCAAAGGACCAACTTGTGGGTTAGCCATTGTATTTTGTGGATAAACTTGTAGTACTTCCATCTTGTTTTCAGGGGACAGATGGGACTATCACAAGATGACCAAGAAAAGTCGCAGAGGCTGAGGCTCCAAGTTAATGGCAGTTCCTATGTTGAAAGAGGAACGCAATGCTGCCAGTCAAATGGAAGCTTTTTTTGCTGTCAGAAAACTCCATTATCGGAGCAGAGAATCAATTCGGATCATGACGATGAGGCAGCAAATTTTATGTTTGAAAGTAAAAATAGCTTGAGGAAGCAAAATTCCCGAAATAAGGGCAGGAATGGGTCCCACACGCGCAAAACTTGCTCTGTGCCTACGTGGCGTGAAACCTGGGAACGTGAAGATACATACGCAGTTCTTGCTGTTATTGGCGCTGTTGCATCAGTTGCGTTCGCATACAACTGCTACAAACAGCTGAAGTAATAATATGAATATGCCTGCTGACTCTAGCTCTAGTGTGTCATATCATTATTATGTATCGAAATTCGAAAGGAAATCTTAGTTAGTTGTGATGTAGATTGAAGTTGGTGCTACCGAAAGCACCTATGGAAGATCATGGTTTGTCTAAAGAACATCCCAGTTTGTAAATTTAGACATTGTTTCGCGTAATTTGACTACCAAGACTATGAATCTAATCTATGTTATCCTAAAAAGCCTTGTGAATAGCATTCTCCATAAAACTGGTTTTTCACTCCACAATCTACCTTGTGTGTGTGGCTACAAAAGGCTGATTTCTGAAGAAGCTTTACGTCTAACGATCTAACCTCTCCCTTATTGTGTTGAAGATGGCTTCAGCCGCCATAGATTGGAGATGTGGAGGCGGTGGCCGTGGGTGTCTCAGGCAATCGATCAGTCTCCACAGGCAATTACAGACGGGTCGACACCAGGCGAAGATGATCCCGATTTGTGCAATCACTCCACCAGTGAAAACAACTATGGCCATTGGCTCCATGCTCATAAAGGTATTGTCTTTGTCCCCCCAGGGAAATCTTGAAGAATGGAAGGCTAAAAATACTAGATGGGTAGTTGGGTGCTGAGAATTTTTCATGTTTTTTTGTTTTGTTCTTTGGTAACGTTGTACATTGTTTCTTGCACTAATTACTGTCCCATCAGTTTGTGTTTAGCATCAATTGTCTTTGCAGTAGTAATTACTGTATCTTAGGAATTGTCAGTTGTAACATCAATGAGAGAAGGTATGAATCCATATTTAAGCAGGCAATATAAGACACTGTTACAAGGTAGTATCTGTTCTATTACAATTTTATGAACAATTTAAGTTTTTTGTTTTTTCGATTACTATTGACTCTATTACAAGGTAGTATCTGTTCTATTACAATCTTGGTTTTAGATGACGAAAATAACAATCTTTTTTACTTACAGAATATTGTCCATACAATACAAGAGAAGAGGCACTTCCAACTATTTTGAATACAACAAATTTGAACTGTTCTCAACAACAACAAACAATGCTATGAATCTATGATCATTAACATCAAATATGGCAGACATCTAACATTTCCCAAATGCTGAAGAACACCATTGTATGGTTTTATAGAGTGAAAACAAAATGGCAACCCGCTTAAAAAAAATCGAATTCGAGGTAATTGTCGGAGTTCTGAGGACAGGAGGGGATAGCTCCAGCAGCGACAACGCTTTTCTGGTTACTCGGTGCCGGTGGAGGAGCTGGTATTCTCTCGAATTCAACCGGTCTTGGCACCTCGGGAGGGCTGGCACAGCGAATTAAAGCCCAGTTTACGCCTTCGAAGAAAGGATGCTGCTTGATTTCGGTGGCTCCCCGCTTGTATGCCAACCGGTGCTGTGGCTCTTTCACGAGCAACCCTCTGATCAGATCTCTAGCGGAGAAACTCACCACCGGGGACTCTGGAAACCGTAAAGGCTGACCCACGACGTTGAAGAGAGTAGCTCGGTTACCTGATCCTTTGAAGGGTGTCTTACCAAACAGCAACTCGTACAGAAAGATCCCAAACGTCCACCAGTCCACAGCGCTCCCGTGCCCTTCGCCTTTGATGATCTCGGGCGCAAGATACTCGTGGGTCCCAACGAACGACATCGAGCGTGCTCCAGTTGGCTCAGCAATCAGCTCTGGCAACGGGCTAACTTGGTTCCCAACTTCATTCTTCAGCTTCTTTTCCTTCTTCGACTTGCCAGAGAAAAGGCGAGGCCCGAAGCACGAGGTCGGGACCACGCAGGACGGCTGGATACACGACGGTTCAATGCACGCAGGCTGGACACAGTAAGCAGAATTCTTCCTCAGCGGCTCCGCCTCGAGAGACGACGACTTAACAAGCGTCGGGCTGACAGAACAGCGAAGAGAGAGGTCAAAGTCGGAGAGCATTATGTGTCCATCTTCCCTTACAAGAACATTTTCTGGCTTAAGGTCACGATAGACGATACCAAGCATATGGAGATACTCTAGAGCAAGAAGTACCTCTGCTACATAGAACCTACATTCCAAGAGAATAAAAACGCCAAAATTAACTCTTTACCCCTTGTATACTTGCAATATAGAGTCTAATTATGTTAATTATGTTTAGAAAGCAAGAAAATTCCCGAGAGAAGATATAAGCAAGGTGAGGGAGGAATCATACTTCACGGCTTGTTCAGAGAAATGTTTTCCCGGTTGTTTCTGCCGGAGAGTGTGCAAGTCGCCTCCCGGGCAGAACTCCATTACGAGACACGAAAACTTTTCAGACTCGAAATGTGTGTACAAACTTGGGAGGAACGGGTGGTCTAAAGACTGCAGTATCTCTCGCTCGGTCTGAGCCCGGAGCAATTTCTTTCGGCTTGCCAGTGATGCCTTGTCCATAACTTTCATGGCGAAATAACACTTTGTACCGCACAACTCCGAGAGATATACGCTCCCGATATCGCCACTGCCCAACTTCTTCAGCAACCGAAAGTGCCTCAAGTCCAAGACCCCGTCTCTAGCTCGGACAGCTTGGATGGCTTCCCATCTCGAGTCGTTTGCTTTGTGAGGCTTATTAACGCTGCTGCTCAAGCTGCTACAAGTGCTCTCGTCGCTTACATCGCTGCTCGTGCTACCCCGATACATGCTGCTCTTCCCACTCTCGATAAAATCAGTCCTTTCGCTAGTTTTGCCAATTCCACTCGTTTTTGCAACGCTACTTTCTCCATTGCTAACTTCAATCGAGGCTGAGGTGTCTTTAACGGTACCACTTCCCGAAGCTTTCTTTTCCTGATCAGCTCTCCGTTCAGGTAAGCCCTTTGTATCACCGGAAGGTGGTTTTTTGATACTACCCAAATTCAAGCTTGAATCGAGGTGGTTAGCAAGAACCTCCTTTGACCTTAAATTCTCCGAATTGCTATTCTTTGATGTTTTCGAAGGTGTAGGCCTGTGGGAGCTCCTCTCTAATGTTTGGTTCTGTCTCTCGAGGGAACTCTTGACGCCAGGTTTTGAGGCCATTGATACGAAAACAGATAACTATATCTTCTCGAGCTAGCCAAACCCATCACTCAGTACCCCGGTCCAACGCATATACCCCTCGCGAATTGAAAGGAAAAATAATCACTGATAACTCCATCCAGAACAGAAGTATCTATAACCAAGAAAATAAGCAGAATCAGCAACATAATACACTGATCTATGCCAAAAACCGGAATTCACAACACAGATGTTTCTTATGCATCTTACAGAAAGAATTTACAGCAAAAGAGTGATATTCTGTTGGGATGAAAGTGCCAAGATTAGTAAGGGAGATAGAGATATAGAGAGAAGAAAACAGTGTTAGGGCAAGCAAAAGAAGCTCAAACTATAAACAGAGACAAATATACTGAAATTAAGACACAAACACACATGCAGTTGTATAGAAACTAGATGACATTTGATTAAACAACTATACTCCATGCCCAGAACCAGAAATCTAGTTGCAGATTTAGATCAATTTCATCATCAGAAACTACTTAGAGAAAAGCTAATCTACCTCAAAATGATAATCTTTCTTTCAGAAATTGAGAAACTTGAACCACCAGATACTACAGAGCCCTATTAATTCAGAAACGAAAATGTAGCTTTTCTACAGCTGCCAGAGACATCAAACACCACAAAGCAAGAGATAAGAACAAGCCCAGATAAATAGAAAAAGAAAAAAAAAAAAAGAAAAAAAAATGGGAAAGGGTCAATTGAAAGCACACAGATCTTGTGCAAAGACCCACTCTCTTTCTAGGGCAACCCTACCAAGAGGATCGGACCCATATGCTAATAAAACAAAGTAAAGAAGGTATGGAGAAACAAACCCACCAAGCAATTCACTAGGCCAGTTCAAAAGTCCAAGGGAAAAGCAGCCTAAAAAAATGGTACCTCAAATCACAAAGATCAGAACTTTAGGGTTTTATGCTTTAGCAATGGAGGAGAAAAAAGGAGTATTATGACTGTAGAGAGATAAAGGAGAGTATAGGGGACCCCATCATATGTATGGGAAAGAGAAAAGAGAAAGAAAAAAGAGAGAAACTTTGTGGCTTGAGAGTGTAGAAAGAAAAAGAAAAGTGCTGATGAGACTCTGGCCTAGCTTTGCCAAACTCAACCCACCATCCATATTCCACAATCCACACTGTAAATCAAATCTTAAGTGCCCAGAAGTTTTTCAAGAAAAAGACATACCTCCAGTAAATAATCCTTAAAAATTACAAACGTAGTACTGTTAACAAAGTCTGAGGCATAGATTAACCTCCATTAATACCACTTATCCAATGTTTGTGAGATCCTAACTAAAGAATGTGCATTGAAAGGGGAGAGAGAACGTGGAGGGGTCAAAGCTAAAGTAAAGCTTTTCACGTTCAATAATTTCATTGTATTTTGTCCCAAACACTGGTGTCTGTCTGAATCAACATATGGGGCCTCAAAAGACTCCAACCTGTCTCTCATGCTTGATGGGGCCCTCAACCCCCCCCCCCTCCTCCATTCCCCCAGCCCTTTTCTCCATTAATTTTCCCATTTAAGGCTTGAACTACTGACTAATGACATGTGGTATCCTTGTTAGCCAGCCCAACAGTGGTCCATTTTCCATCTCAAAAAAGGGTGGTTTTGCTTCTTTGGGTTGTTACTTATCTTTTCAATTGGTCCAACTCCAAGTTAGGTGTGAATGAATGAATGATTTCTTGATTTGTTTTCCTTTTTATTTATTCATTGCATTCTTTTAGGAAATAAAAAGAAATCATCATTTTTTTCTCTTACTTAAGTATATCATAATCAGTTGTTCAGTAAAACTATTTCTTGATGTGTTCATATTTTACTATATATTTAATCACGGGCTCTGAATATTGCATGCATTCGACTCTGAATCACGGGCTCTCGCAAAGTTTAAATTTTTATTCGAATCCAAAAATCTTGAAAACACATGTTGTATTGTTGTGTATGTTGACAAGTCAGGATTGGCATCAGAATATTTGCTGAGGTTAACAATGAAAGGAGAAGAGAAAGGCTATTGCTTTAATCCAAACCTAACCTAACCCTACACTTTTTCCCATCTATCAAATCATTGATATGATCGTCCTCATTATTTGTGGCCAAGAAACAGCAGGTAACAGTTTCACTTGGAGGGCTTCTTGGCCTTGTTGGAACAGTCCCTGCAAGATGAATAAACTCAACATTATTATATCTGTGAAAACAGTGAAAGCAGGTGGAGAAGACAACATGCTTACTTGTTAATGTTGTTGAGATTCTTTTCTAATATTTTAAGGTTGATTGATTATTAGCCTAAAAGAACCATATATCTTTGTTGATGGCCTTTTAGGCTAATAATCAATCAACTGGTACTAAAATGAGAGAAGACATTGCAAACAACAATGAGAGAAGGTTGAAATTTTGGTTGTTTCTTTCATTCTTTGTGTTTTACAGAGAAAAGTCTTCAATAAAGTTAAAAAGGTGTGATCTTTGGTGTTTTGGTCAGCTCATCTTCTTTCTGGGGGGTAGCTGAGAAGATTGGGATAAGAGATTCCTTTAAATTCTCAAATACATGAGATCAGAGTAAATGGTGGAATATTTTTTTGTTTATTTGAAATGATGATATGCACTGGAATATATAGTATTAAGATTTGTGTTTAGACAAAGAATCCACATGTCAATTTGACCACACCAGTTGTTGTCTTCAAACCCAGATTCACTAATCCAAGATGAATCACCACCCACTATCACTAATCATGAATCCATGCCTTTAGAGTACAAGGTAAAATACTAAAATCCTTTCAGAATATTATGTAAACTATGTCATGCATACTTTATTCCCAATCATCTTTTATTTTGTAGACAGAATAAGTCTTTGATTTACGGAAAAGTCTATACCCTTTATTCAAAGGTATGCTCTGAGTGAAAGTCGCCTAAAACTGGTATGGTATTTGGTAGATTGGCTGCTATTCTGGGGAATAAGAAGTCTCTGACTATAAATAGAACTGTTTCAATTAAAGAGGAGACGTTAGTTCTCAAAATCATTCATGTGAATCATGTATCTGCTCCTGTTTCCCAATGAATTCTCTCTTTTTGGTCTGTCCCAATAACATTTATTTCATGCTGCAGTAATGACTGTCATAAGATCAGAATTTTATTTATTGCTAATTTGGTTAATTTGGAGAGTATCGAATTTGTAAACCAAATTAACCTATAACCAAACTAAGGAAATGGTTATTCTCTTATCTCTTCATTTTGTGGGTCTAATTCTTTCACATCATATAATATTTTTTCCAATTCTTTTCTCCTCTTCTCTTTATTTGTGGGCTCTACTTTTTCACACTCCTACACATAATCTATTATTTTATTCACTTATCTATAATTAATAATTTCAACTTTATAATTATAATTTTTAATTTTGATTTTAAATAAAAATAAATTTAGGTATGAGTGGTAAATACGTTGAGGTATCGTGCAAAATTGTATTTGGTCTCGGGTAGTCCATAGTCGTATGTGTGGTCGGATGTTCCTGAGCTTAGATAGAATAAGAATGAAAAGCCAAAAGTCTCTCCTCAATGCATCAAATGTGCTTTATATAGAGGGTTGAAAGGGACACATGTTGGAGGCTCGGCATGTTAGTCACATGTCCCGCATGCACTGAGAAGGTTGAAGGCGTCGCCGATACGTCCACGCGCAAAGAGGTTCCTGACATATTTGATTATGATGTGATCGGCAGAGCGATATTAGTTTTGTTTACCCACTAAATGTAGAAGGCTTTGCGAATGAGACAATTGGTCTGAGCGTTAAGGTCAGGAATTCCGCATAAGCTTAAGGTATGCTGTACAACAACTAATAACCTTGGGGGAATAGATTTGTGCCTCAACTCGAGTCAGGTTGGACCCCGAGGGGGTCAGATGCGATCGTGAAATGTCCCTCACAATATATAGAGTACATACCGAGCAAATATACGGTCATACGTCCGAGAGGTATTCCCTAACAAGGTAAAAAAAGATTTTTTTTTTAATTAAAAAAAAAAAGTTACAAGTAACCTTTTTGAGATTTCCAAAAGGTTAAATATTAACATTTCGGAAATCTCTAAAGGTTTTTTTTTTTTTTTTTTGGTTTAAATAACATAGTAGTGGGTGGGGAACAATTGCGCATCATTTATGGCGTGTGTCACTCACGCACCACGTGATTGGCGCGAGTCTGCTCACGCGCCACGTGATTGGTACACGTGATTGGCGCGCGTCTACTCACGCGCCAATCGCTCATACACCACGCGCCTTCTTAAATTACCACCCGAGAGGAAACTAATTAAGTTGTCTACTCTAAAGATTATGCTTCCCTCTCTTCCAATTATTTTTCCCTCTTTTCTCCTTCTCTTATCTCCATGATTGGAGATGCTCCAACAATATTATCGAATTAGTGACTGAATTATAATTATAGTCTTCATACATTCCTCATTAAGTGTAAATTACATAATCTTTATCATTATTCCCAATTAAGGCTATCCCAATTTCATGCTGTTATTAATGGACTTACTAAAAAGTTTCCTCAATGTTGATTGGTTATAGTGATCTACTATCCTAATTTCCCAATGCAATCAAATAAAAAATTTTAAAAATTTAATACCATTTTTACTTTCCTAATTAATCTTGTTCTCAAAATCTCATCCCATCAAATTTGCACTCTTCTTCTCTATAAACTCTCTCAAGTCCATTGCTTCACTACTTCCAGTCTGAACAACGATTGCCAAGAACTGCAAAGGTATGTCATTCCTTCTTTTTCTTTTTCTTTTTTAATAAAATTTATAATTTCCTAATTATTTTCTTTCTTTCTGTTGATATACAAAAAAAAAAAAAAAAAAAAAAAATCTTCTTTGGATTTTTATTTTTTGTTTTTAAAGTTTGTTAGGTTTAGACTTTTTAAAAGGGATAAGTAGGCGATTTTACTTGTTATTTATTGAGTATTGATCATTGAGTAGAAATTTATACGTGTGATAAGTATATATTGTTGAAATTGGTTCATGTTAGTAATAGATATATACAACAATTGAGAATTTGAGAATAATGCTGAGTGGCGGTTGATACACACAGCAATCTTGACTAGGATTTATTTATACTAGTAATAGGATATTTAAAAGAAGTATGAAGTATTTTAATTTATGCCTCGATATATAGATCAGATTTATGCAACAATTGATGTTGATATTGAATTAATCTCTGTGAGAGTTTATTGTCAGTTAGGATATATGTAAAAGAAGAAATATGAAGTACATACTTTAGTTCTTGACATAAATTATCATATAGACAATAATTGAGGTTATAGCAATCCCGTGGTTTTTGGAATAGTAAAAAATCAATGGGCTGATTTTTAACAATTGGAGGGTGATTTTTTGAATGTTTTTTCTCGTGCAAATGTATGTTTTTTGTGGGTCCAGAGGAGAGAGAAAGGAATGCAAAACTACTGCAGAAAACTCGCATGTGGTGCAAATCTCCCGCCAATTGGGCGCGTGCAACCGTGCAGTGCACGCGCTCGGCTTGGCGCTTTAATCTATTGCTTTTTTTTTTTTTTAATAATAATAATATTTTTTTTTTGTTTTTTTTTTCCTCTTCCCTCTTCTTTTTCTTAGTTGTCCCGACAAAAATCACCAAAAAATTTGTACTATTGAGGTTGCTCTTAATATTGAATCACTTTTTTTACATATGACAATCACTGTTAGAAAGTCTTAAGAAACAATATTTACATATAGTATGTCATGTGTTCTTTAATTTCGTGCATAGGAATCACTGTTTGATATATATGTTTTCTCTAAATGCTTCATAGTAACATGAATCTCTGCGCATGATCATATGCTTAGCGACGCAAAAAATCGAGAATGGAGCACTTAGCATCACTTTGGATGTATAACTCAACACCAAATTGGACTCGGCATGAAGACAAGATGTTTGAGATTGGGCTTGTGCGATATGGAGAAGAAAGAGTTGACAGATGGGCAAAAATTGCAGAGTTGCTCCCTGGGAGAACAGACAAAGATGTGGAACAACACTATCTCATTCTGCTGGCAGATGTAGCAGACATTGATGCTGGGCTTATTGAGGTTCCAAACTACCTCGACAACCCGGTTTTGTCAGACGAAAAGAAGGGCAAAGAGCCCAGGAAACAAGCACACCAATGGACTGCAGAAGAACACAAGTACACATACATATGCATGCATTATATATATATATATATTTTTTGGTCAGACCATGAGGTATCTTGAGCAGACCCTAACTGTAGGAGGCACCATTAAATCCGTACCATACTCATACTCAGACTAATCCCTGTTCGCACCAGGAGGGCCCAATTAAGGGGCAAAGTGCTGACCAGATTGAAGCTCCTTGATCATATCGCCCTTTTAAGTAGTGTTGTTTTCGTGTTGCAGGAGGTTCTTGGAAGGGCTAAACAGATTTGGCAAAGGGGATTGGAAGAGCATAGCTAGACAGTGTGTTAGGACAAGATCAGCTACCCAGGTTGCCAGTCATGCTCAGAAGTATTTTATTCATCTGGAGAAGGATGCCAAGAACAGGACCAAGAAGAGGTCAAGCATCTATGATGTTTCCTTGGATGACTAAACAACCTTATTATCATCTGTTGCTGCATATGTAGAATGTGCCATGACTCTAGTTTTTTTTTTTTTTTTTTTACTTCCAATGATTCAAAAGATTTTATACCTTAAAACAGATGTTTTTGCATGATCAGAAGTGGAAATTAAAAACAAAGGGGAATTGAAGTTAGCATTCAAGATGTGATTCAGCATAGTAATGTACAAAAAAGGAGTTTTACATTGAGTTCAGACAGGAGTTGGGGGATATTCATATTCTGGTTTTGAATCTTCTTTGTTGCCTTCTGCATTCTTGAGCTTCAAAGATGGAGGCTTTGCGGGCTGCTCGATCTCTCTCGGTTCTTTCATGTTGAGAAGCGTGTAAACCGTCATTCCACCAAGTGCAGCAATGGCTCCACAGATGCTCACAACCCCCGGATCCGAATCGAAAAGCAAATACCCTCCCAGCACAATCACACAGGTCTTGAATTGCCCTAAAACAACATGGGATGTTGCAGATGTTGCCCTGCAATTCATAAAGTTCCATTCTTTTTTTAGTAAACCTTCCAAAGTCCTAAACTTTAAGGGACTAAAACTCTAAAAGCCTTTCATTCTCACCCAAGTGCCAGGGCTCCAGACCATTGCAGGAGAAAACCAAGAAAAGCAGATATGAAAATAGCAGTAGCATTCTGGGCATTCCACTTGAATAACAAAGCGCCCGGGGGATCCAACCATGGCATGAGAGCCAGCAAGAAAAATATCGTGATAGGGGTCGTCTTCCACATCAACCTACACACAGATTAATAAATCACTCAACTCTTCTTAGCTTATTATTATATCAACTTATCATCGAAGAAGAGATGACACATACGCGAGTGCAGTCCAATTCTTTTGCTGCTGAAGATTAGACCACATAATTTTATTCGTGGCACTCGGGATTATCCAAGCTATTGCGATACAAGCCCCGAAGACATTGAATTCCAAATCTGTCACAGTAGCAACTGCCACCCCTACCGAGACTACTGACAGAGCCAAAACCTGCATTATATTGTTCCAAGAATAAATTAAACATCATCGTTTTGTAACTAAATGTTGTATGGATCGGAGGAAATGTTGTTTGGACTGACTTTTTGAAATGATATTTTCCTTGTGAAAAGGATGAACTCAACCATGACAATTGTTGGAGTGACAGCAATCTTAGCCATTTGATAGAAACCTACACTGCACATGCATACATGAGCTGATCGATCGAATAATCAAGAAAAACAAGCAAACAACATAAGTCCTAGGTAGCTAGGTAGATTCAGAGAGAGAGAGAGGAACCTGTTGTGTTTGAGGCTAGTGTTAGCAAGGCCAGATGCAAAAGCCATGACGGCTCCCAAACTAAACAACGAAGAGAAAGGCGTGGATTTAGAAGGAGGGGCAACCGGCAGCAATGACAATGTCCTGAAAATGGCAAGTAGGATCCAAGCACAAGCATAATGAATTAATGTAAGCAAGATCGGGAAATTGAATCCAACTCTGCCCATAACCTGTAAACACAGAACATAACAACGTTGTTTTCATCATTAATAAGAAGCAGGCAAGGTTACTACATTGATGAAACAAACGATCGAGCATGGAAACAGACACATACAAGCTTGTTTCCTAGGATTATGCCAACAGAAACCATGAAATTAAAGGTCATTGCCACAACCGGCCTACAGAATCGCTGCTGCTGCCGCTTGGCTCCTTCTGAGGTCCGGAGCTCGTTGTGGAGAGAACTTCTTAGCTCTTCCAAAGCTCTACCTGGTTATATATGTCCAACAAACTATACTATCAGCAATAAAACAGTATCATCATCTCACCAATCCAAACAATACCAAAATATTTCAAATATATATAGCTTCTAAGGCAACTGGAGATAACTGATTGAGCTTAATTTCATTGGAGACACAGACAGCTTGACAGTTAAAAACATCAAAAAAGTTGGTTGGTGGAACATATATGGTTGGGGTTTAGTAATCATAGGTATTAACTGATCCGAGGTTGGAAGATCAGAAACACATTATATTCATACAAGATTAGATTTTTTTTTCGATCCGAGGAGATGGAAATACAAGAATGTTTGTGTGAAGCTATCAAGATTAATATATCATCATCACTGGCCTGAAGTTTTCGAGACACCTGGAGAAGGCATTCCTGGTATCCTGGAGGAAGGGTTGCGCTCTGACGTACAAACAAAAAGATTTGTGCTTTGACATCACATCACACACACACACACACACACACACACATATATATAAAGAAACATGAAAAAGATTTTGAATATAATTCAATCTGGAAAAAGAGATGAGATGAGGATTATATTATGGCTAACCTGCTTCACCTGCGTCACTATCTTTGCGCTTGAAGTTGTGCCTCCTGTCATCCCTTCCAAACAATGAATCAAAGAAGCCCATTCCCTTCACTGGTATCATTTATTCAACAACAATATCTAATGCCAAATACCCAAATCAATCATTATTATGATCAAAAACTACAACTCAGATAAAACAGGAATACTGTTGTTGTTTTGTTAAGGCCATGCAACGAGGAACAGGGAAACGGTAATCATAGTACGTACTAGCATGTGTTTAAGATTTATTTATGTGGGAGATGAAAATCTGCAGCAGAAACCCAAAGAAGATGCAGTTGGAGTTGAAGACTTATTGTTTTTTATTGGTGGGATGAGTCCGAGGAATTAAGATAAAAGGGCAGTGTCCAAGAACACGTCAAACTACTGCTCAGTCATGCTCGCTCTTATCACGGATCTCAACTTCTCAGTTTCAGACTTCCTAGGACTGTTTGTGTTTGGGATAACCCCCAATAATTCACTAGTATAGTTATTAGTTAAAAACACACTTATACTGTTCGAACCTCCTCTTGTAAGAAAAAATTAATCTGACCAGCACTTTGCCCCTTAATTGGACCGGCCAGGTGCGACCGAAGATTAGTTTGAGTACAGTACGGGCTTAAAGATGCCTTCTACAGTTAGGATCTGTTCAGAACACCTCGTGGACGGACTAAAATAACATCCTTAAAAAGTAAGAATATATAGGATTAAGGTGTCAATCAGCACAAGTGTGCCTTTGCTTTTGTACGTACAAAATGATAATGGAGTTAACGTTAAAACAACCTGATTGAGAGTGAGTGGAAGATGTCATGCATGGCATTAGAGAGTGCCAAATTATGTAATTAAAATGATTTAGCACAGCTTGAGATAATCTTTGTATGAAATGAAAGCTTTACAGTTATGAACTTATGATTATCCTTAAAGAGTACATATAGATCTACAAATCAAGAAACACTACTTGCCCCGCTCGACTAAAATATCAATAGGAAACTGTATTCAATACTGCATGGTAAATATCTATGGCGAATTTTTGGAAGAATTGCTTAGGATTTTTCGTTCCAGGAGATCATTTTCGTTCTTGACTGCATCAAGATCTGCTCTGAGCTTTTCAATGTCTAAGCTTCTGGAGGTCATGTTTGCAAGCTTAGCTTCAATGTCAGCTCTTTCCCTCCGGGCTCTGTCGGTATCATGAAGTCTTTCAGCTATTTGTTCAAAGCTGTCATGAATGCTAGTGAGGATTCTGTAAGCTTGCTTCCCTGCCGGGTCTTTCTTTGCTTCCCTGCAGAAATTGGGCTTCTATGTTAAGGGCGAGGCAATGTACACATTTTCATAAATGTTTAGAATTTATGCAGGAAAGATGTTCGTACCTAAATATTGTTTCATCCACCACAGCATAAGTTCGATGAAGGCGTTCTTGGATAGAATTACTCTCCAATTGAAGCTCCCGTGTGTCTTTTAGGATTTTATCAACATCAACATCCTGTTTCCGGCTGTTTTTGGTGATCTCTATTATCCGTTGAATGTAAGTTTTCCTTGGTTCCAAATTGGGCTGTTTCTCGAGTTCTGCAGAAAGTTCACAAACTTCTTCCTCCCTATAGAATTAATATAAAAATGTTTCACAGCAGACAAAATCTATTTCATCCATTCTTCAGCACTCTACTTTGCTTTGAAGCCAACGACAACGTGTACTAAGGTAAGAGTTTATCCTTTGCAAAACAACAAAAAATCCTATGCTAGTACCTTCTTTTGATTTCAGCTATGATGCACTCTGTTTCCTCATCAATCTCTTCCAATTTTTTGAATTTCACATAAACCTCTGGTTGTGTTGCACGGAGAGCTTCCTCAAGTCTCATCTTTTCCTCTTCAAGAACTATTCTTTGGGCATCCCTGCAATAGAAATGAATTGTTGGGTTAAACAGATCATTGCATATTGCATAAACATCTGCTATTTCATTAATATGGAGCATGATTAAAGACCCCATCCTACCATTGAGCCTCCATTTTGGCAAGATCCTGTCTTCTTGCTTCCACTTGATCACTCAGCTGTTTAACATAGAAGTCAATGGGATGCTGGTCACATGATGACATTTTAATGGCTGCTTTAAGCAAGTCTCGCTTTTCTTGAAGATGTCTTAATTCTGAAGACCTTGAAGCCAAATCTTCAAGTAGTATCTTGTTTTGATTCTGTAAATATTCATTCTTGTCATTGATCCATACGAAAATAGATTGAGCATTGTCAATTTGTCACAAATCGTATCGACCTGACTTGTACCGTTAGCTTAAATCAACTAAAGAAACCAAAAATAGAGTAAATTTACCTTAGATTCGAGGTGCGAATCCTTGTGCTGCTCGTCATCCAAATTGTGTTCATCATTCCCCAAGTTGTCAACCTGAACCTCTCCTACTGAATCTTGAACATTTTGCAAGATACCTGCTTCCTCCATACCAGAGCCTTCTGCACCAGATATAGGAATATCAACACTGTCCACAATAGTTTCCATTATTTTTTTTCCTAATTTGACAAAGTTAAGTAGTTTCTTCAACACATTTCCCAACTTCTCCAAAACTCACTCATTTCCCGTGTGCTGTCAATCTTCTCACTCGGACTTTGGAGTTTCTGAGTCTATCCAAGCTTTTCAAGCTCCAGAAAACTCAGAGAACCACCCAACCAGGAAGTTAATAACTTTGATACTTTCCACTCTGCAATTGCATGAAAAAATTGATCTTTCACACTCTTAATAATGAAATCCAGAAAATAAAATAAAATAAAAATCGCAGCTTTAACACTCTTAGCTCAAGAAGCTCAAAATAAATCGATCCCCATAGCTATTAAGTAATGAAAGATGAGATTTTTGTAAAGAAAAACCTTACGGAAGCGGATAATCGCCGAGTAATCCTAGTGTCTGTAATGTGGACAAAAACTGTTGGCCGTCGAATTCTCCGATAAGAGATTGGATACAGAAACCGGTCCGAATATGAGATGAATGAATTGGTGCGAAGAGATTGAACAGAAAACGAACAGAATATTGGGCGTTAGGTCTCCGGTGGATCACTGCCGCGTGGAACCCAAGCTCCTCCGTACATCAGTTAGTTCGGCAGCTGCATTTACTAATCCCTTACGGTATAATAACCGACAAAAAATGTCAAATTTTTTGGTGAAAATGTAATCTTGAGGTTGATGTTGCTCCTTTCGTGCCCAATGCTACTTAGACCTCTTTTTTTTTTTTTTTTTTTTTCTTGTTATAATTATTTATTTATTTTATTAATTATCGATGAAATAGTTCATTTTACTATAAAAATTGTATGATTTGGTGTCAAAGATTATTGATAGGAAATATAAACTTGAGCATGTGCTTGTCTATATTATGGGCTAGTTCGCGGAACAAGGACAAATCGTTAAGGGGAACTGTTCCCGACCATCTGCCGATCTAGTGCGGTTCGACTCTTATCTCCTAAATGTATCGATCTTAATCCGGTATAAAGTAACTGTCTTAAATTCAAGAAATCGGACCCTTCCCGACCTAAAAAGGTTAGAAAGTAAGTTAGCTAACCTGACCTTCTGTACTTCAAAAAGTGATTAGAAGTCACATTAGTCAACTCGTTGGCGAGTAAAGTAGAAGCGCCATGAATCTTTGGGCACATGATAAGGTTCTTGAGGCCTCCAACCAACTCTTCTGCATGGGTAACATGTGTTGCTCATGTCGAGCTCCTGACATGTGTTCATCAGTTCTCCTATAAATAGCGCATTAAATATAAAGTGCAGGAATTTTGAGACATTTTCAATCTAACTTTATAAAGTTCGGGAATTTCTGACCTCACGTCATCAACCGAGCCTAATTTCTTAAACCAACAAGTAGATCAAATAAAGATAATCCGGTCCGACCTTAATACTTGTACTTATTTGTAGGAATCAAAGTATTTACCATATTAATTATTGTCTTTATAAATAAATTTTGACGTCAAGTAATATATTGTTATCGATCTATCAGTAGCTTAATTGATTCTCTAATCATTGTTAAATACAATGTGAGAAGTTTAATTTTATATAATAATTATTGATTAGAGAATTTACATTTTACACTTGAGTAAAATTTATTTATATATTTATAATAATAAGTAATGATAAATATTTATCAAAATGAGAGGTGAGAGTAAAACATGATTCTGGAACGTTGCAAGTTATTCTTACCAACATTTCCTTGTTTTTTCAATAACAGTCAAACGCTATAGGCATGTATGTTTCAACTGAATTAAGATGAATAGTATGAATTCGTGTTTGTATTTGAAGAAAAACAACATAAAGTGGTGAGTTTAAGGATTAAAAAATGGAAGACGTAGGAGTGAAAGAAGCAATTCTGGGAAATATGAATGTATGAAATTGCAGAGACGGTCGGCCACATGGGAAGAGGAGAGGCCCAATGATTGTACCTGTGACATGTCCTCTTCATAGTTCATACCTAAATGGTCAAATTAAAGAAGCTCCCAAGTCTGCACCTTCCATTTCTGATATCCTTCTGCGCATAATCCTTATTCTCTACCCTAAATTTTCCCAGGGGAAAAGAGAATAAGAAGAAGAAGAAGGAGGAGGGGTGAATGGAATTGGTAGCATATTCTGAGAAGAAAGAATCCGGAAGAGAACCCCATGCTTCACCGCCCTGGAAAGAGATGTTTCAGTCTGCATCCATGAGAAAGCCCGACGACAACCCATCACCGCAGAACCCATTGGCGCCGCCGCCAAAACCTTCCTCGTCCGATGATCACAATTCCTCGTCATGGGACCCACAGGTACGCCTTGCTATCTACATAGCCATGGCGCATGCTGGGCTTGCCCTCATGATTTTCATTCTTTATGGCATTTGTAAATTGCTCGAACAATACATGCGGCCGCTTCTCTGGGCTGTGCTCTGTTCGATCCCTATGAGGGTAATTCAGCAGACTCTTGTTGCGTTTTGGTCCGAGCCTCTCAAGATGGGGCTCACTGAGACCTTTATGGCGATCCCCGTCGCCATTTTCAGGGTTTTTGTTGGGACCCTTGTTGATCTTAAGGAGAAGGCCTTCAGTATTGTTCTTAGGAGGAAAAAAGTTTGTGTCTTTAGGGGGCGTCGTAGAAGTGCGTTCTATAAATTGCTGAGATTGCTAGTGTCTTTCTGGGTGTTTGTAATTGCTTATGAGAGAATTGGGGCTGTTAGCTCCATAGCACTTCTTGCTCTGGCCTTCCTGTTTTCAGCTTCCAGTGTGGATTCTACGATGAATACAGTTAGTAGTCTTAGGAGTCAGAGCTTTCGCAGGTTGCCCATTAGTTCTTTCTTCACCAGGGGGATATTGAAAAGGCTGAAAACCATGGTGGCGATTGGATTGATAATTGGATTGAGCGTTGGTTCTTTGACTGGCGTTATATGCTTTTCGTATAAGATTGGGGTTGAGGGAAGAGACGCTGTTATTGGGCTGAAATCGCACGTGGAGGAGAACAATTACACGGAGAGAATTGGGATTACGAAATGGATGGATGATTATGATGTGGCTGGGATGGTTGATAAGTATACGAGTCAATTATATGGAACCGTGTCTGATCAGATTGATACCTATGCAATGCAGTACAATTTGACCGAGTTTGTTTCTGGCATCAAACACTCTCTGATAGCTCCATTAAGAAACACTTCAGAGCGCTCCCGAGTTATGGCTCCCCCATCTCCATATGCTGAGAAGATGCTGAGCCTGAAAAAGAGGATTAGGGATCGAGAATGGGGGCAAATATACACAGAAGTGGATGTTATCTTTAGGGAACTGTTGATTACCAGAGAGGATTTGGCTGAGAAGGCTAAAGAATTCGCGGTTCAAGGAGCTAATGTGATGCAGCGTGTATTAGTTAGTGGTAAATCCATTCTGGGTGGCAGTGTGAAGGTCATGTTTTTGATTGCGAATTCCATCGTTTCTGGAGCTGCTGGTGTTGTCAATTTTCTGTCCCAGTCGATGGTCTTCATTTGGGTGCTGCATTTTCTTATAACATCTGAATCGGGAGGAGTAACCGAACAAGTAATGTATATGCTTCCTATTTCAAATTCTGCCAGGACTCGGTGCGTTGAGGTTCTTGACAAAGCCATTTCTGGTGTTCTTATGGCGACTGTCGAAATCGCTTGTTACCAGGGTTGTTTGACTTGGCTCCTTTTTAGATTGTTCTCGATACACTTCTTGTACATGTCAACTCTGCTCGCTTTTATCAGTTCATTGTTTCCACTTCTCCCGTACTGGCTATCAACAATCCCAGCAGCATTACAGTTAATCTTGGAAGGACGATACATTCTCGCCATCAGCGTATCCGTCATTCATCTCGTGCTTATGGATTACGGTGCTTCTGAAATTCAAGAGGATATTCCCGGCTATAGTGCTTATCTCACTGGTCTCAGCATCATCGGTGGAATGACATTGTTCCCTTCAGCAGTCGAGGTAAACTGTTGTTGTGTTTGTCTCATATATGGATTAGGAATATGAGTTTGTCCCATACTAGGAATAGGAGTGAAACGGGTAGACCCATTGTACATGGATTATCCGTAAGGGGTTGTGTCATCACCATCAGCATCACTATTAATAAAAAGAATAGTTTCACTCCCGTGAATGTAGGCACATTGCCGAACCACGTAAATCTATGAGCATCATTTTGGCCACTAAACCTTTCTTAATCTTTAGGTTCATTCAGTAGGGGAAGAAAAGAACCATTCACTCTAAACTTAACATTAATTTCGTTGTCATCTATGCCCCTCTTGGTTGTTATACGTATAATCCTTGTACGATTACTTAATTAGTTTAGTTGCTCAAATAAATGCCGAAATCACAGTTAGATGTTGATGTTCTTTAATATAATATCATGCAGGGAGCAATAATGGGACCACTGATGACTACTGTTGTTATTGCCATCAAGGATCTATACGCAGAATTTGTTCTGGAGGGACTGAAGAAGAAGAAGGATAAGTAGGACCTAGTTCCGTTCGTGATATCATGTCTGAAGTCATTGCAATTTGCAAGGAAAAAAACAAAAGAGCTATCGATTTTTTTTTATCCTGTAATTTTTCGCGTCGTTTAGCATTTCTAGGCATATCACAGTAAGATGATAGTTGTGATACTTGGTTTAGTTGTACATTGTGGGTTATCCATTTGTATATTAGTGTTGTTGAATCATGAATGGTGGGGCTTCAGGTAGAAGTGTTGTGGTCTTCTGGAAAGCTTGGCCTTTCAGATATGGCATTTTGTGTGTAATTAGTGAAGACTCATCTTGAGATGATAATAGAATGTTGTTCTTATTTGCAGTAGTGTCTGACTTTTCTTTCTGCTATCAGAAAACATGTGAGTTGGATTAGATTTACAGTGAAAAGTGTGCTGAGCAAACATGGTAGCTAGTGGGAGGGACTGCAAAAAACATTGATGGGAGCACTCATATAAGATATAGCACAAAAAGATAAAGAAGCTTTATCCCTTAATTTTGTTGCCAAGATGATGATATAACTAGTACAACATATCTGTTTAGTAAAATACTTAGCTTATCAGCTAATTTTAACTTGTTTGACCACTATTACTTGTTTGATTTGGTTGTATAACTAATATAAGTGTTTATTTAATTAGCTTTTCGTAACAGTTTATTACTCAAAAAGTCTAAAATTCAAAAAACTGTTTAAAGCAGCTTTTTCGATTAGCATTTTGAGGAAGTTATTTTGTATATAATCAGTCAATATTATCAACTAATCAAACTCGCTAACCTAATCAGCTAACAGCCATTAATCAATAACTATTTACCAAACACCCTCATAGTGCACAATATTACTATCTATGTTGATTGACACTTCTTTTTAAAATTACCATTGATTTTTGTAGATGGACGGCTTCGATTAATTATTAGTGGGTAGTATTTCTCGCAAGAAATAATAAATTTGTCCACATACTAGTTCAATTGATTCTTAAGTCAAAAATTACATACAAAAATATTCTTCGAATCGACCTAACAAGGAACAACACCTCTAAATATCGTGATTTAACTTATTCACAGTCAATGAATCAATGTAGGGTCGAGTAGGACCCGGGGAAATAAATTTCGCCAAAGTAAATGAAATACTCCGTAATGAATTTTGTGGGAATATGTAGTAAGCAAACGACGCCGTTGCGGTGGTTTAGTGTCATGACAACTGTCAGCTACAGGGGACCCCAAATTACATCTTCATGTTCGCAACTGCCAAGTTCATCATTTACAAAATAAAAAATAATAAAAAAGATAATAAAATAATAATAATTGTAGTGTTCATACGATACACCGTACTCCTAGTCCCATTTTACAGCGTTTTTACTTTTTATCATAAAAAGAGCGGAAAAAGATCGAAGGGAAGCACGGAAAGGATCAAAGGGAGGCACGGAAAGCATCGTGATTTTTGTGTTGTGCGTCAGCAGAGGTAGAATTCATCGCTGTCTCGGCTCTGTTTCTCTTTAATCTATAAAGGTTGGTTTTTTTTTTCCTTTGTTTCTGTTTATGAATGTAAGCGAGTTAGAGAATCAATCGGTTGTTGTATGAAACCCTGACTGGTAGTGATTCAACTGTTCGCGATTCTCGGATCTGTCCGCGTTAAGGTTCGACGTTGGATCAGTTATTTTGTTGGGTTAATCGTTGAAGTATCGCAGTAATCAATCTAAATAGTTTGTATATTCGATAGAGTGTTTAGAATCGGTGGATTTTTATTGCTTTTCCCGTGATTCTATGGTGATTTTTGAAATTCTGCTATCGGATAGTTATGTTTACAGCAGCATAGTGATGAAACACATGAAAAGGTTAGATTTTTGAAATCATATTAGTGAAAAGGTTTTTTTTTTTTATTTTTTTATTTTTTTATTTTTTTTTTAAATGCAAATTCTATTGGAATTGAGGAGCTTTAGTAATTAAGTCTTTTGAAATTTTGAGTTGAAACCTCTAGGGCTCTAGGAGATGTTTCTGAAGGATTTGAAGATGGATATTGAGCAAAAGTAAATAAAGTTTGATATTTGGTCATTTATAAGATCTGATTGATGCTGCCAAAAGTAGCCTCATCTTATCTTTGAATCTCTAGTACTATTTCTTTTGATCAAACAATAACAGTTGTTTTACTTACATTTCAGATTAATTTGAAAGAGATACATAACTTTGTATAGTCGTCCTTCACAACAACATTCAGCATTTTGTGTTCAGACTAACAGAAGTAGAGAATGGTCAAGAGGTTGCTTAAACACTCCCTGTTTGTGTTTCGGTTTTTTTTATTTTTATTTTTATTTTCTCATGGGCAGTCTATTAAAATCGACTTCTCCCATTCCCCTCTTTGTTTGAAAGGTATGGAGCATTTTGATGTGCAGGAGTTACCATGTTGCAGTGTTTAGAGGGAATCAAGCATTTGGGTGCTTCCTTAGTACGGTGTTGTGATCTCGATTTGTATAGGCAAACAAGGGGCCTTGACGATCCTGAAGTCCTTGCACGAGAAACCGTGTGTATGTTACTTTGACAGTACTCTCAGTTTGTTTCCATGAAATTGTGTACTGTCATTGGCTCCAGCTTTGGTTTTTATTTCATCTTGGGATCTACTAGCTTTTCTTTCATAACTTTTTTTTTTTTTTAATTATAGTTTACATTTTGTCCTCAATATTGCAGACGTTCTAGGAAATATAACAAAATTTTCAATTTTTGCATAATTATTATTGTGTGTGTGTGTGTGTGTTAATCATTGTGCCTAAGGAGTTGGGTATTTGTATACATGGATAGGACCACTCACTACTCCATGGTATTATCTCTTTGGTGCAGTTAGTGTTAGTGAAATTGAAGCACTCTATGAGTTATTTAAGAAGATTAGCAGTGCTGTGATTGATGACGGGCTGATCAATAAGGTTTACCTTTATCCTTGCTTAGATTTTGTGGTCTCACTTCTCAAGATAGCTTCCAATTATATTGTTATATCCAGTAAATATTTAACTTTGACATTAACAGGAAGAGTTCCAATTGGCCCTATTCAAGACAAACAAAAAGGAAAGCTTGTTTGCTGATCGGGTATCTTAATCCCTTCTTGTTGATTGTGAACCAGAGTTTATATTTATGCTTTTCATCTTGTGAATTACAGACAAGAATGTTTTGTTTTCTCGACTAAAATTTTGGAAGAATCGAGAAGAACACTTCTCATATCTGTGACATCCTTTAATGATGCAGGTGTTTGACTTGTTTGACACGAAGCATAATGGAATCCTTGGTTTTGAGGAGTTTGCTCGTGCACTGTCTGTTTTTCATCCAAATGCCCCTATTGATGATAAGATTGAGTGTATGTTAGATCCTTAATCTGTATATTTGATATTGAAATTTTAAAATTTGAATTATCTGGTTAACGCGTTTCGTTTCTTCATCATGCAGTTTCTTTTCAACTATATGATCTCAAGCAACAAGGCTTCATTGAGAGACAAGAGGTGACTTTCTATTATAAAAACCAATCTGGCCAGCATTTTGCCCCTTAATTGGGCCGGCCCGATGCGAATGAGGATTAGTCTGAGTATGGTACGAGCTTAAAGGTGCCTCTTACAGTTAGGGCCTACTCAGGACACCTCATGGTCTGACCCCCCCAAAAAAAAAAAAAAAAAAAAAAAAAAAAAAAAAAAAAAAAAAACCTCATGTACTCTACTTTAAATTCCAACACTTGTATTGTGAGAGCTCTCAGGTGAAGCAAATGGTGGTTGCTACCCTTGCTGAATCGGGCATGAACCTTTCAGATGATGTTATCGAAAGTATTATTGACAAGGTACTTCATCTATCCTAGATTCCTATTTTTATTTGGTTCATTATTCTTCTCCAAATATCATATTTTGACCTATCGAAAAAGAGGAAAAGGATTACCTTGGTCATGGTAGAACCAAACTGCCTAATTTAAAAAACTTAATATGGGTTTTGTCGTTCAATTTCTCTGCAGACCTTTGAGGAAGCTGATACAAAACATGACGGGAAGATTGATAAGGAGGAATGGAGGAATCTCGTCTTGCGACACCCATCGCTTCTGAAGAATATGACCCTTCAGTACCTCAAGTATATTCCACTCACTACAATACACTCTTCTCGGGATGGCCTTTCATGGCATTAACTAGATTGTGCTAACATCGTTCTTGAATTGCTTTAACAGGGACATTACAACTACGTTTCCAAGCTTTGTGTTTCACTCGAGAGTCGAGGATACCTGATAAAGGATTGCTTGTTGCTGCAGTGTTGCATAAGGTTCTTTGATGAAGTCAGCTTTTCTTCATTTCTTGCTACCATGTTGCTACTATGATACATACATATATTTGTATTGCATTGCGGTTTTCTTTTATTCTATCATTATTAAGTGATTTGTTATTCTTTTTGGGATCAGTTTGTGTAGTTTTGCTGCCAATAAAATAAAAATGGATTCTTCTTCAATTCATTGCTTCTTTCACATTTTTGGCTTCTTATATGTATATACTGAATGAACTATAAATCGAGTCAAGCTGAGCCCCCCGAATATGGTGGATTTGAGCTCAATTCGACTCGATAGTAACTTAATTGAATCTAAACTTCTAATGGCATTCAAGTTTAGGTAAGATGTCATTGATCACCCAGTCGGACATTATCTGGTAACCATGTTGAGTCATATGAGCTTCATCCCAGGATATGAACTTTTCCGGTTCTGGACAGACCGGCACTCCGGCGGTCCCACACGTTCTTGTGATATCAAAATTATATTCTCCTCCAGTCCCACAGCAAGCTTTCTGCAACTTTCCCTGATCGAATCCTGCAAAAAGGAATTATGGGGGTTAGATTCAAAATTGGCGTTTTCCTCCTCTTCCTCCTCCTCCTCCCAGACTCCCGGTTCGGGTTCATCTTACCCAGGTTTTGAGCGTTGCGGATGAGATTGAGGAAAGCATTATAGTAATCTCCATATACAATCACTATTTTTGGGTGTTCTTTCTTCAGATCTTCAATGGCTTGTTTAAGCAGGTCGTTGTGGTAGATGGCTAGATCGTTTAGTCTCTTGAGGCAGTGGTGCTCGTCGTATTCTGCGGTGTTGTTTGTCTGGAAATCTGTAAGAAACACCGGGAGACAACCGATCGGAAAACTCCCCGGAACTACTATCTTCACTCCTCCACTCTTAATAACTCTCTGCAGCAACAACACGGGAAAAAAAAACTTTGGAGATATGCGAAAAAGGAAGAAACTTTAATTTTCTCCTCTGATCTGTATTATATTTTGTTCAAGAAAAGAAAACATACCCTAACACCATCAGCTATGGCGTCAACGACCTCTGGAGCCATGGCTTTCATTTCTTCAACTGGCCTTCCCTGAAGCAACAACGGGTAACTGTAATCATCGGGTCCAATCTTGCCAACGACGAAGAGAGCAGATTTGAGTATCCTGGTACAATCTATTATATTGAAAGGACAGGATTAGAGACAGACGTAATTGTTAAATGTGACAGATGATTTCGCCGGAAAAACAAGAATGCAATGTGAGATTGGTGATTTCGCCGGAAAAACAAGAATGCAATGTGAGATTGGTATGTATAGTACCGTCATAATCAAGGCAGATAGAGTTGAAGTGTGAAAACATCCAATCAAGCTGCACGTCGAGGGAGCTGTGGCTCCTAGTGACGGGAATGTTCTTGGCGGCCAAAACATGAGCAGGCAAAGCCGTAGCGCCGGCAACTGCAAAGTTCACTCCGTGCCGGAAATCAGCATCTATGTTCTTGTACGGATTCAGAAACGGAAGACCGGCGGCCATCGCTGAAAAAAAAAAAATTAAACACGAATGATACAAGAAAAGAAGCATAGATATATGCATGCATATTGCATTATATTACTACCTAAGTAATCAATCATGAGAATTCCGTCGGAGCAACGGCCGGTGGCCTTCTTGAAAAAAGTTTCGCCGTAAGGAGGATTGGCGCAGGGGAAAGCTGTTAAGTTGGAGGTCTCTAGGATATAGTTTCCGGTGTCAGCGGTGGAATCGCCGAGCTGATATATTTGATCAAAGTAGCAACCTATCAAATTGGTGTCGGCTGCCATGGCTGCTTGCGAGATCATGAAACAGATGAACAAGATTAGAGCTTTATCGTTGGCGGCCATCATTTTCATTTTTCAAGCCCTACGTTGGTTTGTTTTTGCTCCGATGTAACACGCCCAAATTTATAGTGCATAGCCAAAGGAGATGAAGTTAGCTTGTAAGTTCATATCAGAGTCCTATGCAAACGAAACTGACAAAATTAATTAATCACTCTGAGAGAAACTGAAAACAGTAATAAAGGCAACACACTAAGTTCTAATCATAATAAATTTATATTTCATCTCCTGGTAAGTTCAGAGTCTAATGCAAACAAAAACAGAAAAAATAAATCAATATCACTATGAGAAATTAAAAACAGTAATAAAGGTAACACTTCTAAATTTTAACCACAATAAATGCAACTATGCAAGCGAATTCAACCATTCACATTCCTCATGCCATACCCTTGAAGTCTTTAAGAGTGTAAAATTTTATAAGTTTGTTTATTCAATTTTTTTGAATATTATATTATAAATAATTTTGTTAAGTATATTATATGTAAGTAAAACATTTATTAAGTTTAATACATAACAAGTAACTATAATTAATTTATAATTTTTAAACATATACTAACTATCAATAATTTTTAAACATATACTAATTAAACATATTAATTTATAATATATCCTCTTGGGCCAGCTCCCGTGCCTCCCGGAGCAAACGGGGATTAGTCGGGTGGACTTGACGGTTAAACGGACAGAGAAAGAAGACCCGGACCACCTCGTGGTTTACACCAAAAAAAAAAAAAAAAAAACTATCAATAACAAAATGAATGCCCATAGTGGGTTGAGTGATGAAACTTTTGATTAAAACCGTCCTATCATTGATATATGTACATTCATTAAGCAGTTTCTTTTTTTTTTTTTTTTTTTTTTGAAAGGCATTAAGCAGTTTCTTAATTGTACTACATTATTACCCTTTTCAGTTCTCTTAAATGAATTGCACTTTTTTTTTTGAAAACAAATTAATTGCACCTTAATTACTTTGTTCCTCTAATCAATCATGTATGTGGTATCTTTTGTTGTTGGTTTTTGTGACTGTAACCCACTTAACTGCTGGGCGGCAACCAACTAGTCAGTAATAACTGCGAAAGACTTAAAGTAACATAAAGTGAAGCATACTGTCGATGGTATCCAATGTTGTCTGTCGAGACTACAAAGAAATTACCTCATGATGTTTTTCAATGGTCGAACTGAGATGGTATTGGATGTGCATTCGATTAATAATTGAATTTAACTGAATTTTGTATTTTACTGAATTAATTAAACTAAATTTTTTACACTTATCAATTAGTTAACCAAATTTTTTTTAACTAACTATGAGATAGATTTGAATAAATCTCTTAAATCTCAACAAGAATTGCAGCTGTAAGTAATTGATCACCCAATAACACTGCCGTTACCGTTAGAGCACCATTTACTTCCACAGATGAAAATGATTTTGAAGGGGAAATAAAATGGTAAGTTCAAAATAGTGGTCACAGAAAACATAATTGTAACACAGTTTGATTTGGTACGAAGAACTCAAGAAAATAAAGATAGGGGATAAATACTAACAAAAATAGACAAAAACTAGAGAAGGTAAATTTAATCAACTTCTTCCATCTTGCTGCCCTCTGCGTCAGCATCAGTGTCCTCCAATGGTGGCATGTCAGCATCAGCATCACCAGCATCTTCGTCGATGCTCAGCCCAAGTATCAGCATCCTGTGAATTCTGTTGCCAAAGGTGTTGGGTTCATCCAGGGTGAATCCCGATGTCAGGAGAGCAGTCTCAAACAGCAACAGTACAAGATCCTTCACAGATTTGTCATTCTTGTCAGCATCAGCTCTCTTCCTCAGCTCCTCCATTATGGGATTTTCTGGGTTGATCTCCATGGTCTTCTTGCTGGACATGTAACCAGCCATGCTTGAATCTCTAAGAGCTTGGGCCTTCATGATTCTTTCCATGTTGGCAGTCCAACCATACTCTCCAGTAACCAGACAGCAGGGAGAGTCCACAACACGGTCAGAAACAACCACCTTCTCGACCTTGTCTCCGAGCACATCCTTAATAACCTTGCACAGACCCTCAAACTTCTCCTTCAATTCTTCATTCTTCTTTTTCTCATCCTCGCTCTCATCGAGCTTGAGACCTTCCTTTGTGGCAGAAACAAGCTTTTTGCCCTCAAATTCCTTCAATTGACCAACAGCATACTCATCAATTGCGTCAACCATGTAGAGAACCTCATATCCCTTCTTTTTCAGTTTCTCAAGGAAGGGGGAGTTCTCAACAGCCTTCTTGCTCTCACCAGTAATGTAGTAGATATCACTCTGGCCTTCCTTCATCCTGGTCACATAGTCCTTCAAGCTCGTCATTTCATCACCACTCTTGGTGGAGTGGTAACGCAGCAACTCTGCAATCTTAGTCCTGTTCTGGGAATCCTCATGGATACCAAGCTTGAGATTCTTTGAAAAAGCCTCATAGAACTTGTTGTAGTCCTCCTTGTTTTCAGCAATCTCAAAGAAGAGTTCAACACACTTCTTCACCAAGTTCTTGCGAATAACCTTCAGGATCTTGTTTTGCTGCAACATCTCTCTTGAGATATTGAGAGGAAGGTCCTCAGAATCGACAATTCCTTTCACGAAGCTCAAGTACTCTGGAATCAACTCCTCACAGTTGTCCATGATGAACACACGGCGAACATACAGCTTGATGTTGTTTGGCTTCTTCTTTGTGTCAAAGAGGTCAAAAGGAGCTCTCTTTGGAACAAAGAGAACAGCCTTGAATTCCAACTGACCCTCAACTGAGAAGTGTTTGACTGCCAAGTGCTCCTCCCAGTCATTGGTCAGGCTCTTGTAGAATGCAGCATACTCATCCTTTGTGATCTCCTCTGGCTTCCTCATCCAGATGGGCTTCTGCTTGTTCACCAAGGACCATTCATGAGAAACTTCCTTGATTTTCTTCTTTTTCTTTTCATCCTTCTCTTCATCTACCTCTTCTACCTTCCCTTCCTCATCTTTCTTCTCCTCTTCATCCTCATCATCAGAGATTTCCTTCTCAATGGTCTTCTCAATCCAGAGGGAGATTGGGTAGCTGATGAACTCTGAGTGCTTCTTAATCAAATCCTTGAGTCGGCGTTCTTCAAGGTACTCAAGTTGATCTTCCTTAAGGTGGAGGGTAATTTTGGTACCCCTACCAAGGATCTCACCAGAATTGTCTCTAGTAACAGTAAATGAGCCACCAGCTTGGGACTCCCACACATACTGCTCATCATCATTGTGCTTTGTCGTCACAATGACCTTCTCAGCAACCAAATAGGCTGAGTAGAAACCCACACCAAATTGTCCAATCATGCTAACATCAGCACCAGCAGCAAGAGCTTCCATGAACTCTTTGGTACCAGACCTAGCAATGGTACCAAGGTTGTTCACTAGATCTGAAAGAATAAACGCATATCATGTAAGTATATAGCTTGCATGGGAAACAGGACAACAATATACATAGTGAATAGTGACACTGTCACTTACCAGCCTTTGTCATACCAACACCACTGTCAATGATAGTCAAGGTGTTATTGGTCTTGTCTGGGATAATGTGGATGAAGAGCTCAGGTTGGCCATCTAGTTTGCTCTTATCAGTCAAACTTTCAAACCGGATTTTGTCCAGAGCCTAACAATAAAAACAACACAACTTAGAAGAATAGTTATGGAATGTAACAGATATTAATCAAATGCAATTACAATTAGTCTAGGCAAAACAGATCACCCTAAAATTTAAGTATAAGCCTATTTAAAACATATCTAATCTAATCTCAGATAAAAAGCCAGATGTTCCTAAATAGGAACCCGCCATAGTACACAATTAGTATTGAACCACACAGAAGCAATAACTAGAAGAAGCCTTAGATCATGAATTGGATTAAGATTTCAAATTGAAAAACACAATGGTAACAAGCTCGTAACCTAGAAACATGCATGTTATTGACAAGGAACAATTTGAACTTCTACTTTTAGAAAGCATGATACAATATGAGCAAGGATTTAAATCAGTAACATCAAACAAAACCTGATCAGAGCCAACTTTAAACACACTTACAGAGCATTCTTCAAGCACCAGTTATATCACAGCCATAGATGAATCATTTATCCACAAAACTAACAAATCACAAGCTATATAGACATATATCTAAGCACATATCACAACATACAGCATATAAAACAACGGAAAAAATTCAAATCTACGAGCGGGAAAGCAGATACACAGATGTATAGAGACAAAATAGCACAAATAAAGCCATCAACCAAAATAACGGTGGTATAGATATACTTACATCAGAAGCATTGCTGATGAGCTCACGGAGAAAGATCTCCTTGTTGCTGTAGAAGGTGTTGATGATGAGACTCAACAGCTGGTTGATCTCAGCTTGGAAAGCAAACGTCTCGGTCTCCGCCGCCATCGCCGATCTACGAAGCACAAGCAGGCTGCGATCTTCTCTCCAATAAACCGGCGATTACGAACTCGTTGGGAAAGTGAGAGAGAGCAGGAGGTAGTGGCGGAGATGCAGAGTGTGGTGTATGTATAGGGGTTTGTTAGGGTTTCTAGATCCTTCGATGACTTATTGACTAAAGTACCCCCATTTGTTAAATTCACATTTGATTCCTTCCTGGTAACTAAATCAAAGACTTGGGGCTCCGCTGAAGAAAAGTATTTGGCGCTTCTGGGCCCATTGGCCATGGCCCCATCCAAAGAAAATGCCGTCCTCCTGTTTTTTTGAGCGATTCTCGTGTTTGGTTGTGGGAATGCAATTATTTTTGTTCTTTAATACAAGTAATAATAATAATACCTATCAGGACTATGTGGTCTAATGGTATCTGGGTTGGACTTCCATTTGGAAGATTGTGAGTTCGAGCCTTAATGGAGGCGTTATTGGCTCTTTGTGTTTCAAAAAAATAATAATACCTTCTTTTTTAGTCTAACAAATTTAAACCCGACTATTTTTTAAAAAATGACTATATTTAAATTATTTTATTTAAAAAATAACTTTATTTGAATAAATTCTAGTGCCTATCTATATTTATTTATTTTAAGTATTGAACCATTGTTTATACTCTACAATGACCTATAAGTCATCGTAAATGTGTGAAAATGAGTCTAAGTTACATTAATATATACTTTGTATCTAGCAATGTCAGTCGTATTAACCAATAACACCTTTAGTGAAAGAATACAGGACATGATTACTAAATTGCACTTGATCGTTATGTGTAATAATTCAATTAGCACATATATTTATTTATCTCTACATGTAATTAACAAAGAAAATTCAACCTCAACCAAGTAAACACTTAAGCTTTCAAGAAATGAGATACATCTCTACAATATATTTTATATGTAATTAGGTTAAAATCATTATACATTATATATAATTTACCATTACCCAAAAAAAAAAAATAGAATAATAATATCATATTTTGCTCTCAAAAAAGGTTAAAATCATAACACCAATGTGTCAAATAAATGCACTATAGAGTGATATAAGGCTAACCCCATCCCTGAAATTATTCCACTTGCAAGATGAGGTGGCAAAAAACAATTATTTTTTTATTAAGAACTCTTCATGTGTCTAGCAAGCTTTCTTAGAGCATCTACATCAGAAGAGAAATGGGGGAGAATTCACTACTTTTGAGGCCAAAATGCCATGGTGGCAGAGAGAGAATCAAGAGAGAGAAGGGGTGGGAAGCATCTGCAAATGTTGGGATATTACTCTGCCCAAAAAAAAAAGAATTAATGATGGAGGAAAGAGAACCAATAGAAAAATGACATGCTTATTTTTTATAATCTTTTTTTTTTTATAAAATCAGTTTTGGTTTTTTTTCCCTCCCCTTCCATAATATTCTCTTTCCTACTCACTCTTACATTCTCCCCCTAATATCTCCAACTGATATGGATGCTCTTAGAGCATCCACAATGGTTGGGGATAATTGGGAGATAATGTAAGAGTGATTAGGAGAGAGAATGTGGGAAGTGGAGGAAAAAAAAATTAAAAAATCAAAATTAAAAATTAAAAAAAAAAAAGAAAAAAGTAAAGGGTCAGGCGCGCCGTTCGGCGCGCCTAACGCGCCCGTGTGGGAGGCTGCTGTGCGCGAAACGCGCACAGCAGCCTCCTTTTTCTTCTCTTTCCTTTTCTTCTTTTTCTGCATTCTCCCCAATTTTGCAGAACAAATATTTTGATAAATAACCCCACCTCACATTTGTTATTATCCCCACCCAAGATAATTCATCTGACATTATCTCCATAATATCCACTGATGTGGATGCTCTTATTTAGAAAGCTTGCTAACACTTACAAAGGCTGCCGCATGGCAGCCTTTATGTACTTTTTCTTTTTTAATTTTTTTTATTTATGTACTTTTCTTATTTGTTATATTATTTTATTATTATATTTATAATATAAAATGAAAGTGGGGCCCATTTTTAAAAGTGAGAGAGTATTGTAGGGATGTAGAGAAAATAGATGAAGAATTGTAAATTTGATGATGTGGAAGTGGGACCCATTTTAGAAAGTGGAGAAAATTGTTGGGATAAGGTTAGCCTAAGTGCTTGCCAACTAATTATCCAATATATATATATATATATATATATATATATATATATATATATATTATATTTATTTAAAGATAATATTCTCAGTTGATATGGAATATATCTTGAACTCGTTTCTTGTATGTATCACATACATGTTCGGTATTTGGGCGGGCCTTCAAGAGGATTTTTTCATGAGCATTTTTCAACCTGATGCAACTCGATCCGACATATCGTAAAGTGCCGAGCAGAGGCTCGACTGGCGGCCCCCGCCTTTAGGGTATTCCCGACTTCCCCACTTAGAGAACAAAACCTCAAACTCTTTAGTCAAACCCAACGACAGCAAATGACAATGACGCCCCGCCTTTGGGGTCTTACCGATCTCCCCCACTTAGAGAATGAAACCTCAAACTCTTTAGTCAAACCCAACGACAGCAAAAGCGAGGGCGTCAGGAACCTTTGTGCACGTAAAGGAATTGGTGGGTTTCCAGATTGCCCTTGTGCATGAGTAGCACGTGTTACACACTAACACATGCAAACGTCTGATATGTGTTCCCTCATCTCTCCTATTAATATCACAATAAATGCAATGACGATAGACTTTTGATAGATTTTACACACTTATGATATATTCGGGACCCTTTGACTAGCCGTCACATCATCCCGAACTTATTCCTTAATCATTAAATCAACAAAACCAATACGGAATTCAATAGACAACTATATTGTCTGACTTAATATACATATACCTAATAGTATTTACACTATCATCAATATAATAATTTTCACACTGAAATTTGATTGATAAATACCCGTACTTATTTTTGTTTTTGTTTTTTAGTGATGAGAGAACTCACGGTAATAAAATATTATATAATAAACAGAATATTATGAAGAATTTAAATTTAAATTATAAACTTATAGTACAAATACAGTGAGACACAACCTTGTTTTTCCAATGGATTAATTTAACAATGATCACTACAAAATTATTACTCCGTAATTATTAAAAGAAAAAAATGAATGGAAAACGTACAAATGTACAATTACTCTGTCCTGGTTGTCTGCCGGCGGTCCACAAGTTTTTTGGCTTTTTTGCTATCGCATCGCTTACAGTTACAAGAATCTCCACCAATCACCGTCTTCGTCGTCCCAATTCGGAGTGTCTCCTCAACTAATGGAAGTTCCGGCACTACAAGCCAGATTCCGTTTCCCTCGAGCTTCCATATCCACATGTTTAAGGTAACAAAGACTACTTCTATTACGTTCACAGCTCGTTTCTGTTTCTTTTCCGCCTGATTTGAGATCAATCCAGGCTGTTTTTTAACTGAATTGTTATACTAATCTACTATGAATAGGAATGAGAAGCAGCGATTGCTGTCATACATGATATAGTACACTGTTACATATTCGCTAATGATTGTTTTAGAGGGCACAATGCTATAAAAATGGTATCTTTGATACGGATTTGATGGGAAAGGATGGATTGTCTTCAAAAGAGATGAGTTTTAGTAGAGTAGAAACACATAATTTAGTATGGCGAAGTTCCTCCTGGGTTTGAACTCCCAAGATTATGTTCTTTAATTGAACATTGACCCTTTCACAAGCAGCTGCAAGATGATGCATTTCATGAAAGCTAGGATTTTCTTTTGAGCAAGTGAAAGATTGCAATTCCCTTGTGTACTCATATTCTAACTTGTTTCTGGATTTTGAAGCAGTTATCAACACAAGCTCGCTGCACATGAGAACTCGCCTGAAAGACTGCACTCTTTAACTCTCAAGAAGGTTCTGAGAAGATCTGTTCTGCAGTTCCTTGGATTGAGCCCTATTCTTCTAAATGTATGCACTGTCACGGCTGCACCAATGCAGGAGATGAAAGAGCCTGATGTTATACGGTAATGTTGCTTGTTTTTCTTGTATGCTTTCGTCTCCCATGGATGAGCACAAAATACGGTAACTTGTTTGGTCTCATTATCTGTTATTTGTGACTTCGAATTGGGATTTGAAGCATCCAGGACCCTAAAGCTTGCTAGTGGAGTGAGGATACAAGGTAAAGCCTTTTTATAATCCACATTTATGTACTCGGTTTGTTTGAGCTCCAAACTAAGTTAAAATCTGTAATCTTTTTAGCATTTATAATTATATTAAAGCATCTCATGCTGTGCATCATTCCCACTTATATTATAGCTGTTAGAATGTCTAAGAGTTTACTCAATACTCTCCTAATCTCAAGCTACCTTGAATAGAAAAGAAATACTTTTTCTCGAGTTTTCAGAGGGGGAGAATGGGACCGCATACCTGTATGAGGGGTTTAGACTTTTTGTGTTCGCATTTTCTCATTTCTGAGTAATGTATACCTCTTTCTAAGATATTGTTGAAGGGGAAGGACCAGAGGCTCGCGAGGGAGATATTGTGGAGATTAATTATGTCTGTCGAAGGTCAAATGGATATTTTGTCCATAGGTAATGTTTTAACCACGATTAATTGATTACTAAAAGCAAATAAAGGATTATTTTCGTTGGAGTTCCCAACCAGGATCCAAAAGGCAAAGGCTTGCTCACAGCTTACATAATTCTTGTTTTTTGTTTCTGCAATAGAGATTATAGATTGAACTTCTAATCAATCTAATAATCTGTCCATGTAGTACCGTGGATCAGTTTAATGGAGAAAGTGCCCCTGTTGTGCTTCCTTTGGATGATAAGCAGGTTACTCTTGTCCATTCTTATTATGCATCTAATATGATAAGCATCTCGGGTTTTTCATAACAGTGACCATGAATCTGACAGATAATACAAGGTCTGAAGGAAGTATTAACTGGAATGAAGGCAGGAGGTTGTTGTTCATAAACTACCCGAGTTTCAAGACTCTTACGGTTCTTCTTGTTTGCTATCCTTCTCTGTGATTAACCACTCAATCTAATATTCTGATCTGCAGGAAAAAGAAGAGCACTCATACCACCTTCAGTTGGTTACATCAGTGAAAACTTAAAGCCGGTTCCAAATGAGGTGTGCCTTCTTCATATTTTGTTTATCTGTCTTTTCTCTTCTCAAGCACTGTTTTAGCTTCTATTTTTGCATTTCGATTGATGATTCAAAGTTCATATTTTCTCTGGCAATGGTTGCAGTTTGGCCCTCGCCGCAGCCTGTTGTCCCATGCAAATGAGCCTTTAATATTTGAAGTTCAGCTGCTAAAAGTGTTATGAGTTCTGTAAATTATTTATGTTGTCTGTGATTCACTTGATTCTGTAGCATTAACTTCAAATGATGTTGGCATTGTGATCTGGTTGATCACTCTATAATGTATCTTACTTGAATGATCCATAATCCAAGATTTGAAGGTAACTAAATTTGACCTTGTGTAATAGACTCGACTAAAAGAATGTATGAGAATTATGATTTATCACTCAATCACTCCTTTTTAGGTTTACAATAGCTATTTTTTATAATAAAGATAATAACATTACTTAATCTGAGAAAGCAACAATACGAGGATGTGGTGTCAAAACCAACTCTCTAATCAGACTGAAATTAAAATCATACTCCACTCAATCGGTCACCTCTTCGGACTAAACTCTTAACTTTAACAATAAGGCCTTAATTAGCTATATTATTATTACTAGTATAGGAGTTATAACTGTAAAATGTATGTTCGTCTAAAATATTATAGGCCATGTTTAGTAAATGACTGTTAGCAATTGGGTTAATTAGAAGGTATAATTAGTTGATAACATTAGTTGATTGTAGAAATGTGTTTCATAAATTATAGCTGTTTGATATAGTTTATTTTCTCAAAAAGGTAATTGAAAAAGTTACTTTGAGCAATTTTTTGAAATTTAACATTTTGGAGTTACAAAAAGCTAATTAACCAAACATTTATATTCATTTTTAACCAAGTTAAACAATTAATAGTGGTCAAATAAATCAAAATTGATTGATAGACTAACTATTTTACTAACGAGACTTATATAATACAATTCTTATAGCAATATAAAAATGTAATAGAACAACGGACATAAATGAAATGTATAACTTTTTATTCACACTTATTAGTTTTTATTTTATTATTATTAGATGGGAAAATGGCACTTTTTTCCCCTGAGTTATATACCTATAGCATTTTTCCCCCCTGAATTATTTAAGTGGCTCTTTTCCCTCCTAAAATGTTAAATGGACATATTTACCCTTAAAATAAATATTTAAAATAAATAAAATGGCACTTTTTCCCCCTAAGTTATATACTTATAGCACTTTTTCCCCCTCAATTATTTATGTAAGCACATTAGCCCCCTTAATTATTTTAAAAGTGGTGGTTTTTCCCCCTGATATATTAAATTGACATTTCTACCGTTAAAGTAAATATTTTATTTATTTTACTTCTCCAACAAATTATTGTGTATATGTAGCAATGACCACGGTTCGGTACGAACTGAACCGGACACTATAGCAATCGAATTAAAAGTTTCCGGTTATGATTAAGATCTAGAATCCAATATTTAGATTTCAATTTATTAAATTTATGAACCAAAAAAACTGGATCATGAACCGTGAACCGGCGGTTCCGGATCCGGTTCGTGATTTTGAACCGTCTTTATTTAATTTTTTTTTTATATTTTAAAATAGTCTAAATTCAACAATAAATGTATTTTATTTTTTCAGTTCGGAACATGAACCAGCTATTTCGATTTGTGATTTTAATAAACTCTAAATATCGCGTTTTGATTCTAAATTGTAATTGGAATATTTTGGTTTGGTTGCTATAATATCTGTTTGGTTTGAACCAAATTATAGTAATAATTTGTTGAAGAAGAAAAATAAATGAAAGGGAAAATGACACTTTTTTCCGCTGAGTTATATACTTATAGCATTTCCCCCCCCCCTGAATTATTTAAGTGGCTCTTTTCCCCCCTAAAATGTTAAATGGACATATTTACCCTTAAAATAAATATTTAAAATAAATATTTCATTTATTTTTCTTCTTCAACAAATTATTACTATAATTTGGTTCAAACCAAACAGATATTATAGCAACCAAACCAAAATATTCCAATTACAATTTAGAATCAAAACGCGATATTATATATTAGATTAGATTATTATTATATTTGTGTGTGTATTTATTTATTTTGCTGACCAAATACGCAAGTGAGACGAAACCGTTAAACCTTAGTTGTAAAAGTTGGGTGGAAAGTGGGGGGATAATGGTTTTATCTTCGGTGAAGGTTCATTACGTTCCGATCCGATCCGGACGCTCCATCTTCGACTGGAGAGCTACAAGCAACGAAACCAGTGGTGTCGCGTCGTAGTCTTCGTTAAAGCGGCTCCTTGATAGATAAATATTCCTGTTACGAAATGCAGAAGTGGTTTTCAGGCTCCAGCGCCGGCGATGATGCTCGGCAGCAGCAGCAGCAAACGACTGCCGCGTCTTCTCCGTCTCTCTTGGCTGATTGGAACTCATATGCTTCCACAAAAGCGTCTGATGGCGACGGCGCCAGTAGTTCCCTCATTGCCGCATTCGATCTCGAAGCTGCTGTGCGGTCCGCAAACGACACCGTGTCTGGTACTTTCAACGTGTGAGCTCTCCTCTCCTTCCCCTTTCATAAACATCTTTTATACTGCAGTTTTTAGTTTAGATCAGCGATTTGCGGTATTGATGTTTCACAAGTGATGCACATAATTTGGGTTAAATACTTTAATCTTTTATTGGTATTAATTGCATTTCCAATTCACTTCATCATAAAGCATGGAAGACAGAAGCAATTTTCCAAGTGTTTAGGATAAGCTAGTGCCAGGCTGGATGGGCTTCTAAGTTCTAACTTCTAATTGTATCAGTGACAGTGAGCTCAAGCTATCATATGAGAGGGCAGGGGTAATCATTCCTCGGAAATCTTTCCTGCTAAGCTGCCTAGGGAACTAAATTATCCGTTGGATGATAGGTTTGTAAATTTATGATTCCATAGTACCTTCTCTCATACAAGGAAAGATCAACGAGTATAGAAGACCACAGGATAAATTTTGATTCCATAGTACCTTCTCTCATACAAGTGGTCTGACCACTGCCACGCTAAGCATTTGAATAAAAGAAAAACATGGAATTAGATCAGCAACATAGAGTGCCTGGTACTGGAGAAATAATAACTCTTCTTGTATCGTTCAGCTAGTTATGCTCTTAAGCTCCCCCATGCTAGTTAGTTCTGATGTTACCACATGGTACTTCCACAGAGATGACCAAGGTTTTCTCCCTAGACCAATTACAAAGTAAGGCAAAAGGTTAAACTTCATGAAATTAAATATTTTGGCTTTTACTCGAAAATTGTTGGTAATGAATAGAGTTAATTTACTTTTAGTCCATGAATGACTTTTCATTCTATTAATGCAAAATCCATAGTTTATCATTATAGGATATTTCATTTTTTTTTTTTAAGGAAGAAGAAGAGGAATTTTTTTATAGTAAAGGTATGTTTGGAATGCCATTTTGGTGTTCATATTTATTTTAGGAATCTGAACTACTTGAAAGTTTGGAGAGTTGGCCAATAACCTCTTTTTAATCTCTGATCCATGTTCAGAGTTTCAAAAGGAGTGAGAGACATACCAGGGAGTTTGCAGTCTGCCACCAGTAATATTCCCTCTGGAAAAGCGCTCATGTACTTTGGCTTATTTCTAGCAAGTGGAGTCTTATTCATTTTCATGGCATTTGCTTTGTTCCTTCCTGTTATTGTGTTGGTGCCTCAGAAGTTTGCTATTTGCTTCACTCTTGGATGTTGTTTCATCATCGGGTCATTCTTTGCCCTTAGAGGTACAAAGAATCAGTTTGCCCACATGTCATCAAAGGAGGTATGGGATTTAGCTTGTGTCTCCAGTAAAAATCCTACTTCTATAGCTGTATTCTCCTCTAACTTTTCTATTTTCCCTACATTTCCACAGAGACTTCCTTTTACACTGGGGTTTTTAGGCAGCATGATAGGCACTCTTTATGTGTCTATGGGGCTCCATAGCTATATCCTTTCTGTTCTCTTCTCTGTGATTCAGGTATTTAAACTCATGTTTCTAGGTTTTCTTATAGGATCAAAAGAACAAGTGGATATGTTTTCAATTCTAATTTTGAAGTTGATGATTTTCTGTCTTGTTAGGTTATGGCATTGCTGTACTATGCAGTTTCATATTTTCCTGGTGGATCTGCTGGACTTAAGTTTCTATCATCATCTATGGTTTCTTCAGTATTGAAATGCTTTGGAAGGTGACATTAGCAAAAATGTTTCTGTGAGATCTTTTTTAATCAAGTTTTAAAAGAAGCCTGTCTGTAACTGGTCTAGGGTGCATATCTTTTTGTTGGTAGGCTGACTGTTGCTCAACTCTGTAAGCATCCGATTTTTTTCCCAGAATTATGTGTCACTTGTTGTATATTCTGTTTTTGGCATTTGAGTATTGATTGAGTGATTATTTTCAGTTAAAGCAAATTAGCAGTCCATACAAAAACTTAGCACAGAATGTAGATAGACCTAGTATAAAGTCAAAATATTATAGGCATTGTTGAATCGGGCTGATCTATATCTAGCTGCCCAGTTTTTGTAGGGTGTCAAAGCATATAACTGATGAGATACCCCTCCAGCCATCCAAGAGCTTGATGATGATGTTTGCAGTATATCAGACCAAAAAAAGAAAAGCCTTTGTAGAGCGTCAAAAGAAAAGAGAAAAAGAAAACTTCCTCAAGAGTTCTAACTTCTAACTAATAAACGAACCAAGAAAAGTACAGGAAGTCATATTTGCTTTAAAGAAAATGTGGACTCTGGCTTGAATCCTTTTCTGATTCTGGCATAATAATCCTAGAAAGGGCATCATTTTGATTTGAGTTTCTCATTGAAGCTTCCATGCATAAAAGATGTGGCAGAAGTCTGTGCTTGGGTAATCTTCATCAGTTTCATCAGTTTGACTGTTACTGGCTTCGTCTTTGTTGGTACTTTGCTTGAAAATGAAAATCCCAGGCCCAGCATTGGCACTATCATATAGCCAATCATGCACATCCCAGAACACCTCTACTGGTACATCATCTACCGTGATTGTCTCATTACCCCTGAATCTCCAATGCAGATTCACAATTCGAATACACTCCATCCCATCAACACTAATCCACATCTCTGGCTCATTGCCTGACATGGCAGACTCTATGATGATGATATGTTCCTTTTTCCTTTGCCCTAACAGTGTTCTGGTGGAAAAGGATGTTTTTGCACATGCACTTTCCTTCTTGTGCACTAGGGCTGCAGCCACCAGGGATGGCTTTGACTTGGTTCTTTTTAGAGCTTCTTTCTCTTGATCACCTAGTAATAACAGCAACTCTCCTCCCATCGCTAATGCAATATGGTAGCCTGATACAGCTTCAGGGCTGCTGGAGAATTTTGCAGACTTTACATCCCAGTAAATGTCTAGTCGTTTTTGATCTACTTTGAAGGTCTTGAGACCCTTTTTGCCCCAGAACTGCCAGGTTTTGAGGTCAATTTTGCAGGTATAGTGGTTTTCTTCATAAGTGTTTTCTACAACGATGAAGAGGGTGTGGCTGACCAGATTCTTGGACCAGGTAACTGTAACACTGCGAAATAAACCTGCAATCTTGGCTACGTAAATACAGGTGACATAACTCTGTGCATCCTCTGTAGCATTTTCCATTTATATTGTACAAATTAAGTGGTACAAGTCTGGCTACGCCGACAAGGTTGTGATAGAAAACCGGTCCTCTTGTTGCAGAAAATACTACACCGTCTAGTTGTACAGACAGATACTATTAACCATATCAATCTTCCCACTACTCCTGATACAGAAAATACTACACCATGCACAGGAGTCAAGTGGTAGGCAAAACACACAACAACAGAGAATTCAACTATGATGGGAGATATACTCGATCTGTTATTGCTTTCGTTATGAGGTTAGACTATTCCAGTTTACATGTTATTTGTGTATCCTCTGCTCCCTTCTCGTCTGATTGGTCTCTGATTCATGCTCAGATTCCAATGGCGGTTTGAGCATTCTCAAATACTTTAAAACAAAATCTCATATTTGCAACCTGATATCTGAATGTTCATACCCCAGCCCCACAGAACTTGAGCTTTTTTCAACAAATTTTGCAGAACTACAACGGGTATCATACAATCATGCATGACAAATCATATGATAACGCACCCATCTTCTTCACCCATACGCGGTTTCACATTGGAAAACATCTTTATCTTATGATAAAAAAAAGTTTGCTCTTTTTGTTTCCCCCCTCCTTTTTGGTTGCAGATTATGATATATTGGCACGACTGCGAGGAATGAGAAAGATTGATGTTACCTTGGCAAAAGATGTGATCTTGAATCCTGGTGATATTGAAGCTGACGAATTTCCAACATAAACAAATCTTGCCTGAAATGCAGAACAGAGAATTTAACAAGCAGACTTATCCATTTATGTATCAGAAATTCAGAAAATTGCTCTGCAGATGGAAGATGGGATTGATTGAAGATTTGTGAAGAAGAGGGGGTGAATCATGAAATGAATGTTTTTTCTCCATACAACTTCTTGTTCCAATAAAGTTTATTCTTTTTAATTATTATTTTATTTTTTTAAATTGGAAATAAATAACAGAAATCTTGAAAAAGCAAATACCTAATAATGCAACCATTTGTTGTGCTAGAGAAATGACTTTGTAACTTTCATATGATGTGGTACCAATGCAACCATTCTAAGTAGTTGTTTGGCTACCTTTATATTCCTTTTGAGCCATTTATCTATTTATTTTTAACAAAAAATGTAATATGAGCTACTTATTCATAACTAAATAATTCAATATTTAATTTTTGCATGGACTCTCTATTGATATAAATAATTTTTCTTTTAAAACTAATGTTAGGTGAATCCTATTCCTTTTTAATAGCGTAGAAGGAGTTTTAGTAGAAAATCATATTCTATTCAGTCAGTCTTTTATTAGATATATATCAAAATATCATAAACATATGATGATTAATTGATTATAGTATTTATTTATTTATTTTTGAATTAATCAACGAATGTCGCGTTAATAATGAAAAAAAAATGCTAAATTTTTTCTTCTGGTACCATAATAAAAAACATATTTTTAATATACTGAATGTATATTATACAATATAATATACATCCTCTGAATACAATATACATTATTTTTGTACTGAATATACATTATTTTACAATATATAAAATATGATCCATACAACTTATGTGGACCATGGTCCATACAATAATGATGGTTTTCTTCCTATATGGATTATGGGCCATGATGATTGCTCCATCGCACCGGATCCCTGCCCATCTACGGGCAGACACACAACACGGAGTGGACCCCACATCCGAATCGGCTCCAAGGTGTAATCTCCATCGCTTTTACCTCAATTTGACTCTGCCACCCTATCACAGAATACGGATTTCCAGAAAGAGGGTCCCGTCGTAATTTCACCTAAATATCAGCCCCAAACTCCAAACCACCTTCTTCTCCACTATAAATTCGTGAATTTTCCAGTAGCTCAGCTCCTCGGCACCTTTCTTAAAATATCAGTCAAGATTCCAGCAATCAATCTCCCATACCGTACGTATGTTTCAACAACTATACGTATCCATACATCTTATACTTATATATACATGTTGTATATACGTTTGTCTAAGTCTGCATTCATTCTGATTTTCTTAGTCAATTCTGGGGTTCTCTGTGTATTAATCTCCGTAATCTGCTCATAGTGTTTGGTAATCTGCGGCGGAATCACAGAGTTAGTTTGTGTGTTCATTCGCTTGCGGAAAGATTTGATTTTTAGTGTTGATTTTGTTAAAAAGGTTGAGTTTTTGCCGAATTTAGTAGTTCTTTTGCGGTTGTTGATAAGTATTATTTGGTGGGTATGGATTATGAACTAAAGTGCAGTATAGTTATCGTGTCACATCATTGGGGAGTGAGAGGTGATCTACCGGATTTCTAGAACTGAGAAGGTATGAACTGTGGAGTCATTGAGCCGTTTGTAGGATAGAGAGTGATACATTTCCTGCTAGAGTGGGAGTGAACTGATGAAAGATCTATGGTTGATGAGATGTGTGTAGTTATGATTGAGGATCACTGTATGCTTACTAATTCACTGGGAGATAGATCCACTAAGATGCCGTTGGCTTTCATGGATTATATTTGTTTGGAATTGAGAAACATCATTTTTGTTGTCATTCAAGAATGAATTAACAAAGGTATTGATGAGTATTGAAGTATATCATTCAGAAATGTAATGATCAGCTTCATCATGTTGGAGTTTCTGATATTTGAGGTGGTTCACTTTTGTATTTAATTGGCTTAGACATGATTTGAGTTCGAATTGTTTAGTAGGGGTAATGGTGCCTCATGCCTGCTTTAAACTATTGGAGAATCTCTTTTGCACTTTTTAAATCCTTTTTAAGAGTAAAAAAACAGAACTTTTGCCTCTGAGCATCCCTTAACTTGGCATAGTGTGTAACTTCTTCTATCTTTCTCGCTTGTATATCATTTCGTGTTATTGCAAATGTGCTTGTGTCTTTGGAAGCTTAGTCCTTCCATTTTCTCACCTTTAATCACTTGATTATATATGCAGGTAACTAAACCATGGGTTCAAAAGCAGTAGAAGATATGATAGAGGCCTCATCAGGAGCTCATTTTTCTGGATTTCATTTGCAGGGGCCAAATGCTACTGAGGTTGAGCAACCAACAACTTCAATGAGAGGAAATGTTCCTAAACAACCATTTGTTATTGGTATGTTTGGCACTGATGTATACTGGTTCTTGCATGCACTAAAATGAGATTTCCCAGTAGCACACTAGTTTTGCAATAGAGAGTAATACACTGATTCTTTTCTGTACTTATTATTCACAAAAGCAATTTTGAAAATTTTATGATTTTCTTGGAATGTTTGCCCAAATCTATGCTTGATAATTTTCAGTTGTGGGTGTTGTACTTGCTCCCGAAACTTAATACAACTGTGGGACTTTTATAATGGTAAAAGTTAGCATTAATTTGATAATTTGTATCCATTACCTTATCTTTTGCTTTTACTCTGTTACCTTTTTCTGAAATAAATGCCTATTTGATGGTCTAATGTTATTATACTTAGATGCTGTTGTGCTCAAAACTGTTATACACCCCCCTCCCCCCCTCCCCCTTCTCTTGCTAGATATGTTTCTATGTAATGCATGCTCTTACCCAAATGTTCAATCTGCAGGAGTTGCTGGAGGAGCTGCATCCGGGAAGACCACAGTTTGTGATTTGATTATTGAACAGCTTCATGATCAGCGTGTTGTACTAGTTAACCAGGTTTTCTTCTGTTTTTAAGGCATATATTATGCCTTTGCTCTAAATATTTACAAATTATTTATAAATTTAACTTTTTTTTTTCCCTTAAGGATTCATTCTATCATAATTTGACACCCGAGGAACTTACAAAAGTTCATGAATACAACTTTGACCATCCTGGTTAGTGTAGTTTCTAGCCTTTTTTTTCCCCCTCTCCTTACTTTTTTCATATTTTTAATACTGCTTTGTTGTTTATTCCTTTCGTTCAGATGCATTTGATACTGAGCAATTGTTGTGTATCATGGATAAGCTGAAACATGGGGAAGCAGTAGATATTCCAAAATATGACTTTAAGAGTTACAAAAACAATGCATCAAGAAGGGTAATTCAGACACCTGTCCCTGTTGCTGTCAATACACATAATATCTTAAGTTTCTCACCCAAGTGAAACCATTAGCAACTTAGTGTATAAATTGACGACTTTCTGATGAACATGTGGCAGGTAAATCCATCAGATGTTATAATTCTCGAAGGCATACTTATTTTTCATGATCCTCGTGTCAGAGATCTAATGAATATGAAGATATTTGTAGATACAGGTTCTTTCCATTCCATTTTATATTATTTGCTTTTTAACTTGTTACGTGTGTCTACTAATGACTAGCTGTGGTCATTCCTTGTCCTTTGCTTGAGTAATGAACACGATTACTGCTTTTGCTAAGATTGGTCTTCTACATTTCATAGACTCCGCTATCTCAAAATTTTCAGTGCAGATGCTGATGTACGCCTTGCGAGGAGAATAAGGCGTGACACAGTTGAAAAGGAGCGGGATATTGCTATGGTACTGGATCAGGTTAGTGAAAGTGTCGCATCGTTTATTTAAGGAATTTCTTACCCGATTACTCTCGAGATGGTCTCTTTCCAACATGTATTCTTTTTGTAAATTTTTTTTGTTTTTTTGAGTACTATGATCCTGTTACAATACAGTATCTGTTCATAACTACTTTCTCAACCAATGAATTAGTAAGCATAACCATACATTCTTGAGCCGTCTTACATACTTGTCACGTATCAATGACCGGTCTTGATATTCGTGCAGTACTCGAAGTTTGTTAAACCAGCTTTCGATGACTTCATTCTTCCGACAAAGAAGTATGCTGACATCATCATTCCTCGTGGCGGAGACAATCATGTTGCTATCGATTTGATTGTGCAGCACATAAGGACAAAACTTGGTCAACATGATCTATGTAAAATATATCCTAATCTTTATGTCATTCATTCGACTTTTCAGGTACCTTCCGTCTGTTGTAATTCAGGTGTCATTAATCAATCTATTATCTAGTGTCTGGAAATGTCGAGTTGATTTGCTCGTAGTGATTGATTGGTCTTTACTTCCCATTCAGATACGAGGCATGCATACTCTTATCCGTGATGCTGAAACAACAAAACACGATTTTGTATTTTATGCTGATCGGTTGATCCGCCTGGTAGGTCTGATTACCAGTTAGTATAGCCATAACTGAATGAAAGATATCGTTATTTTACTAATAAATAAATGCACTTCATGATTATCTGAACTAGGTGGTTGAACATGGTTTGGGACATCTGCCATTTACAGAAAAGCAGGTGATCACTCCAACGGGTAAGGCACATTTTCTCATCTCAATTACTCTGACGGCTTCTTGGATCACAAATACCGCTTCCTAATATTTTCTCGTGTATGTGCAGGATCTGTGTACACTGGTGTTGATTTTTGTAAGAGATTATGTGGCGTCTCTGTAATTCGAAGGTAAATTACCAAAACTATGCTGTTAACTTGTATCTTTGTTTTGTATTGCATGATGATTTTTATAAACAATTTAAGCACAAAAATTGGCGAGATTCTAATTCATTGAGACATTTCATATGTGCCTAATGTCTCTGCAGTGGAGAGAGTATGGAAAATGCTTTACGGGCTTGTTGTAAGGGCATAAAAATTGGCAAGATTCTAATTCATCGGGAGGGCGATAATGGTCAGCATGTGAGCAACTTCTTCATCCCCTGATGCATTATATTGTGCTGTTCTGTTTATTTTTACTTCACGTTTATCTAATGTATGGATTGTCGAGCAGCTTATCTATGAAAAACTACCACACGACATTGCAGAGAGGCAAGTCTTATTGTTGGATCCTATCCTGGGCACCGGTTAGTGTCTCCATTTTCATCTTTCTAGACGTCTTGGCAACTGCATTTATGCTGATATGTTCTAACTATTCAAGGCTCGATCTTGCAGGGAATTCAGCTGTTCAGGCGATTTCTCTACTGATAAAGAAGGGTGTACCGGAGTCCAACATTTTATTCCTAAATCTCATTTCTGTGAGTCCATTTCCCCTTGTACTCATTTCTATTACTAGATGGGAACTACATATTCTTGAATTATAGCCATTTTCTACTCCAGGCACCTCAAGGAGTTCATGTGGTCTGCAAACGTTTCCCCAGAATAAAGATCGTGACATCTGAGATTGAAATGGGATTGAACAAAGATTTTCGTGTTATCCCCGGGATGGGCGAATTCGGGGACCGATATTTTGGCACTGATGATGACTAAAACATCATCGGATCATGCATTGTTTCCCAAGTTCAAGAGAGAAATACAGTATTAACTGTTACTATGTCAGTTGCTTTAATTTGTCTATGTTGTTCTTTAGAACGTACTGCGGTTTTTTACCCCTTTCGCCGCTTGAGAAATCTGTCATTTATTTTCCCCCTCTTGATTGAAGATGGTAAACTAAACTGCATTTTTTTTCTTCCTAGTGTCTGTATCTCGAAAGATAAGATTAATTCAACCGAGTTTCTATTTTTCTGTCTTATAATTAAGAAGATGATGAGATTAATCCAAGTTGATCGAGTTCATTCGAAGGAGACTAATCTAATCGGATTTCAATTTCAAATTAGGAATTTGCATTTTTGTTTTTTAGTAGCCATGCATTTTCCAACATAAAATTATAAGGTTCTGAATAACAACGAACAGTACAGTACAGGAATTGAAATCTGGCAATTTGGCAGTATGCTGGAGTGATCACTCGTTCCTAGCTTGAAGCAAGGAGTAAGCTAAGGATGATAATCTTTGTTGGGCTAATCTTTAGCCACGTTGCAAAGAAAGGGATAAAATGGGAATATTCTCAAAACATGAAACATATATCTATCTCTATATCCTGGATTCCTGGTTCATGTTTTTGATATATCTTCATCGTGCATTATCCGGCCTCTTCCCTGTCCCCAAGAAATCATGTCTGCCTTCATAGGAAAATATGCAGGTACTTTAATCTCTCTCTCTCTCTCTCTCCATGCATGCATGGAAGACTTGATTTTTTGGTATCTCTGGTCATTATATTGTAAGACTAATTTAATTCAAGTTATTGGAGTTGCATGCATGCAGATGAGCTTATCAAGACAGCCAAGTATATTGCCACTCCGGGGAAGGGTATATTGGCCGCCGACGAGAGCACCGGCACAATTGGCAAGCGTCTAGCCAGCATTAACGTGGAGAACGTGGAGTCAAACCGTCAGGCTCTCCGGGAGCTTCTCTTCACCTCCCCCAACGCCCTCTCCTACCTCTCCGGCGTCATCCTCTTCGAAGAAACCCTCTACCAGAAAACCTCCGACGGCAAGCCGTTCGTGAAACTCCTCGAGGAAAACGATGTCGTTCCGGGCATCAAGGTGGACAAGGGGACCGTGGAGCTCGCCGGGACGAACGGGGAAACCAGCACTCAGGGTTTCGACTCCCTGGGCGCGCGGTGCAAGGAGTACTACACGGCCGGCGCGCGGTTCGCCAAGTGGAGGGCGGTGCTGAAAATCGGGCCCACCGAGCCGTCGGAACTTTCCATCCAGCAGAACGCTCAGGGGTTGGCTCGCTACGCCGTTATCTGCCAGGAGAATGGGCTGGTTCCGATCGTGGAGCCGGAAGTCCTCACCGACGGCGACCATGACATCAAGAAATGTGCGGCGGTTACCGAGACTGTTCTAGCCGCCGTTTACAAAGCTCTCAATGACCACCATGTCCTTCTTGAAGGTACCCTCTTGAAGCCTAACATGGTCACCCCTGGCTCCACCAGCCCAAAGGTACAAAAAACATTAATTTCTTAATTACAGATTCTATCACTACTGAAAATTATGAAATTTCTGACCACCTAAAAGTGATCTTAAATCAAGTCGAAATCTTTATTTCAACCACTTTTGGTATCTGAAAAAATCTTTATTGCTATTTCCGACCATTTTTTACTTTTGCTTACACCTTCAGTGGTCAGAAATTCCATAATTTCCAGTAGTGTATATTACTATAATTAATATAATTGCTTTAATCTCATGAATTATATACATAATTAATGAATGAATAGGTTGCGGCAGAAGTGATTGCTGAATACACAGTGACGGCACTGCGGCGGACCGTTCCACCGGCGGTGCCGGGGATCGTGTTCTTGTCGGGAGGACAGAGCGAGGAAGAAGCGACGGTGACCCTAAACGCGATGAACAAACTTCAAGTGTTGAAGCCATGGACTCTTTCATTCTCTTTTGGGCGAGCTCTGCAGCAAAGCACCCTGAAAACATGGGCAGGGAAGAAGGACAATGTTGACAAGGCACAAGCCGCATTCTTGGTGAGGTGCAAGGCTAACTCCGACGCCACCCTCGGCCAATACGCCGGCGGTAGCTCCGGCGGCGCTGCTTCTGAGAGCCTCTTTGTTTCCGGCTACAAGTATTAATTAATAATTAGCTACCAATAATTTCGATTATACACGTTGATCTACAAAATTCTGTGTATGAATTATATATGACTTTACCCACTTCTCAAAATGTATTGATTTAAGTGAAAAGCATTTGAATTTTTATGAGTTAGTACATTTTGTAAATTTAGCTCAATTTGCTATTGAATGGAAGATTATAGAGATATTTCGCGTCATATCCTTCCTTAACAAGATCTGATATTCAATAAGATCAATTAAGACCCATAAACGAATCATAATTCATACCAAAATAATGAACAGAAAAGAGTTTTGATAATAAATTGGAACGAGAATTTCGAATATGCACAATTCTAAATATCCGGGTTCTATATATTCCCATTTCACCAAACCAAAAAAAAAAAAAAAAACTGCCTTTTAAAAAAAAAAAAAATTTACTATATGCATTGGTGTAACGAAAAACGTGGCGATGAAACTTCAAAGCGAGGTTGAACAATTAATGGGAGGGCCGGGACACTAATCGTCAATCTAGTCTACTTTACTTGCTTTCTGGTCATTCCCTTTTCTTTCTCTATACTGTGATTCTCGGTTACTTCATTAATGGCGAAGGGGAGAAAGACGAAAGGCGGCACGAGCCAAGTAGTGAAGCCCATCATCTACTTGTAGTTCTAGTGATGCTAATGCAGTGATGAAGGTGGATCTTGAAGATGGTATTACCGCACAGCATTTCGAAGTCTCCCAGGTTTCTTCTGGGCTGGAACATAAAGACAGCATTTTTACACTTTCAATCAATGATGCCTGTAATCATAAATTGAACGGTGAAGAGAAATGGGCAAAACACTACAACTACAGTAACTACCATAAGATTTTGCTTGTGGGTGAAGGAGATTTCTCCTTCTCTGCCAGTTTGGTTGCGGCTTTTGGCTCTGCTTCCAACCTCACTGCAACTTCCCTGAATTCTAGAAGTAAGACACCCTTAACTGGTCTTTTGACAGCCTAAAACGTTGGACTCTGAATGTGTTTTTTGAGATTTTCTGTATTATCTTTTGCTGTTCAGAGGTTTTGAGGAAAGATTATGAGAAAGCTGTTTACAACATTGAAGAGTTAAAAGGAAAGGGAGGGAAGGTGATGTATGGTGTGGATGCTACTACCATGGCATCTCATCCCATCTTCAAGGGCTTGGCATTTGATTGAATACTTTTCAATTTTCCATATGCTATCATTCCCAAGAATGGTACTCGCAAAGATCAACTTTGGTCAGTTAGTTTATTATTTGTTTTCAAATTTTCATACTGCTCCATGGCATTTGGCCCTTTTAGGTAGTTGTTTAATTTGTCCTTAAGCATATTATATATGATTGATTTGTCTGTCTGTGAAGGAGACATCAATCTCTTGTAAGAGGGTATCTGAAAAGTGCCAAGGAGATGATCTGTGAAAATGGTGAGATCCATATAACTCAAAGGACAGATGGAGGGTTTGATGCTTGGAGAATAGAGTTTATTGCATCTCAGCTGGGGCTTGAGCTTGAAGAAGCTGTTGATTTTAACATTTGTGATTATCCAGGCTACAGTCCCAAATGGGGAATGGCCAAGAAGACATTAGTTCTCCTACTTCAACTTTCCACATTCTGGGATTTTCAAGAGCCGAGGGGGGCGCCGCCACATATCTCAGATTCGGTCAGCCATGATTCCTTCAAAGTAAGTTACACTTTGTCTTAAGCATTTCATGATCGGTTTTGTCAGTGCAGCTGTAATCAAGCGCTCGTGCGGGAGTTTCTGGGAAATGCCAAGCAACTGTTGGGTGAAAACGGCGAAATCCACATCACTCACAAGTCAAATGGATTCCACCTGAAATGGAATATAGTTTCGCTCGCGATTGAGCAGGGGCTTGAGCTTGCAGACTGTGTTGATTTTGATGTGAGTGAGTATCCAGGTTACAGCAACAAGTATGGATTTGGAGGTGACAGGAGCTTTGACTTCCTTCCTTGTAAGACTTACATGTTCAGACATCCTGGTAAGTCCATCCTGCAAATCTGCAATTGAGAACATGTAAGAAAATTGTTAAAATATGTTTGATATAGAAAGATTATGTGTGTTTCTTGGAGATTTTATAGAACTTCAACCTTTTGATACAAAGTATTAGTATTCATTGATACCTAATGACTATTTATAGGCTTTGATTCTTTTGATACTTAACTTTGAATGCTATATATTTAGTCGAGCTAATTATTTGATCAAATTAATGTTAAATTTTATATTGTATTTTTTGAATACACTCTACTAAAATATTTGTATTATATGTTCAACAATTATGCCACTTTGATTGGGATGAGAGTTGAACCTAAAGCCTTTCTTATAGAAATCAATTAGTAAGTTAATTATTGATGGGGAATATTCCCCGAGGATACATACCACATACCTGGTCAGGACCGATCTAGTTATCGTGAAAAACCGTTTCTGATCTCGACCGACCTTATGCTTGACCGACCCAACCTCCCGCAAGAGCTGAGCGAACAAATAGTCAGTGTGCACCTTCTACCTTACCTTGAGATCAGTACCGACTCTGTGGGGTTGAGACGAGTATCCCGAGCAAGGCCACTTGAAGCGCATTTAACTAAGATCCCGGTCTCAACCTAATCTCATTACCTAGTGGCCAATTAGGAATATTGCAACACGAACATGTGGGCTCCACTGCGCAACCGCACGAGCTCGCCAACTACATGTGCGACACACATCAGACATGCGAGAGCCCGACATGTGCCTCTTTGTAACTCTTATAAATTGGCCATTATTGCGTAGAGGAGGGACTTTTGGGCATTTTTACTTAACCTTAATCAGTTCGGGATGCTTCGACCCACAGTTACTTCCTCCCGAGCTCCACAGCTTAACCCAACAAACACACTTCTTAAATATTATTACTGTATTTCTAATCTAAAAACATAATAAGTCTCAATTAAGGTTATACGTTTGATTTATGTCCCTATTTTTGTATGCTAATAAAGGTATACATTTTGCTTTAAATGTTGTACACTTCAATGTTATTAGACAAAATTGTCCCTATGACCCTAGTACATTATTGTTAGACAAAAATACCCTTACACCGTTATAATTTCGTTATTTTTTAATTCTAATATTGATGACTCTATCTTATTACCATACACCTATATATATATCATATTCTTTAATTATCATTTCATTAAAATTATTATATAATTAATTTAATTGTTGATTAGTGGTAAAAAGAATTAATTGTTGATTGTATTTTAATTAAGTTTTTATGAATGGTAAATAATATATCTGTGTGTATAAAATACATATATTATTTGTGTATATATAATTTAAATTATTATTTTTAATTATTTGTATTTATCAATACTTTAATATTGGGCATTAATTTTCACGCATCGCGCGTACAAAATGCTAGTAAATATTATAAGATACAAGATATAAATAAATATTGATATAAGTGCAACAGAATTATTACACCAAAATAATTGCAAATTATATCTTAAATAAAAATTCATCATGTGTATTATATATTATGATTCATTACATACAATTAATATATTATCTATATATATCTATAAAAAAAAATCATAACAAATATTTTATTATTGTTGCAAACAACGATTAAGTTTTGTTACTGTTTCTTGTAAATACATTTTTTGTTTCTAATCCATTACTTTAGAACTCTTTGAAAGTCCAAGTATTGATTGAATACACTTCTTAAGTTGTCTTTAATTAATAAATTTTTATATGTATTATACATGTATATAATAATATTATTATTATTATCATTCCTTTTACCAATCAGAATACAATTAAGTCTATTCCTTTTGTGAATTTAAAAACTAAATTCTATTCATATTAGGATTTATGTGTACTTTTTCCATAATATTATTATTATTCCTTTTACCAATCAGAATACAATTAAGTCTATTTCTTTTGTGAATAAAAAAAACTAAATTCTATTCATATTAGGATTTATGTATACTTTTCCTTATAAATATAAATAGTTGAAATCTAACCCTCTAACTCAAACTTTCCAACTTTCTCAATAAACATTTTGTCTCTGTTTGAACAAGACAATTTTCTTTTAAATTTTCTCTACTTTCTCTCTCTTGCCTTACATATTAAGTTCCCAGATGAGGACACCTGTTGAAGGGAATGGAATTTCTGCCGTCCACTCAGCAGATGCTTCTTTCATGAAGCATAGTTTGAATAAGAGTGGAGAAGAGAAGTGGGCAAAACACTACAGTAACCAGCACAGGATTCTGCTAGTGGGCGAAGGAGACTTTTCTTTCTCCGCCAGTTTAGCGGCGGCTTTTGGGTTTGCTTCTAACATGACTGCCACTTCCCTCGACTCTGAAGGTATGATATTTTGATTCATAATATGGCTATTTACTTGTATTTATATTTGCAGTAATAGGTGATATATGTTGGCTGAGTTTTTTTTATTATTATATTGGCTTTATTTGTGAAGAGCTTATTTAGGAGCTTATAACTTATTTGAGTTTTTTCCACTTTTGGTCCTATGACTTTAGTGTCTCCGTCAATTTAAGTTCACAAGTTTAATTCCTGACATAAGTAGTGCTTGACTTTGATATTTTTTCCACTTTTAGTCCTTTTGGCAATCTAAACGATTACTTTTAATCAGACTCAATAAATTGTCTTTTATATTTAAAGTTAAGAGGGGTAAATAAGTCACCATCATCTTGTCTCCAAGAATAGCTTCACTGACAGGCCACAGATCGCCACTTCATCATCTCCTCTCTATGCCTCGAGCGCGAAGAACATTTCCAGGCTACTGGAGGGGTGGATGAGAGCTTCATCCTCGTCTTCTTCGTCCAAGGGGTTGACGGTGGCGACCTCCCATGGCGGCGGCCGGGAGGAAGAGGAAGACCAGAACAGCCCGGAGGCGGCGGATTAGCGGGGAGCAACGACAACAATGGGGCGATCTCGAAGGAGGAGTATTTGGATTCTATTGTGATGTTTGGGAGCTTGATGAATGGAATGGAGAGTGAGAGTTGCAGTGGGAATAATAAGCAGAACGTGTAGGAAATTAATGATAATGATAACCCTCCTCCATTAACGTTTCTTGAGAAATGGTTGTTGGATGAAAGTGCAGTGCAGGTTGAAGAAGAAGGAGGAGAGGATCAAGGTGCAGTCATGGAGCTTCCAACAATCTTTTCATGACAATAAAATATGCACTAACCAATAACCCCCAATACACCAATATTATACTTGTTCTTCCTTGAATTTGTCCAGGCCTGGCTGATTGAGAAGAATATTTTGTAGAGGTTGTGTTCGCATGTGTGTTTACAGTAAGAGAGGGAGATGAAATACGGGAAGAAGAAGATAATTAAATAGTTTTAATTTTTTTTGTTTATTATTTAAGTGATGGTGAAAGACTTATTTATCCCTCTTAAATCTAAATATAAAAGATAATTTAGTGATTCCGATTAAAAGTAGTCGCTCAGATGACCAGAAGGACTAAAAGTGGAAAAAAAATCAAAGTCAAGCACTACATATGTCAGGAATGAAAGTTGTGAACCTAAGTTGACAGAGACACTAAAGTCATAGGACCAAAAGTGGAAAAAACTCTAACTTATTTTAAGCTACTGATAAGCTTGTAATGTTTCAGGGGATTTATGGAATGTTTACGACAGAGCTGTTTACAACATTGAAGAATTGATGAGAAAGGGATGCAAGGTGATTCATGGTGTTAATGTTGCTTCCATGGATTCTCATCCCAGCTTGAAGGACTTGACATTTGATCGTATAATTTTCAATTTCCCATTTGCTGGGGTGTCCATGATAAGCAAAGGATCTCAACATTGGTCAGTTAGTTCAATTCATGCATGCTTTAATTTGTTTTCAGACTTGCTTTAACTTGTGTTTTGAGCATTTGATTGATTTGTTTATGCAGTCCACACCGAGGCCTGGTAAAGGCATTCCTGAGAGCTGCCAAGGAGATGATTGATGAAGATGGTGAAATCCATATCACTCAAAGAACAGATGGGATTCTTGGTGAAATGAAGATAGAATTCATTGCATTTCAGCAGTGGCTTGAACTTGTTGGGGTTGTAGATTTCAATGTTTCTGATTATCCGGGTTACAGCCCTAAATGGGAGTTAGGAAATGGGTATAATGTAGAGTATATTCCTCCTAGTAGTAGAACTTACAAGTTCCGACGACCTCATCATCCACTCCCACCCCCACCCCCAAAGATTGTTCATCATGCTCTTGCAGCAAGTAGCAACAGCAGCAGTGTTAATGATGATTATGTCCCGAATTTTGTCAATGCCAATAATATTTCGCAACGTGCATCCAGCTCTAGTGACACTACATGCATATGCAACAAAGACGACGGGAGTGGTGATAGCAAATACTGGTGCCATTGCCATATGAGGAGGGAGCTGCCAACAAAGACGACGGGGTGGTGTATGTACCCTTCTCCTTCCATGATCCTACAGCCAACGCCATATGGGGGAGCTACTTGTAGTAATAGTGGACAGTATCATCATCACCAAAATTTTGTTTCTCCAACAACATACTATAGTGCTATTAAGCAGCAGAATGAACTAGCAGGGTTGCAGCAAGAAAGGTGGATAAAACACTACAGCAATCGCCACAAGATTCTGCTTGTGGGTGAAGGAGACTTCTCCTTCTCTGCCAGTTTAGCTGTTGCCTTCGGCTTTGCTTCTAACGTCACTGCAACTTCTCTTGATTCTGAGGGTAAGAAACAAATTCTAATCTTAGTTAGTTGAGTTCATCATCATCATCAATATTATTGCCATTACTAAATACTTCTTATTTTTCAGAGTTCTTGACTTTCCATTACTGCAAAGCTTTTATCCACCTTAAAGAATTGAAAAACAGAGGGTGTAAGGTGATTCATGGTGTTGATGCTACCTCCATGGCATACCATCCCAGCTTGATGGGCTCCACGTTTGACAGGATTATTTTCAACTTTCCATATGCCGGATTTTTCAATGATTCGTCCCGCCAATCTAAGATTAGGTTAGCTTTCTCTTTAAAGTATTAATTAGTATATACATTCATTCATTCATTCATACCATAGCATTGTTTCATTCACTCTGTATGTATGTAAATGCAGTTGTCATCAATCCATGATATGGATGTTCCTGGAGAATGCAAAGCAGATGCTGAGCCAAAACGGCGAAATCCACATCACCCACAAGACCAATGGATTCCACCAACAATGGGGTATAGTTTCTCTTGCGATTCAGCAGGGGCTTGAGCTTGTAGACAGTGTTGAGTTTAATGTTAGTGATTATCCAGGCTACAGTAACAAGTATGGGTTTGGGGGTGACAATAGTTTCGACTGCTCTCCTAGTAAAACTTACATGTTCCGACTCCCTCGTACCACATGGCCTGGCCGCCTTCCTTGGGTTTAGGTTAGGTTACTGATCCATCATTATCTGCTGCCATGTTCTTGCAGCAGCCAGTTTGTAAACTCTGTTTTTTTTTCTTTCTTTCTTGTTTGCTGTAATGGATTATTAGTTGTAAGTATTGGTCAGTGGTTTTACTAAAATTTTTTGTAGAATGTGTTTATGGATGGATTAGTAATAATTTGAATAAGCTAATCTCTATTGCTCTGTATTTCTATACAATGTTGAGTACTTCTTTCATCCTTCAATTCTGGAAAATAATATGCCTTCTTCTCCCCATGGAAAAATGCAAGAATTTACATTGCTAATCTCTATTGCTCTGTATTTCTGTAAAAAATGCAAGAATTTACATTGCCAATCTCTATTGCGCTGTATTTCTGTAATAATGTACATTGCTAAAATGAGCACAAGAAAAAAAGTAAGTTAACAACCCAAAACAAACTACCAACACTGATCGGTTTCCCACCTTCGGGTCGGGTGGGTCCCCGTAGTACAAGCGTGAATCCCATTCCAATTATTCCGAGCCCGGCCGTTGGCGCCAACGCTCAATTCCAGGTCGTACAGCGATCTGGCAGTCGGATCGGAGAGCGTGGCGTAGGCATGATGAATCTCGAGGAAAAGCCGCCCGTCCGATGACGATTCCTGGAGACGGGCGGCGGCGGAGGCGACGGCGTCAGGGTGATAAATCTTCGCTAACGTACGGTACGCCGTCTTGATCTCCCGCGACGAAGCGCCCTTGTTCACTCTTAGCACATCGTAGAGGCTCATCTCTATCGCCGGAGCCGGTGCTGCCTCGGCCGTCACGCAGCGCGCCGACAGTCTCCGTATGTTTGCTCCGGAGATTAACGGCTTGCCGACCGATCCGAGTGCTCCGGCGACAACGGATGACTTTCCAGGCGAGAAATTAAAGGAGTTTGAAGGCGAAAAGGTAAGCGTTTGGAGCATTTGGGAAAATGCAAAGATTTCTGCGTTGAAGAAAAGAAGGTGGAGAAGAAGGGCAGCAACCACTGCGTATATAAACAAAAGCTATAGAGAGAGAAATATCCTGCATATCCAGGAACGGCATCGTTTTGTATCCCTTATTATTTGGTTCCTGTTCGGCTGTTCTTGTCTTCTAGAAGGTTTTTGGGCTTGGCTTCATTTTCCGCTGGACTCGTTTTTAAGGTATCGTTTGGAGTAGCTGAACGCATAATAATGTTTAACACAATTTTTTGTGTCCACTCTAGATTTTAACCAAACTGCCCCTTAATTAAAAGAAGTTGAAAGATTGGAACTATGTTATTTTCTAATCTTTATAAATATTATAATGGGAAGAGTTGATGTCATAGGTGATAGATACATAAGCCAATTGGATTTGGATTAAAACATTCAAAAAATTGCATGACTTTGACTGTTTCAATGACCAATGTCATCTTCCATTTTATTAAAAGGAATAATATTGTTTATATATTGTGTAACTGTTTGATAAAATAGTTAGTTTATCAATCAATTTTAACTTATTTGATCATTATTAGCTGTTTAGCTTGATATAAGTGTTTGATTAATTAGTTTTTTGTAACAACTTATTGTTTCAAAATGCTAAAATTCAAAAAACTTTTGATCAACTTTTTGAGAAAGTTATTTTGTATATATGTAATCAGTTAACAACTAACGGCTAATTTATCAAACACTTTTCCACAATCAACTAATGCTATCAAACTCACTAACTCAATCAACTAACAATCATTTACCAAACACCCATTTATCTTTATACTCCATATATCCTCATCATCAGATTTTAATTTCTCAATTTTTTTTTGTAATGAATATTTGAGTGTCCTTTCTATCCATATATGCAATGCTTCTAGAAGATGAGGCGTTTGGTCCACTGTCCATGTTTGGATGCAATGCCAAAGAGGGATGGGGATAATGCAAGAAAGTTGTGACTTGTGAGGGTGGGTGGGATTTATTATTATTATGTAAATGACCTTTGGAGTAAGGATAAGGGCTTCTAGAAACCTTCTCTCTTCACTTCCTATTCTTAATTCTTGTATGACGTGGGAAACCCCACCTTTACATCTACCACAAATATAATGATGATCAATTAATAATACTAAAAATGGCATTTAGTATATATTAACTTATGAATGGTTGGGTTTGGCAAATTATTGTGTGGATCATAATAGAAAGTACATTTTTAATATATTAAATGTACATTATTTTTGTACTGAATGTACATTATATAATATAATGTACACTCAGTATACAAATAATGTATATTTTCTGAACACAATGTATATTATTTTTGTACTGAATATACATTATTTTACCGTATATGATCACACAATAATGATTGCGTTGGGTTGCCAACGCTACCCACATTTGGGTTAGCTGGAGGTCCATTGGGCTCGGCCCATTGATGTAGGCCCATCAAACAACTCAATCCAATTAGAAAATAAGTCGTTAGCATAGACTCTCCTTATTATGCACTTCGAGATCTACATTGTATTATTACTCCGTATTATTTTGACTGGACGGAATTCCTGAATCAATCAATTGTGGCGGCATAATCCGAAAATCCTACTCAGATCCGAGTTGTAGCGTATGGTATCTTGTCGGAAGGATAATATTATTTATAGAGTAAATACCGGCGAAGGTCCTCCGACTTTAGTGGCACTGTCACTTTTAGTCCTCAACTTTTAAATCAACCACTTTTAGTCCTCTTACTTTTTGTTTCTAGCCATCTATGGTCCTTTCGTTAAACTTGACCATCTAATTCCGTTTTCTAAAAGATAATTCAGTCCTTTCATAATTAATTTATTAATTATTATGTTTAATTTCCTCATCAGAATAGTCAAACAATGGTTTCCCAGCTATGAACGTGTACAAAACCAGCTCGTGAATCAAAATGGCGTACAAAAGCTGGTACGAAGGTTGTGCCAAAACGACGTCGGAGTATCTCGGTATGACTCGGCAAACATAATAATTAATAAATTAATTATGAAATGACTGAATTATTCTTGAGAAAACGACATTAGATGGTCAAGTTTAACGGAAGGACCATAGATGGCTAGAAACAAAAAGTAAGAGGACTAAGAGTGGTTGATTTAAAATTTGAGGACTAAAAGTGACAGTGCCACCAAAGTCAGAGGACCTCCGCTGGTATTTACTCTTATTTATACTATCAACTTTTACCCTTTTTAGACAATTTTATTATTAATATTTTTTTGGAATCCACATAATAAAATAACTCTTGCATTGCATCAATGTTTTTATCTAGCTGCCCCCTCCAATCATTCAATGAGTTTGATCCACAATTATATTATATTTATGGAGTCCCTGCTTTGTCATTTGGTATCAATCAACCTCAAATCTCAATTATGCAGAATAATATATACATTTAAGTTACGATGCATAACTTTTAGCCTCTCTATAAACAATCTCTGGAGCTCAGTGAACCTAAGAAAAGGACACTTCTCTATTGTTGATAGATAGGTTGTGGTGAAGAAGATGACGGTTGGGGCAGGGATAACGGTGGCTGATGGGAACTTGAATGTTCTGGGGAAGTGCATTCTGAGCAATGTTCACGACAACATCATATTAACTCCGGCAACCGGCGAGGTTCTTATCAATGGCGCTTTCCTCGGTGTTCAATCTGACGGGGTTGGAAGCCGCAGAGTATTCCCTGTTGGAAAGCTCGAGTATGTTTTTGTTCCCCATCATTTATGTCTAGTTTACTGCTTCCCAAGAGAGTCTTTATACTTGCTTTAAAGATTTCATTTTTGTCTTATGTTGTGTCGACATTTATTGCAAAGATCGCATTTTTATCATTGAATGGAACTTATAGAATCATCTGGGGACTGGGGTGGTGGGTCTTTATGTTTTGGGGTTGAGAATTGGAAGTTGATGTGCAGGGGGTTGCGGTTTATGTGTTCCTTTCGGTTCAAGATGTGGTGGATGACACAGAGAATGGGGACCTGTGGGCAAGACATACCATTTGAGACACAGTTTATGATTGTGGAAGGACATGATGCTTCACACTTTGAAGAAACAGATGAAGGTTCAGCGTTGTATGTTGTGTTCCTGCCTATTCTGGAAGGCAATTTTAGAGCTGTTATTCAAGGGAATGCTGACAATGAGTTGGAGATATGCCTGGAAAGTGGTATGGACAATTGCAGAATTTCCAGGAATAATATTTTATTTTATGGTTCCCTGTATGTTAATTGGATGGCTGATTAACAGGAGATCCTGCTGTGGAAGAATTCCAAGGGAGCCACCTGGTTTTTGTGGCTGCTGGATCAAACCCCTTTGATGTCATCACCGATGCAGTCAAGTATGTTTAATCCGTTTCTTGTTTTGTACAATGGCCAATGTTCAGTGAACTTCTGATTTGCGAATTGCGATTTATACTATTTTGGCATTTCTGCTGCTAATTGTTACCAAGAAGTAGAAGAGTTTGCAATGGACATGACAATTGATATGTTTGCTAAAATATAGGGCTGTGGAGAGTCATATGCAGACATTTTGTCACCGTGAAAGGAAGAAGGTACTGTCAAGATTGATTCAATTCATCCATTTTTTACATTGGCAAGTCAATGTTTACAATGCACTATTGACACTAGCATAATTGTTCAGATTCCAGACATGTTGAACTGGTTTGGATGGTGCACGTGGGATGCTTTCTATACTACGGTTACTGCAGAGGGTGTTAAGCAAGGACTGGAGATGTAAACCATTTCCCATTCTGATAACGGTTTATGTATGTGTTCAAGCATCACTAACTACCAGTGATTTTCCTTTTCAGTCTGCAGAAAGGTGGTGTTTGCCCGAAATTTATCATCATTGATGATGGATGGCAATCAGTGGGCATGGATCCCAACGATGTTGGTGTTAATGCTGATAACTCAGCTAAGTAAGTTAAAGAACGAGTTTTGGATTCTTTTTAAACGTCGAACAATCTTATTGATAAATTTGGTTCATATTCAGCTTCGCAAATAGGTTAACTCATATCAAAGAGAACCACAAATTTCAAAAGGATGGCAAAGAGGGACATAGGGTGGAGGACCCTGCAATGGGACTTAAACACTTTGTTTCTGAAATCAAAGACCAACATGATTTGAAGTAAGATTTCCTCAATTTGGCAGCTGTTTCTTTATAGAAATCTTTTATTTCTCCATGGTTGCTTTATGCTCATACTCGATCTCTTTGCTGAACTTTTAGATATGTATGTGTATGGCATGCCTTAGCTGGGTACTGGGGTGGTGTCAAACCTGGGATTGCTGGCATGGAACACTATGAATCCAAGTTAGCCTATCCTGTTTCTTCTCCCGGTGTCCAGTCACAGGAGCCCGATGGTTCTCTGGATTGCATGACAAAGAATGGGCTCGGTCTAGTGAACCCTGAGAAGGTTTATACCTTCTATAATGAACTGCATTCCTACCTTGCTTCAGCAGGTATCTATGGACTTAAAGTAGATGTGCAGAACATTCTCGAGACTGTTGGGGCAGGGCACGGGGGTAGAGTTAAACTTGCAAGAAGATATCATCAAGCACTAGAGGCTTCTATCTCCAGAAACTTTCCGGATAATGGAATTATATCTTGCATGAGTCACAACACAGATAGCCTCTACAGGTACAAATTTAGGATAACGAACACGTGGTTTGGTCTTTCCTAGGACTGTGGTTTGATTGTTTTACATTGCCATCGTTGTCTAGTGGAAAGCGGATAGCTGTGATTAGAGCATCTGATGATTTTTGGCCTAGAGATCCTGCATCTCACACCATTCACATTGCATCAGTTGCATACAATACTATATTCTTGGGAGAGTTCATGCAGCCAGATTGGGATATGTTTCAGGTGAGTCAGCAACTTTAATTTATTCAATTGTCAACATATTACCATAACTTGAACCTGAAGTTGATTAGTGAAACATTATTCATCTCTGCAACATACTGCAGAGTTTGCACCCAATGGCTGAATACCACGCTGCAGCACGAGCAGTGGGTGGCTGTGCTATATATGTCAGGTAATAATTCAGTTTTAACTATTCTTGAAAAGTTAACTCATCACATATATTACCTTTACTCATTTCTTCAAAAAGAAAAAAAAAATTACCTTTACTCATTGATTAATGCCTGAGCTGTTGGGATGTGCAGCGACAAGCCTGGACACAGCAACTTTGATGTGTTGAGGAAGCTTGTACTTCCAGATGGCTCAGTATTGCGGGCCAAACTTCCAGGACGGCCAACTAGAGATTGCTTGTTTTCGGATCCTGCAAGAGATGGAAAAAGGTAAATCATATAGGCAAATTAAAGCTCAATGGTCTGTCTTCATGAAATCCTTATTCTCTGTTGCTCTTTAGTTACTTTGTTTCTGTCGTTCTTGCAGTGTTCTAAAGATTTGGAATATAAACCATGTTAATGGAGTTGTTGGCGTGTTTAACTGCCAAGGAGCCGGGTGGTGCAGAGTTGAGAAAACAAACCTCATCCACGACGAACAACCTGGAACAGTTACTGGAACAATTCGAGCTAAGGATGTTGAATACTTACCAAGAATCACTCATGGTGATTGGAATGGCGACGTGGTTATCTATTCTTACCGCCAAGGTATGTTTCTCTGCAACATTTTCTTGAAGAAACAAAGCTGCAAGGCTGCAACTTTTGAAAATGTCCAGTTGTGCTTACCTGATTGATGGATGATACTGTGGTTATGTGCAGAAAACTTGGTCTATCTTCCTAAAAACTGCATCCTGCCGGTTACATTGAAGGCAAAAGAATACGAGGTTTTCACGGTTGTTCCTATCAAGAACATGTCGTCGGGATCTGCATTTGCTCCTATAGGCCTTGTGAAGATGTTGAATTCAGGAGGAGCCATCACAGATGTAAAGTATGAAGCAGAAGGAACAGGAGCAGTGTGCATGAAAGTACGAGGCTGTGGTGCATTCGGAGCATATTCATCAGTGAGACCAAGAAGAATTGCAGTTGACAGCACAGAAGTGGAATTCCAATACGAGGATGCATCTGGTTTCATTACATTTGAACTGGGAATCCCAGAAAAAGAGCTGTATCTGTGGGATGTTGTAGTTGATCTGTAAATGTATTCAGTTGGGTGCCTCATTGCAACCTAGACAGTTGCTATCATGTGTCAACATTAAACCTTTGTAAGGAAATTCTTGTTAAAATACTAAAATAATAATTGCCACCTCTTCGGCAGCCTAATCATATAAGCATGAAAGAGGAACAGACCTGGTTAAGAATCTCACATTGATAAAACAAGAGAGAATATGTGAGTATAAGGTTTAGACTAGCTAATTGATTGGATCCAATCTTTTAGTGTAAATTGATTTATGTGCATTATAGTTCAATTGAGTGACCAACCAACCTAGTCTAATCTTAGTTTATAAAAGACCCCTTTCTCACAATTAATGCTTTGGAAAAGCCACATGCTATTTTGAGCAATAACAAGCTAAATTCAGATTTGATGTGTCTTTCCCGGTCAGTATTTCCAGTCTCTGGGCAAGTTGGATCTCTATTGGGTTAGATATTTTTATATTATCTCCTCTTTAATTACTGGGTATTTCTTATCTGCATATACCAACAGGAGCATTAGGGTTTTTGCCTGTTGATCTAGCAATTTTCTCCTCAACTAACCATATCTTTATCTTTACATTATCAACCTGTGTTTGCTTGTCTTACACCATTCCTAACTCATCTTTTGCCCTCCTTAATTCCTCTTCCTAATCATCATCCTTATTTATATTTTGCTGGGTTAAAAGGAAGTCTTTTTTTCAAGCAAGTCAGGATCTTGATTCTGGAGAAGATGTGAGCTTACTGTTCAACCTTCTTCATCTTCCTTTGTTAACTTTGATAGTCCTTTGTGCTAATTAATTAGTCATTAGTCAGACCAAGACTCAGATGACGATTTGTATTCAATGGCCAAGGCAAAGGGAAAGTTTTGGGTCGTTGACAAATGACCAGCCAACAAAAGACAAAAGGACCAATAGCAAAGCAGCAATAATGACTTCTACTGGTATTCATGGACTTATCTGCATAATAGGCTACCTTCTGGTAAGCTAACATGGCATGGGAGTTGATGAGGAAGAAGAAGAAGACGAGGTGGGTGATGGAGTTCCTCAAAAAAAAAAAAAAGTAGTAGTCAGAGAAATAGGATTGAAAATATGAGAGGTGTTTGTACAATCATTATACCGTGCACCACGGCGCACATAGCAATGTGCGTTCCGCGCATCTCAAAATTACGTCGTTTTGTTAAGTTGTTAAAAAAAAATCTTTTGTTTCGAATGCACAAAAACTTATAACAGAATACACATAAACTCATAACAGAATACACATAAACTCATAATACAATACACATAAACTTTTAATTGAATACAATCAATACTCATAATAGGGTTTGGTTAATATAATACACATAAACTCATAACACAATACATATAAACTTTTAACTTTCAACGCCATACAGATTTAACATGATAAACAAGTCAATTTGGATTTAATTGAATATTTTTACTGATTTAGAGAATTTCAATAGAGCTTTTTTTTTACTTAGGAGATCTAATTGCACTATTCATGTGACTTAGAGGCTAATTTGACACTTTTTCCTTTATGATATTTATGTTAAATCTTATGACTCAATTGCTAGTTTACTTATGATAATATATTTTCTCATATCAAATTTTCTATTGTTAAAAGATCTGGGAATCAAGTGCTCATGTATTATTAGCTAGAGATGTTGATTCCTTGAGAGTTGTAGGAGTGGGTTTCTAAACGCCCGAATTTCATTGTTGATTTTTTTTACTTTGGACTGTTGATTAATGAAAGTAGTTATCTTTTAAAAAAAAAAAAAAAAGTTTATGAGGTGGGGATGAGAGAAAATATGAAAGGTGTTTGTAGTGAGGGCAAAATTTAAAAAGAGTTGACTAAAATGGTAACTCTTAAATATAGATAAAACAAGTACAAATCCCTTGGGCTTGTGTTTTTAATATAGAAATAGAATATTGACTGCTGTTGGTATGACCTAAAGTAGTTACCTTGAAATCCGCTCGTGTTATTTGTTTGGTTTCTCTCCTTTTCAAAAAAAAAAAAAATAAATTAAAAATTAAAAATTAAAAATTAAAAAAAACAATATTGACTGCTGTTGGTATTCATGGATTTATGGGAATTAAACTCTAATGGGAATTAAAAGAAGGAATTTTATTATATGTACTTTCAAATTTTATTGTCTCATTTTTTATTTTATGATATGACAAATAAAGATTAGTTATTTTCATTATGTGAGTTCCATGAAATATGTCTACATCAAGAATTTGTGAGAGGGAGTAAAAGTTAGAAGTAAGAAATGAGAGTGCATGTAATATTTTTCTAGAAGAAGACAAGGTGGGTGATATTAAGTAGTAGTCAAATGTGTCCTTATGTCATATCAAATTTTCTTTTGTTAAAAGATTTGCGAATTAAACTGCTTATGTATTGATTAGAAAAGTTAATTTTTTAACTGTTTTTTTTTTTTTTTTTTTTTTTGAAACTGAGTTATAGGGAGTGGTTTTCTAACTCTCAAATTTCATTGTTGATTTTTTGACTTTAAACTCTGTTAATTAATGGAAATAGTTACTTTTTCTTTTTTTAAAAAGTGTGTGAGGTGAGGATGAGAGAAAATATGAGGTGTTTATAGTGATCATTTACTGAAATGGGCAAATTTTAAAAAGAGTCGACAAAAATAGTAACTTTTAAATTATTAACAAAATAAGTACAAATTCCTTGTGCTTGTGTTTTTTTTAAAAAAAAAAAAATACAAATTTCAATGGAGTTTCTTAAATTCGTGAAATAGATTTGAAAGGAATCATATCAATATCTGTTTATAATTATTTTATCAATTCATTAATTTTTTTGAGACTTGAATCCATAATTTTCAAGAAATACAATTTTGATGTCATTAGACCACAAGGTGTTTGACATAATAATCCGTATATTAGTAGATTTGTTGTACCTGTAAAGGTGAATGCAAGACTGCATGCAAGCGTCATACCATCATATAATAAGACCATTAAAGAATTCCAGAAGCAGCCGCCTGTTCCTCTTCAGGGAATCACCCATTCACTTAATCGATGTAGACTTGTAGAGAGTTGAATATAATAACGACTAAATAAAAAAAAATTAATTAATTCTATTAAAAAAAATAATTCTCAAAATATATTTGAAAAAAATGTTAAAAACGTAACGCTTTTCTTACATTAATTAAAAATTAAGTGGGAAGCTCCCGAGGTGTTTTTCGCCTCTCATAGCGGAGGCATTGGCCTGCAAAGAAGTATTGTCCCGATTTAAAAGGCGAAACGAGGTTGAGGTGGATGTTTTGACAGATTGTCTTGTATTGAAGAATGCCGTCTGCTCAGTATCTACGCCGAATTTATCTTACGTTGGAATCGTGATAGATCAATGTAAGGCAGCTATCAGTAGTTTTGATTATTGTTCACTCAGTTTTAATTTATTACTAGAACGCTTAATTTACATGCGTTTGCACTAGCTAGAGTAGCTTATAATCAGGATCACTTTATGTATTGAGACTTGATCCCTCCTGACTCTATCGTTCAATTCTTGACTTAATATATTGGCTACCCATTTTTCAAAAAAAAAAAAAAATACTATAAATATATTTTAAAGTTTAAAAAAAATTGAAATATGTTAGTAAGGTCATTTCCAATCCAAAAACTACAATTTATAAAGTGCCACGTACTTCTGGTGATGTTACTTTAAAAAATAGCGGCGTGTTGAAAAGTGAGTGTTGAGCCGAAATCCAGAAGTCCTAAATCACAGAAGCATTCGCCGCCCAGATGGCCAGCGGCCGGGTAATATCCACTCGCCAGCTAAAAAACAATTCCCACTACGCACAGATCAACTGATCAAGTACCGTGCATTGCTTCTTCTGAGTTCTGAACTTCTGATCTCCTGCACAACCTAGCTTCAATTCACTAGCTGATCGAAACTATGAAGAGAACTGGTAAGTTTCATTATTATATTCTTGAATATAATGAAGGTTGAGTCTTTTTGTTGAACCAGAGTAGGCGTCGCACGGTAAACCTAAGAGCTAATCTTTTATCCCCATGCATCTCCATGAAAAATCAGGAAATCAATGGACTGCTTTTGCACATATTATCACAGCGGTGATAGGATCAGGAGTTCTATCATTAGCATGGAGTGTAGCACAATTGGGGTGGATTGCTGGCCCAATAATTCTGCTGTGTTTTGCTTCTGTTACCCTTACTAGTGCATTTCTTCTCTGCAACTGTTACAAATCCACCGATCAACAGGGGAACATGAATATCACCCACAGCCATGGCTCTTACCTTGAAGCTGTCCAGTCAATTTTAGGTAAGAAATCTTGAACTGCGTGCATTTCTTTCAGTAAACTTTAGTGTGTTTCTTGTATAGCATGGGGGAGAGAGGGTATGTTCTGCAACATGGGGAGATCGAAATGGTTGGAGGATTTCCAGGGGAGAAGACCGAAGAGAGGCGAGAGATGACAACATATTTGCAGTACTTTTTTTTTTTTTTTTTTTTTTGTGGGTCCACGAATTTTTTTTGTTAAATATTCATGAACAGTAGTCTGCGCGTGCAGTGCACGTTTCAATGTACGTGCCAAATATAGGAAGTCAGTTCGGTCAGATAAGATGAATTCCTTTTCTGTATTCTGTTCTCCCTTCTTTTCTACTGCAATTCCAGTCCATTACAATGTGATGATCCCACTATTATATCCAAACAAAACCTACGGAGTAATGGCGTCCGTAACTTCGCATCTCAATTCAGGGAGAAATCTTCTTCGTCAATTCATCGTCGACCACTCGACCCAACGGCAACGGCGGGCGGCAAAGTACTGCAATTCTGCTCGCGGCTGCAATGTGTGGAGGAGGAGGAGGAGGGGGGGGGGGGGGGTTGGAAGGAGGGAGGGAGGGAGAACTTTCAGCAGAATTTTGTCTCTTTCCTTCTCTCTCCTCTAACCCCTCAATGAGTCAATGGGTTGCTCTATTGCGGTAAATCCACCACTGATCCACATGAGCACATTATTGCTGATTCTAAGTTATATATAATTTTATCTATTTTGGATTTGCACATTTGAAGAATTGACGAATTGTACTGAGATGAGAACCTGGATAATGGCTAGTCATATGTTAAGAAATTTCACTCTTTTTCTAACAGCGATTTTAACTCTCTTTTTTGCCTTTGCATTCGATTTTCTTCTTTTCCTTCTCCATTCTTCTTAAAACTTATGCACTCATTCTTCATTCCCTCCCTGTATTGTCCAACTGTAATTTTAATCTGTGATTTATGGCCTTTAATTTGTTGTTCTGTGAAGAGTTAATAGGCATGCCAACCTCAGAGAATTTTGATATAAAAGTAATGCACTTCCACTGAAACATGGCTTAAATCTTCTACTGCTACAATGAATTGAAGGTTAAGATTTAGGAAGTTGTCTGGCATTATATTTATTACTTTGTACTATACAAACTTTCCGTATGTGGAGCAGGAAATAGAAAGGCCTGGATTTGTGGCATCTTCGTTTGGATCAATTCCATTAAGCTTGGAATTGTGTATACAATCACCTTTGCTTTAAGCATCAGGTATGCCAAATGTAAGATGCTTTTCTTTTTCCTTTAGAATTTATGCAGCCACTCAATACTGTATTCCTTGATTACAGTGCGATTAGGAAATCAAACTGCTATCATGATGAAGGGCACAAGGCTGAATGTCAGTTATCAAATACTATATATATGATTATATTTGGATCAGTTCAAGTACTATTGTCTCAAATTCCTGATTTCCGAAGTACAAAGTGGCTCTCCATCGCAGCTGCACTCATGTCTTTCATATATTCATCAATTGGATCAGGACTTAGCTTAGCAAAAGTAATAGGTAGGTATCCATTATAATTCAATTATTATCACTTTAAGATATAGGTAGTAGGTAGGACAAGAATTTGTAGTCATATTTCTTCTTGGCTAGTTTTAAAAAGTGTCTTAAGAATCCACTTTCTAAACTGAAATTTGCAGATAATGGAGAAATAAAGGGTGGCATTGGAGGTTGGCCTTCTCCTAATGCTGCTAAAAAAGTATGGCCTGTTGCACAAGCACTTGGAAACATTGCCTTTGCCTTCCCATTCTCTATTATTATTTTAGAGATACAGGTACAACAAATTTATTTACTTTCATGCAACAACAATTCTCTTTAATTAGACTAACAAACAGACAATGTGCGTGGCAAACTGTGAAGGATACATTGAAGGAACCTACAGAGAAGGCCACCATGAAGAAGGCCTCAACAATGGCAGTCTGGACTTCCACATTTTTCTACCTATGCTGTGGAGGATTAGGTTACGCAGCCTTTGGCACTGAAACTCCTGGGAACCTCTTGGCAGGGTTTGGTTTTTACGAGCCATATTGGCTTCTCGACTTTGCTAATGCATGCATTGCTGTTCAACTTTGTGGAGGATATCAGGTGCAAAATTCTGCTACTTGATTGACTCTCTATATATAGCAATTAACTATATTTACAGGTAGAAATAACATTTGTTGTAGCAGATCTTTTACATTTGATTGGAATGTTCTTTTTCTCGATCAGGTGTTTAGCCAGCCATTTTATGCAATTATAGAGAAATGGCTTCGCAAGAAACTTCCACAGAGTCGGCTTTTTGTTGGGGATTATAATCTGACACTCAATAAGCATTTACTAGCTTTCAGATTGAGCTTCCTGAGGGTGATCTTTCGAACTAGCTATGTTGCCGTGATCACTGGGATTGCCATACTGTTCCCTTACTTTAACCAGGTTGTGGGATTTGCGGGAGCAATCACCTTCTGGCCTATAGTTGTGTACTTCCCAGTGGAGATGTATCTAAAGCAGAAAAAGATTGAATCTTGGACAACCAAGAAGATTGTTCTTCGTACATATACCTATGTATGCTTGATGGTTATCCTATTTGCCTTTGTTGGTTCCATCAGAGCTTTGATTATTGCCAGGTTCAGCTAGGACACTATTTGGGCATTTCAACTCTTCTTAATACTTGTTACTTGTAGTTAGACAAGATAGTAGAGATTTTGAAGTTTAATTTGTATTACTCTGCGGATTATCTTTACAAATGGATCTGAACTCTTCTACTTTATGTTTTTTTTGCTGGTTGTGTAAGTGATCTTACAATTTTCTCCTCAACCATATCTTATCTTTACACTATCAACCTGTGTTTCCTTGTCTTAAATCATTCCTAACTCATCTTTTGCCATCCTTAACTCATCCTTCCTTTTTGTGTGTGTGCTTGCTGGGTTAAAGGGGATTTTCTTCTTCAAGAAGTCAGAATCTTGATTTTTTTTATTTTTTTATTTTCGTTGGTAGTCCTTGTGCTTTTTATTTAGGTGACTCTGTGATGTGGAACTTTCTTCGATGCAATGGTAGGGTAGTTGTAACATGGACTGTTTTTGGTTAGGTAATTAAAGCCTGCAATCAACTAACTTTAGCCAAGTCAGTCAGTAATGGGTGCTCTTGAAGTCATTGCATACACTTGCAAAATTGGTGCTTCTACATTAACTGGGATGTGTAATGGGGCCAGTAGAGACCAATAAGAAGGCTTCTATAGGTATTTGTGTGCATGACTGATCAATTTCAAGCAAGTGGTATGCTAACGGGGCATGGGGGTTGAGGAGGAGGAAGAAGAAGACTAGGTGGGTGATACTAAGTACTAGTTAGATGTGTCCTTATTTTCAGCAAACATGCTCTTTTCCTCCTCCACCACCATCACCACAGGTTCCACAAGCTGAAACTATGAAGAGAACTGGTAAGTTTCATTTTTCTTGAATTTCATTCAGTTATGGCTCACTAGGAAGGAATAGTCTTTTTCTTGGGCCAAACTGGGTACCCTTCAACTGATCAGTTTTCCCCAGCAGTCCACTTGCGAGTTTAATGCTGATAACTCAGCTAAGTAAGTTAAAGAGCCAGATTCATACGAGTTTTGGATTCTTTTTAAACGTCGAACAATATTATTGATAAATTTGGTTCGTATTCAGCTTTGCAAATAGGTTAACTCATATCAAAGAGAACCACAAATTTCAAAAGGATGGCAAAGAGGGACATAGGGTGGAGGACCCTGCAATGGGACTTAAACTCTTTATTTCTGAAATCCAAGACCAACATGGTTTGAAGTAAGGTTTCCTCAATTTGGCAGCTGTTTCTTTATACAAATCTTTTATTTCTCCACGGTTGCTTTATGCTCATACTCGATCTCTTTGCTCGACTTTTAGATATGTATGTGTATGGCATGCCTTAGCTGGGTACTGGGGTGGTGTCAAACCTGGGATTGCTGGCATGGAACACTATGAATCCTAGTTAGCCTATCCTGTTTCTTCTCCCGGTGTCCAGTCACAGGAGCCCAATGGTTCTCTGGATTGCATGACAAAGAATGGGCTCGGTCTAGTGAACCCTGAGAAGGTTTATACCTTCTATAATGAACTGCATTCCTACCTTGCTTCAGCAGGTATCTATGGACTTAAAGTAGATGTGCAGAACATTCTTGAGACCGTTGGGGCAGGGCACGGGGGTAGAGTTAAACTTGCGAGAAGATATCATCAAGCACTGGAGGCTTCTATCTCCAGAAACTTTCCCGATAATGGAATTATATCTTGCATGAGTCACAACACCGATAGCCTCTACAGGTATAAATTTAGGATAACGAGCACGTGGTTTCAGGTTCGGTACCTAATCAAATACTTTCCTAGGACTGTGGTTTGATTGTTTTACATTGCCATCATTGTCTAGTGCAAAGCGGATAGCTGTGATTAGAGCATCTGATGATTTTTGGCCTAGATATCCTGCATCCCACACCATTCACATTGCATCAGCTGCATACAATACCGTATTCTTGGGAGAGTTCAAGCAGCCAGATTGGGATATGTTTCAGGTGAGTCAGCAACTTTATTCCATTGTCAACTTATTACCATAACTTGAACCTGAAGTCGATTAGCGAAACATTAATCGTCTCTGCAACATACTGCAGAGTTTGCACCCAATGGCTGAATACCACGCTGCAGCACGAGCAGTGGGTGGCTGTGCTATATATGTCAGGTAATGATTCAGTTTTAATTATTCTTGAAATTAACTCATCATATATATTACCTTTACTCATTTCTTCAAAAAGAAAAGAAAAAAATATTACCTTTACTCATTGATTAATGCCTGAGCTGTTGGGATGTGCAGCGACAAGCCTGGACACAGCAACTTTGATGTGTTGAGGAAACTTGTACTTCCTGATGGCTCAGTATTGCAGGCCAAACTTCCAGGACGGCCAACTAGAGATTGCTTGTTTTCTGATCCTGCAAGAGATGGAAAAAGGTAAAATTATATAGGCAAAGCTCAATAATGGTCTGTCTTCATGAAATCCTTCTTCTCTGTTGTTCTTTAGTTACTCTGTTTCTGTTCTTGCAGTGTTCTAAAGATTTGGAATCTAAACCATGTTAATGGAGTTGTTGGCGCGTTTAACTGCCAAGGTGCCGGGTGGTGCAGAGTTGAGAAAACAAACCATCCATGACGAACAACCTGGAACAGTTACTGGAACAATTCGAGCTAAGGATGTTGAATACTTACCAAGAATCGCTCATGGTGATTGGAATGGCGACGTGGTTATCTATTCTTATTGCCAAGGTATGTTTCTCTGCAACATTTTCTTCAAGAAACAAAGCTGCAAGCCCGCAAGGCTGCAACTTTTGAAAATGTCCAGTTGTGCTTACCTGATTGATTGATGAAACTGTGGTTATGTGCAGCAAACATGGTCTATCTTCCTAAAAACTGCATCCTGCCGGTTACATTGAAGGCAAAAGAATACGAGGTTTTCACGGTTGTTCCTATCAAGAAAATGTCATCGGGATCTGCATTTGCTCCTAAAGGCCTTGTGAAGATGTTGAATTCAGGAGGAGCCATCACAGAAGTAAAGTATGAAGCAGAAGGAGCAGGAACAGTGTGCATGAAAGTTCGAGGCTGTGGCGCATTCGGAGCATATTCATCTGTCAGACCAAAAAGAATTGCAGTTGACAGCACAGAAGTGGAATTCCAATACGAGGATGCATCTGGTTTCATTACATTTGAACTGGGAATCCCAGAAAAAGAGCTGTATCTGTGGGATGTTGTAGTTCATCTGTAAATGTATTCAGTTGGGTGGCTCATTGCAACCTAGACAGTTGCTATCATGTGTCAACCTTAAACCTTTGTAAGGAAAACTCATGTTAAAATACTAAAATAATAATTACCACCTCTCCGGCAGCCTAATCATCTAAGCATGAAAGAGGAACAGACCTGGTTAAGAAGCTCACATTGATAAAACAAGAGAAAATATGTGATTATAAGGTTTAGACTAGGTAATTGATTGGATTCAATCTTTTAGTGTAGATTGATCTATGTGCATTATAATCCAATTAAGTGACCGACCGACCCTAGTCTAATCTTAGTTTATAAGAGACCCCTTTCTCACAATTAATACTTTGGACAAGCCAAATGCTCTTTTGAGCAATAACAAGCTAAATTCAGATTTGATGTGTCTTTCCCGGTCAGTATTTCCAGTCTCTGGGCAAGTCGGATCTCTATTGGGTTTTTGTATTATCTCCTCTTCAATCCTCTTTAATTACTGGTTATTTCTTGTCTGCATATGCCAACAGGTGCATTAGGGTTTTTGCTAGTTGATCTAACAATTTTCTCCTCGACCATATCTTATCTTTACATTATCAACCTGTGTTTGCTTGTCTTACACCATTCCTAACTCATCTTTTGCCCTCCTTAATTCCTCTTCATAATCATCATCTTTATTTATATTTTGCTGGGTTAAAGGGAGTATTTTTTTCAAGCAAGTCAGGATCTTGATTCTGGAGAAGATGTGAGCTTACTGTTCAACCTTCTTCATCTTCCTTTTTTGACTTTGAACACAAGACTCTGATGTCAGTTTGTCTTCAATGGCCAGGGCAAAGAGAAAATTTTGGGTGGTTAAACAATGACCAGTCAACAAAAGACAAAAGGGTGTTAGTTAAGTCATTGCAATGTGTGGACAATTGCTTCAATCCAAAGTATGTGATGTGTAATGGACCAATTAGCAAGCAGCAATAATGACTTCAACTGTACTTGTATTCATGGACTTATCTGCATCATGGGCTACCTTTTGGTAAGCTAACAGGGCATGGGAGTTGATGAGGAAGAAGAAGAAGACTATGTGGGTGATGCTAAGTAGTAGTCAGATGTGTCCTTGTGTTCAGCAGCCATGCTCTGCTCCTCCTTCAGCACCATCACCACAATCTGGAACTATGAAGAAAACTGGTAAGTTTTGTTTTTCTTGAATTTCATTGGGTTATGGCTCAGAAGAAAGAGCCTTTTTTCTTGAGTCTAAGTGGGTGTCGTAAAGAACTGATCTTTTCTCCCCAGCAACCCACTAGCCAATGTTTTGACAGTGACTAACACTTGCAAAATAATTGAGCTCACAGACCCAAGAATCTTTGCTTTCTTTATAGCTTTCTTATCTTTTCCTTTTAGTGGTGTCTTATCTCAGTTTTGAGTGACTACCACTTCTGTGTGGTTGAGCCAAATCATATTATCCGAGCCATCTCGCTAGACAATCTCATTTAACACGATAAGCCAGTTGAGCTCAACCCGGGCAACGTTAGAGAAGGGTCATACCCACAAGGCTTATCATCATTTTTTGAAAGAAATCTCATGCCCATTTCTGTGATGATGCCTGTGTTGAATTATCATATTAATATGTGTAGTATAAGTTGTTTTCAGTTACTTGCAATTTTCTTATAATGTAGGCCTATGCATGATTATTACAAAATGTATTTTGTCAAATGGTCCATATTAGAAAGTCTTAAAGTGTTGAAATGGACCACAATGTTTTGTCACATTTTCATACTAGAATAATGGACTGCTGCAGATATACTGTTGATGTGTTGAGTCCTCCTTTCATTTTTTTAGGAGAAGTTTAATTCTGGGAAATAATATGGCTTCTTCTCACCATGAAAAATCAGGAAATGAGTGGACTGCCTTGGCACATATTATCACAGCAGTGATAGGGTCAGGAGTTCTGTCATTAGCATGGAGTATAGCTCAACTAGGGTGGATTGCTGGCCCAATAACTATGCTGTGTTTTGCTTCTGTGACCCTTACCAGTGCATTTCTTCTCTGCAACTGTTATGAACTCACCGATCCACACGGGAGGATCACCAACAGGCATGGCTCTTACCTCGATGCTGTCCAGTCAATTTTAGGTAAGAAATGAAACTATGGGCAGTTCTGTTCTGTTCAAGTTATTACTCCATACTATATAAGCTTTAATTTCCCTATGCCGGGCAGGAAATAGAAACGCGTGGTTTTGTGGCATCATTGTTCGGATAAATTTCATCAAGCTTGGAATTGTGTACACAATCACCTCTGCTATTAGCATCAGGTAGGTATGTCAAAAGTAATATATATATATATATATATATATATATATATATATATATATATATATATATATATATATATATATATATATATATATATATATATATATATATGCTTTTCCTTTACAACACTTATGAGGCCACTGGATACTGAAATCCTAGCTCGATTGCAGAGCAATTCAGAAATCAAACTGCTATCATGATGATGGACACGAGGCTGAGTGTCAGTACTCGAATACTAAATATATGATCATATTTGGATCAGTTCAAGCTATAGTGTCTCAAATTCCTGATTTCCGAAATACAGAATGGCTATCCATAGTAGCTGCACTCATGTCTTTTGCATATTCATTTATTGGATCAGGACTTAGCTTAGCAAAAGTAATAGGTAGGTTAAATATCTATCTTCTTAATTGACTAGCTAGTTTTAAAAAGTGCAGAAAATGCCATCTGATTAAGAGTATCTGCAGATAATGGTGAAATAAAGGGTGGCATTGGAGGTTGGCCTTCTCCTAATGCTGGTAAAAAGATATGGTCTATTGCAGAGGCACTCGGAAACATTGCATTCGCCTTCCCATTCTCGGTTATTTTTTTAGAGATACAGGTGCAACAGTTTTGGTTTTGTGCTCGAAAAAAATTCCCTTTGGTCATATGTGACAAACTGTTTAATTAATATTTAATATATAAACTGCAAAACTGCAAAATATGAAGGATACATTGAAGGAACCTACAGAGAAGGTCACCATGAAGAAGGCTTCAATAATGGCAGTCTGCACTACGACGTTTTTCTACCTATGCTGTGGAGGATTGGGTTATGCAGCCTTTGGCACTAAAACTCCCGGGAACCTCTTGACAGGATTTGGTTTTTATGATCCATATTGGCTCGTCGACTTTGCTAATGCATGCGTTGCTGTACACCTTGTTGGAGGATATCAGGTACTAAATTCTGTTACCTGGTACATACTATATTAAGCATTTTTTTAACGTTTGGTTGGAATGTTCTTTTTCTCAGGTGTTCAGCCAGCCATTGTATGCAATTACAGAGAAATGGCTTCGCAAGAAACTTCCACAGAACCAGTTTTTTCATGTGGATTATAATCTGAAACTCAATAAGCATTTACCAGCTTTGAGATTGAGCTTCCTGAGAGTGATCTTTCGAACTAGCTATGTTGCTGTGATCACTGGGATTGCCATATTGTTCCCTTACTTTAACCAGGTTGTGGGAGTTGCAGGAGCAATCAACTTCTGGCCTATAGTTGTGTACTTCCCTGTGGAGATGTATCTAAAGCAGAAAAAGATTGAATCTTGGACAACCAAGAAGATTGTTCTTCGTACATATACCTACGTATGCTTGCTTGTTATCCTATTTGCCTTTGTTGGTTCCATCAGAGCTTTGATTATTGCTAGGTTCACCTAAATTCTACGTGTTAGCTAGACATGACAGCATTTAATTTTTAACATTACTAGATTGTATTAATAACAAACAATCACAAGCTAAGGATGGATTTTCATTAACAAATTAAAATTTCAGTTATCGTGAAATGCATACTTTAATAGGGTTTTCATTCAATTGTATAAAAAAATGTACCATGTAAACCTTATGCTTAACTTTATGCATAATGGAATGAGAATGATTGTAATTTTATTGTGTAATTCATGATATCTTTTCGATTACGAAACTAATCTAAGTTCAAATTGAGTGATGTTTGTAAAATATGACTCGTTCTTATTTGTAAAAAATCTGATAATATTGCATATACATATAAGGTTGGATCTTTGGATATGTGGGCTGTGGTTTTGACAAAATTAAGGTTGGTGGCAGCGAGCTGTGAAGAGAGTGTTGTGAGAGGGAGAAAGATGAAGCCAACATGAAAGCTTTGTAACGCAGAATGAAAAAGGAATTGTTTATGCTAAAGTCAACCTAACATGGTTTTAATCGAGAGGAATGGAACGATGATTGCTCCATAGCTCTAACGAAGAGAGACTCCAATTGCGATATCCTCTAATCGCAATTTTTCCCAAAATCAAAATCACCAAAATTAACGAACTTAAGAAACATTAGTGTTATAGAATTTTTGCCTAGGCCCCGATTAATCGGACCCCTAGGCACTAGCCGGCCGCCTAGCGTATCACCATAATCGGTGGTCTAGGTGACTGGTCGCCTAGGTGCCAACTTGACCTCCTAAACATCAACTAGGCCGCTTAGTCGGTCAAAAATAAGTCCCGTCAATTTTGTAATCTTAGTTAGAAATGCTCTGTAAAAAGCGATCCTCTCTGATCTCTGAGTGCGCTTAGAGGCGTTTCTCCCTAGAGTTCTTCGTTTCCGATCTTGTTTTCTTTCTGTTGTTGATGTTTATTTTCCGTTTGGCCTTTGATCGTTGTCTGTTTACGATCATTTGTTCACCATGGATGTTAGAGTGTTGGAGGAAGGTTGCGACGGTTTAATTCTGGCAGAGGAGGACGTAGGGGGGCTGGAGGCGCCGGTGCATGATATCGCCGAGGGCAGTGTTACGCATTGCGATTAGTAGGTTGTTTCCTAACCGACCGACTAATCAAATTTGAGCACATGCAGCAAGTCATGGCTTCAATGTAGAGGCCGATGATGGGTATGCGTGTTATTCTTCTCAAAGACAATTTGTTCGTCTTCCAATTCCCGCCGCCGCCACTGGAAGGGGTGCTTAAATGCAACGTTGATGCGGCTGTTTCTGAGAGGGGCATTTATTATGGTGCAGTGATTCGTGATCATCTTGGAAGGTTTGTGGCGGCTCGCAGTGGCAACCTTCGTTGCAATTGGGATCCCTACTGCGCGGAGGTGTTGGCCGTCAGATAAGCCTTATCGTGGATCAAGACTTAGCCGGCAACATATTACATTGTAGAGTCAGATTGTTTAAATTTCTATAATAATTTTAATTCTACTAGCCAAGATTTATCTTATGTTAGTTTAGTTATTCAGCAATGTCGTTTGGTTCACCATATCAAAAGGCCAACGAATCATGTGACACATGTACTCACACAGACTGCTGGCAGTTTAAGGACATGCATAAGGTGAATAACTAATTTTGTCCTTTTCCTTAAAAAAAAATAAATTATTTTGTCCTACATGTAACTTGTTTTAATTTTTATGAAAAATCGTTATTAATGACATATAAATACAATTCTAGGGAAGGGATCAGGTGCGGCATCTTGTTGGGATCGGTTTCATTAAGCTTGGAATTGTGTATACAATCACCTTTGCTTTAAGCATCCGGTATGCCAAATGCAAAGATGCTTTTCTTTTTTCTTTATAATTTATGCATGCAGTCGCTCAATACTGTATTTCTTGATTACAGGGCAATTAGAAAATCAAATTGCTATCACAATGATGGGCACGGCTGGATGTGAGTACTCAACTACCAAATATATGCTTATATTTGGTTCAGTTCAAGTACTATATATTATCCCAAATTCCTAATTTTCCAAGCACAAAATGGCTCTCCATCATAGCTGCACTCATGTCTATGATATATTCATCAATTGGAGCCGGGCTTAGCATAGCAAAAGTAATGCATATTCATCAATTGGAGCCGGAGAGTCTGCATATCCACATTTTTCTACCTCTGTTGTGGAGGATTGGGATATGCAGCCTTTGGCACTGACGAAACTCCGGGGAACCTCTTGGCAGGCTTTGGTTTTTATGAGCCATATTGGCTTATAGACTTTGCTAATGCATGCATTGCTGTTCAGCTTTGCGGAGGATATCAGGTGCATATACTAATTAACTATATTTATAGGTAGAAATAACATTTGTTGTAGCAGATCGATTTTTTACATTTGTTTGGAATGTTCTTCTTAGGTGCTCACCCAGCCATTGTATGCAATTTCGGAGAAATGGCTTCGCAACAACGAATATTATATAGTACAATTGATGAAATGAGTTGTATCGATTATGCTTTTTTATGTTATTCTTATTTGAATTCGAGCAAATAATTGTCCAATTATCCGTGCAGCGTGCGTACAGCGGGCGTGCGTGCACGACATTTACCAGCTTTGAGATTAAGCTTCTTGAGGGTGATCTTTCGAACAACCTATGTTGTTGTGATCACTGGGATTGCCCTAGCGTTCCCTTACTTCAACCAGGTTGTGGGAGTTTCAGGAGCCATTAATTTCTGGCCTATAGTTGTGTACTTCCCTGTGCAGATGTACCTAAAGCAAAAAAGGATTGAAACTTAGACAGTCAAGAAGATTATTCTTCGTACATATTCCTATGTATGCTTGGTTGTTATTCTATTTGCTTTTGTAGGTTCCATCAAAGCTCTTATTGCTGCCAGGTTCAACCACCCTTGATGACCGAGACAAGTCCCAGAAACGTCCTTTAGATAAATTTCAATTATTTACGAACTTTCAGATGTAATAATTTCTTCAATCTAATAAAAGCAAAATTCATTCTTAATTTCTCTGCTACTCCCTCCATCTTTTTCTCTCTTCTCCCTTACTTTCTGTTACCCTTTTAGTGGTGTCTTATCTCAGTTTATGAGGCTGGAAACATGTTAGGGATAGGGGCGTTTGGTTCACGAAATATTTGATTATCATTTACCAATGAGGCAATACTTCATGCTAGATAAACTCATAACAAAATACACATAATTTAACATAATACATAATACACATAAACTCTTAACAGAATACACACAAACTCTTAACACAATACACAAACTTTAAACAGAATTTGACTCATTCCGTTGGTACAATTTCTTCTTTAAGAATTATATTGTTTTTTACACCTTGAGTAATGAGTAATTTATCTTTCGTTGCTATTGTATTTCGCCTATATGCTTCAATGCCTAATCTCTCCATATTCCTAAAAAAGAATTAAATCATTTTAGAAACACCAAAAAATGTGCATTACATAATAAAGCAAGTGCCTAACCGTCCATAACCGCAACAACGAATATTATATAGTGCAATTGATGAAATGAGTTGTATCGGTTATGTTTTTTTTATGTTATCCTTGTTTGAATTTGAGCAAATAATTGCTCAATTATCCGTGCAGTGTACGTGCGATGCACGGATAATTTTTTTTGTTATATATTTAGATAATAAAATTACGGTATTAGTTTTAAAGATTTTAATTTTGATAGGACCTTATTTATTTATCCAAACAGGGCCACAAAAATCTAAAATCCGACCTAAAAGAAATGCACGCAGTTCAAGATTTGTTACCTAAAATTGAGTGGACAGCTTCAAGGTAAGAGCCATGCCTGGTGGTGATCATCCCGTGTTGATCGGTGACCTCATAACAGTTGCAGAGAAGAAATGCACTGGTAAGGGTCATAGAAGCAAAACACAACAGAGTGATTGGGCCAGTTGTGCTACACTCCATGCTAACGATAATACTCCCCATCCTATCACCGCTATGATAATATGGGCAAGAGCAGTCCATGCATTTCCTGAATTTTTCATGGGGATAAAATATTAGCTCTTAGCTAGGTTTACGTGTGAACCACAAAAAGATATATAATAATGAAACTTACCACTTTTCGTCATAGTTTCAGCTTGTACGTGATCAATTGAAGCTAGCTAGCTGTTATGCACTGCGAGTCTGCGATCAAAAGATGAAAAGAGGGAAGGGGTAGGTTGAGGGAGAGTAAAGGAGCAATATATAGCAACATATATATATATATATATATATATATATATATATATATACTGTGGACGTCAACTTATAACTGCCCATAACAAGAGAAGTACATATATACTGTGGCAATAACACCTCCACTGAGGATCGAGTTCACAACCTTCTAAATGAAAGTTCAACTCGGATACCATTAGACCACATAATCTTGGTAGAGAGTAGGTAATTTGATTTGCCAAATCTCACAAAGAGCACATACTACAGCATAGACAAATTAAATATTTTAACTTATAGAGAAGATTAGGAATTTAGGATGACACGCACAACTTAGTTTAATTACCTTGGCAATTTGTTGAATTGTTGTCCCCTCTCTTCTGTTTGTCAATTGCCGAGTCTACCGTCTCTATGTTTCACATTTGTTGCTACGCCAGACACCAGTAGGTCGCTAGGTTAGGCCGTTAGGGTAATAAATTAATAATGATTGATGGATATATATATACTATATAACTAATTTTTTTAAAAAATATTTGGGGCCCCCAGCGCCAGCCCTAGGAAGACTTGCCCAGGGTCGGCTCGGATGAAAACAACCGGTGAAGTATAATTGTTGAGTTGGTAACTTTTTTTTTTAAAGGAAACATGAATATATTAAACCAACGCCAAAATACAATCAGGAGGTGAGTAATCCACATTCCAAGGACAGAAGAAGAATCAACAACCTGTGCGAGCACATGGAGCCATCATATCTCTGTTCCTCTCGATCAAAACCATGTTAGGTTGACTTTAGCATAAACAATTCCTTTTTTATTATGCGTTACAAAGCTTTCTTGTTGGTTTAATATTGTATTTTTGCTAAATTGATTGTTTTAGGTAAGAGAGAATAAAAACAACAATGAGATGTTTATAGGTGGTACATTCTTACAAGAAATAGAATTTGGTGGTAATTTTATTTCCTTATTTGACAAATCGTTGCATGTCATGATCCAAGCTTTTTTTTTTTTTAGAACAAGAGAGAGATCAACATTAAGTAAGATCCAAGCTCAAAGCGCGAGCAATGGAAAAAAAAAAGAAGACAAGGAACAATCCAACATTACTAGATAACAAACAATTGCAAGGATGTATTTTCATTAACAATTTAAATTAAAATTTCAGTTATTGTGTGAAATGCATACTTTAATAGGGTTTTCATTGAACTGGGTTTTGACAAAATTAAGGTTGGTAGCAGCTGTGAAGAGAGTGTTGTGAGAGGGAGAAAGATGAAGGCAACCTGACAGTCTTGCAGGAAAGCTAGCTTTGTATTTTGTAACGCAGAATGAAAAAGGAATTTTTTATGCTAAAGTCAACCTAACATGGTTTTAATTGAGAGGAACGATGATGATGAGTCATTTGCATGACAACCTTGCCGTACGTACGTGCAAGAAACCTTAACTGTCGAAACACAGATCAGATCTGTCATCTGTGTGACCATACTGGTAAGTCACCCAATTTCCTGCAGTCAACCTATACACACACAAAGACTTACACACAGGAGAGAGAGAGAGAAAGAGAGAGAGAGAGTTGACCGGGTGTCTTGTGAGTGAGCTACCGGCCCAAGTTTCACACGCTCAATAGAGTTGAATTCTGTAATGAATTCATGCAGGTTTGATGCATCATGGTAACCCCCCCCCCCCCACCCACCCACCCCAACTATTCATCTATTTATATATATATATATTTACAACTTGCACTGTACCACCAATTCAAGTACCAAGAAAACACACCAACAGAAAAACACTTTCCTTAACTACTCTTTTTTTTTCTGTTATTTTTTTTTTTTGGTTCCTCCATACTGCAAATGATATTTCTAATTCCTACAATATTAATCCATCCCCACCAAACATCCTCAAATTTCTAGATCCATCAAGAAATTTAAGCGTGCTACATAATAATGGGGAGAATTCCTTGCTGCGAGAAGGAGAATGTGAAGAGAGGACAGTGGACTCCTGAAGAAGATCACAAGCTTTCTTCTTACATTGCTCAACATGGAACACGTAACTGGCGCCTCATTCCCAAACACGCTGGTCTCATCTTCTTCCTTAATTTTCTCGATCACTGCATCTATCAGGTTTAATTTTTCGGAAAGAATAAGGTTTTATTAAATTGTGTCCATGCCTTCCAGGTTTACAGAGATGCGGCAAGAGCTGCAGGCTAAGGTGGACAAACTACCTCCGACCAGACCTTAAACATGGCCAATTCTCTGAGGCTGAAGAGCAGACTATCGTCACCCTCCATTCTGTTCTTGGAAATCGGTAATCAATTCGTTTAATTTATAAAGTTGGAAACTTTCCATGTTGAAATATGTTTTTTATTGGTTGAATGGAAAGTTGAATTTGCGGCGGGCCGGGCATGTTTGTTTAATTTGTTGCAGATGGTCTGTGATTGCGGCGCAGCTGCCGGGAAGAACGGACAATGACGTGAAGAATCATTGGAACACGAAGCTGAAGAAGAAGCTGTCGGGGATGGGAATAGACCCGGTGACTCACAAGCCGTTTTCTCACCTGATATCTGAGATCGCCACCACGCTAGCGCCGCCGCAAGTGCCGCACTTAGCGGAGGCGGCGCTGGGGTGTTTCAAGGACGAGATGCTGCACCTCCTCACCAAGAAGCGCATTGGCTTCCAGCTTCATCCGGTGGGCCCCGCCGCGCCGGTCAAACACGAGGACAAAGACGAGACCATTGAGAAGATCAAGTACGGGCTGTCCCGGGCGATTAAGGAGCCGCCGGTTGATCAAATGCTCCCCGCCGCCGGAAATATTAACAAACCTTGGGATAATCACGCCGGAGCCACGTCATCCAACCTCGGGGAAACCAGCAGCGGTTTTCCCACGTCCGATCATCATCATGATCACGATCACCATCACCATCACCACCATCATCACGGCGGCTTTCAGTACAGCCTTCCGTGTCTGATGCACGAAGGCGAGGACGGGTCACCGTGGAACCAGAGCATGTGCACCGGAAGCACGTGCACGCCGGGGGAGCAACAGGGGCGGCTGCATGACAAAGCGGTGGAGGATGAAAACGGGGAGTGTTCCGAGGGCGGAAAACGCACAACCACCACTGACGCGCCGCCGCCCAGCATTTTCAACTCCGACTGTGTCTTGTGGGATATTTCGTCTGAAGATCTCATCAACCCTATGGTTTAAACCCTAACTCTCAAGTTACATCATATCATATCAATGAATTGAAACCTCCATTAACGCAAGCCCAGAAGCTACACCGGCATCAATAACATATATATCGCCGCTGCAAGCTAAGGCGTGATTCTATTCTTGTAGCAATTTATTTGCATTCTTCAGAATATCTCATATTTTTCAAATGTTCACTCAATAAATAAAATTCATAAGAATTTCTACAATACTTCATCCCATTTTTGAGTGGTGACATAAAAAAAAACATTATTAAATCTCATATCTAATTATAAATAATCATAGTAAAATCAATATAGTAATGTATTTAATACTTGACATTCCAAAGTGTGAATAAAGCTAGAATTTTTAGGCAGGGGCAACCCATCAAAAGTGGATCGATTAGATTAATAGCCTGGTAACTTTATTTGAGTTGATCAACTATGAACAACTTATGCATAGTTTACCTTAATCTTAGACGAACATCTTTATCTAAAAAAAAAAAAGCAAAAATTTTTATTTTAAAAATATTAATTTGTCTAATATATAAAACCATTTACTAACATGATTTTATGTATAGGAATTGAAGTATACTGTAATTTTTTTTGACAAAGACTAATTTGAATCCAGTTTGAATAAATAAAAGAATTATGAAATTTGAATATTTTAATGATAAGGTGATGTTATGAGCCAGTGACCGGTAATGTTGCAAGTTGCAGTGTACTAGAATCCATTTGTCTGAGGAGCGACAGTTGGAAAGATGAAGAGCAGCATGCATCCCGCGAAAGTGGGAAACATCTCCTTAAACTTGTCTTTTTATCCCAGAATTTTTTTTTACCGCGCGCTCCATGTATTTACCCAGTTGAATTCTCCACCTACCTCCGACGCCGCCTTCAATTCAATTCGCTGGTAACTACTAGAGTAGTAAGTAGTAATAGCACACAACTGTACTCTACAGTGGTAGTAATTGTCTTCGTAGTTCGTACCCTCGAACAATTGGGCTCCATAAATACCATCCAGATTCTTCAGACATCACAGAGAGAGAGAGACCAGGGTTGCGGCGGCGGTGAAGGTGGCAATCGGGATATCCGCCGTTGGAGATATGTCTTCCGTCGGGCTTATGGCGTACTTGCGCTCTCAGTCTGGGTCTCATTCTCATCACATCGGCGGCCTGGGCTCCTCCGCCTCTTCCGCCCTAGTCGAGCAAGAACAGTATGGCTCTTTAATTTTCTTTGCTTCTGTCTTTCTTTCTCCCTTCTTAGCTGCCAACATGAATGGATATGTAGATACAAGCATATACAAGCACACACAGATTGTCTGGAACTCAAGTATAAAAAAAAGTTTGGGTCTTTTTGGTTTCCGTTTTGTATCTCTTTGATGAAGTTCAGGTTTTAGCTATTTTGTCATCGCTTGCTGGTTTGGGTATTTCGATTCCGATCCAAGATCTGGTTTTACCTCTTACTTAGTTCCAAGTAGCTTCTGCTTGGTTAATTGCTATGATTTATTTGTTTTGGTGTTTTGTTCCCATTGAGATGATTTGAATGACTGCTATTTTTGCTTCTCTATTCAGTGATTGGAGAAAAGAATTACTGTAATTTTCAGACTACTTCAATAGTGTTAATTGTGTTCTTGATGATGATCTCGCCTAAAGTTTCTGTTTTTGAGGTCTACAAGTAGTCACTAATCTTTTTATTCATTAATGTGCACATAAATCTTAGATGTTAGAATCAATATACATCCATAGAATGTTGTTACTGGAACAGATTGTTTCAAATTCAAATCTTTAGAAGTATCCATTTGTCTTTGTGATATGAAAGGAAGGCTCTTCTTTCTTGAAGCATAACGAGGTTTATATGGTGTGCAGCCACTGATTTGTCTCTATGTGTGTTGATAGGTATCTCGCTGAGTTGCTTGAGGAGCGCAGCAAACTTAAACCATTTATGCCTGTGCTTCCTCATTGCTATCGGTTGCTGAACCAGGGTGAGTTGTAATTTTTAAAACTATTTCATGTATATTAAATGGATCGCTATTTTAATAGGAAGCACAAGCATTTTCTAATATGATCTTTTTGAAATTCTTTTCGTTTTGGCCTAGTTTTGTTTCTGTCTGCCCCTCATTCTTCGTTGATGTTAGAAATTTTCAATTGGAGCTTCATCTGACTTAGCAGATTGTTGATACCATTAGTTTGTTCTAACGAGAATAGCATTTAACTTGCCATAATTTCTTTTCTGTTCAGGGTGCATTCTTTTGAAAGAATTAGCGTGTCGTGTGGATCCTTGATATATAACTAACTAGTAGTAACTAATAAACCATCTTTGTTGTCTGTTCATAGTGTCGTGGCTGCTAACTGATTGTTAACTGTTAAGTAATGCTAACTGGTACATCTTATTCTTGAAAATTGACCTTTTTGAAGCAGAAATATTGCGTGTAACTACACTCTTGGGGAATGCGTCAGTTTTAGATCAAAGTGGGCTTGAATATGCTAACCCCCTGGCTTCAGGAGGAATATTTTCAAATGGAGGAGCTAATGTGGACAGATGGGCATCAGTGTCACCATTTCGATCAGAAGTATGGATAGTAACCAAAACATAACCTCGTTAATCTAATTTATATGTTTTCAAAGGTTTTCTGACACAGTTTTTTTCTACTCTAAATGCTGACTTGATATTTGGTGATTTTAACGTCAAAGTTACTTCTGTCATGACAGGTAGAGTTTGAAGCTGACAAGTAACAATGTCAATACTGATTTATAGATTTAACTAAGTGCATCAATTCATAACTTTTCCTGCAGTTAGTGATCTTACCACTCGTTTAACCCGACCCTTGAGTTGAAATGTAGGGAGATAGAACAATGAAGATTGCCTCTATCGACCCCTAATACCTTCTGTTTAACCATTCCTAGAGTGTGTGTTTTTTTTGTCCCAAAAGATCTTGGGACGTCTCTTATATGGATTCACAACCTCGATTCATGCTAACAATATGTTGAGGAATCTACCGGATGTTCTTATTGCCGTCTTACAGTATTGGCGTTTTGTGTTGCCCCAGAGTTCAGGTCTAACGGAGCCCTTGTCTAGTCAAAACTGGCGCAGTAGTCAAAGTAGCTCGTCTGGCCGTATTGTTAGGCGAACGATGAGAATTGATATTCCCGTGGATCTGTTTCCCAGTGTATGGTTTTGACCCATTGCACCTCGTGTAAACGATGAGGTTTGTTTAGGGTGCACAATAACGAAATTTAGTTTGGCATTTTTTATTGCAGTACAATTTCGTTGGTCGCCTCCTTGGTCCTAGAGGGAACTCTCTTAAGCGAGTTGAAGCAAGTACTGACTGCCGTGTTCTTATTAGAGGACATGGAAGCATCAAAGATCCAACAAAGGTTTGAGCTTGCTGGTTGTTACTTGATGAAAGTGGTTAATAGGAACAATCGATAATAATTTAAGGTTGTTTTTTGTAGGAAGAGATGATGAGAGGTAAACCTGGGTTTGAGCACCTAAACGAGCCCCTTCATTTAATTTTAGAGGCAGAACTGCCATTGGAGATAATTGATGCTCGATTAATGCAAGCACGCGAGATCCTTGAAGATCTTCTCAAGCCTGTGGTAATTCTTAACCTTTTCCGTTTTCAAGAAACAAAAAGGAGCTATTTTGATGCTTATCGTTCTTGCTTTTCTTCCTCCAAATGCAGGATGAGTCTCAAGATTTTTACAAAAAACAGCAGCTAAGAGAATTGGCAATGCTCAATGGTACCCTGCGTGAAGAGGGGTCTCAAATGTCTGGTTCTGTGTCGCCTTTTCACAACAACCTCGGGATGAAGAGGGCCAAAACCCAGGGGTGATCTGGCGGCTGTTGTGGTTGGGCTTCAAAGCTCATACACTCATCTAAGCGACTACTAAGCAGCAGTTTCGAAGCAACAACCATAGTTGCTAAGCCAACTACGCTGCAGTTTCAATGCAACACCCGTTGCTACCCAGCCAATGCCTTCAAGTGCCATCGGGGTATTGGCTACATCTCGTTAACTCTCGTTTCTGTATGATATGTTCTGTTCGCGGAGGTATTTGTGTGAAGACCATAGCAGCAAAATGTGTTACAGATAATGCATATGGTCAATCTTCCCCATGTTTGTCTTTTCTTCATCTTTTACTTTTAAGGTTTGGAGTAGTTCTCATGTTGTGGAGATTCTTGTGAGTATTGATTGAGTTATGGTTTATGTATGGGAGTGAGGAGCAAACCTGCAAATGATCCATCCACCATGAAACTGGCTGTGGGTTGTATTTAACACTGTATAAGTACAGCAATGTTATTTCTTGATTTATAACATCCTCTCCAGTCCAAACAGAGGTTTCTTTATTGGATAACGAGAAAAACCCGCAGTCACTACCCATGACTAAGTATTGGGTAAATCTTGCCTTGTGACTCTAATTGGTAAAGGACCACAGGGAGGTAAACCAGTCTAGATTACCTTGACTGACTCAAACTAAGAAAACCAAAAGACTGCTTCCGACAGAAGTGATTATCAAACCAACAGTCTGACCAACTTGTTTGGAACTGCCCGAATGTACTAATTTATTTCAATGAAAAATGCATGCATGTAGAGGCTGTAATGTCCTTCATTAAACTAAAATAAAACTAGGATGTTTAGGATCTTACATTCCATCTCTGAGGAATCATGGATCTACTCAGAATCTACATGTAAGAAATCAAGAGTTATGATAACCACCATCCTACACTTCTGTCAACTTGTTTATTGTGGATGAAAGAAACCAACATGGAGTGTAGTTGGTGATCATTCTGGAGCTTCAGCTCTAGACCATGGAAAGCCTGGGCTTCAGCTTGCAAGATGAGCAGAAGAAACACTGGAAATCTTCAAATTAGACGTCACCTTCTTCATCTTCATCCTCGATACCTACCCAGCGGGTGAAAGCAAATAGAAACTCTTTGAAGCTCACCGTTCCATTTTTGTCCCAATCCATCTCTTCTGCAAACCAAGAAACATTTTTTTGGAGTTAATAACTGCAAAACACAAGCAATTGGGCGTGCCATGGTAATGTAGAGAGGGAGAAAGTACCAAATCTTTTCATGGCTATCCGCCCAGAAGATCGTTCTCCACAGGCAGTTTCATTTATTGCTTGAACCATCTCGTTCTTGCTTACATAGCCATCCTTGTTCTTGTCCAAGAATACAAACGCATTAACCAATGTATCAAATGTAAAGTCAAGATTTGGCAGGTCCATCCTGGATTGCTATTAGTAGTAAAGGAATAACATTCATATGTAATGAATTGCACAGAAAATTTAAAAGTCTGATAGTGAAACCAAACTAAAACAGGATTTAAGGAGAAAAAATAACACAAATTGCTCCCTGGATACAGCATGCTGAGCCTCAGGACCATCCTTCAAAAGGTAAACGAGGCAAAGAAGAACAATGAATTCCTTGAATTCCATACCCATATCGCGATTAATATCACATGCTTCAAACAGATCGTCTATTTCTTCATCTGTAAAATTTATCTCCAGCTTGTGAAAGCAGTGCTTCAACTCTTTATGATCTATAATTCCATTTCCATCCTCATCTATGGACAAAACCCAGAATTTTCTTATCAGCAATTAGGCTATTTTTGTTTTTCCTTGATTAGAGAATAGAAGATCCAACAAGCACCTCCAGACTAATGTGAAGCAACCACATGCATATGTTTTCATCACATAAAAGAGAAGTTCACAAGACAGTAATTAGGTTCCCCGATTATGCAGAAAGATTCAGCAAGACTATAATCAGCACATTCAACATTAGCTCTATTGTTCAAAATTCCAGGTTATAAAATGAAAGCTAAACGATATGGTGCAATAAGAAGATCTGTACCGAATTCCTGAAATGTGGTTTTGCATTTCCTCATGTTCTCATCAATTTTGGGAAACCTTAAGACTACGGTATTGAAAGACCTAATGGAGCTCCCTTTCTTTGCTCTCTGTCGCATTGCCTCAACTATTTTTGCTTCAAGCTTTGTCTCGGCTTCTAAAGCCGTAGGAGATTCATCCCTACCAATTACACTTCCCATTGCTGATTGGCACTGTTTTCAATTGATCCCCTAGCAAAACTGCAGGAATCAGAAACCTAACTAGATGCAGCAGTCACAAAAAGTAAGCAGAAAGTAAGGAATCTGAAACCAGACACTATTCATATGATCAGTGCAGATATCCTATCCTAGTAAGGAATGAGGAATCATTCCATAACAAATTAAAGGATTCTAAAACCAAAAAACTATTCATATTAATTAATTTCATGCATGGCCACAACATGACAAAAATCAAATATTTTGGGTGGTTAGGTGAACTAAGAAATTTAAAAAATCCAGTTTTTTTTCTGTTGTTCTAGCCAGCTACTCAAAAGTCAAAACCTTCTCTGTAAAAACAAACTAGACAAAAAGGCATCTGGGGATCATTCCCATATTCTTCTTTTTCCCATTTCATCTGCTTTATATTATCAGTAAGAAATTATAAAATGGCAATCTGGGGATCTAGTCTAGTAAGCATACACACAAGAAACTAAAAACAAATCTCGTTCTACAACATGTAGATTACCAAGATCGATCTGCTGATTACTAATCAGGTTAACATAATCCACTGACCTTAGCTTTCGAAAACCAAACACTCAAACAGACAAAGAAACCCAGGTTTCTCCAGATATAAACGTCAGATGTCATGAACCAGTTTTTGGGGCAAAGCTTTAAACTTTTAGGCTAATAACGGTGATTGAACTGAACAATAACTACTGGGTATAAAATACTGGGAAAAAAAAAAAAGTAAATAAATAAAGAGCTTTGCAGGTCTGAAGAGGAAGATAGAGAGAAATGAAGGTGGTGGAGAAAAGAAAAATGATAGGATTTGGGTTGTAGAGGAGGTGGTGATTGTGTCAGCTCCTATATCGGAGCTCAACACCATGATTTGTGCTGCGCCCACCACGTACCCCCGCATCAAAATCTACGGAGCATGATGTGATGCAGCCTCCAACAAATCCATTTTCTTATAATATAACCATAATGTCGTTGCAGTCTAAATCAAGACAAGCTACACTTTTTTTTTTTATAATGTTATTTTACTATAAACAATTCTTTAACCATGCTTGTCAATACATATATGTAGGCTTGATCCCAAGATCACCTTCCGAATCAAAAAGCAAAACAAACCTTAACCATAATATCTTGTCATGCTCCCAAGATTACAACTTTTTAACTTTATATTTAGATTTAGATATGCTTAAAAATACAAAGACCAAATTTGTATCAATCCTCTCTCAACTCCAAGACCATAGAATCGGTGGACTTGATTCTTGAGATGGTGATTAATTCGAGTTAGAGTTAATTTCATTTTTAGTCATAGATTTATAGGTCACAGTTCACTTTTAGTCTTTTTTTTTTTTTTTAAAATATCATCTTTTAGTTCTAGTATTATTGTGACATAATCAATTTTAGTCATTTAGTAACAAAATTGTTAAAAAATTTTTAAATTGAATGACATTTTGATCTTTTTAATACAAAGTGTGTTGACCCTTTTTTTTTCTTTTCTTTTCTTTTCTTTTGTATGTGTATTCTTTGGACAAAAATCATAATTGAAGAGAGAAATGCCCTTCAATTCAACGAATTTTTAACGATTTTGTTGATAGAGAACTAAAATTGGTCATGTTGCAATAATACTAAAACTAAAAGATGATGTTTTGATATTAAAAAAAAAAAATGACTAAAAGTGGACTGCCACCTATAAATCTATGACCAAAAATAGAATTAACTCGAAATTCTATTTTTTGTTCTGGATTTATAGGTGACAGTCCATTTTTAGTTTTTTTTTTTTTTTTTCAAAACACCATCCTTTGGTTCTAGTATTATTGTGGCATGATCATTTTTTATCTTCTATCAACAACACAATTTAAATACCGTTAAAATACAAGGGCATTTCGATCTTCAATTATGATTAAAAAAAGCATATAAAATATAACGGGTCAACATACTTTGTATTAAAAAATCAAAATGTTATTGTATTTAACGAAATTTCAACAATTGTGTCGATAGATGATCAAAATTGGTCATGTCACAAATCACAATAATATTATAACAAAAAAAATTATTTTGATAAAAAGGACTAAAACTAGATTACCACCTACAAATCTAAGACAAAAAATGGAATTAACTTTGAATAACTTAACAAAATTGATTTGATTTAATAACTAGAAGATTATAAGTTTGAACAAATGAATGATGGATAATTTAGGATGATTTAGCATTGTGTTATTTGTTGGTTAGGTTTAAAAAGAAATGATTAATAATTTAAATTTTCAGAATTAAAAATTAAAAATAATTAGAGTATGAAGAATCACACACGTGCAGGGCACGGAATTAAATTTCCCACCGCCAACACGACATGCGGTGACTCTGCCTCAGTATAAAGTTCCCATCTTCATCAAAATTCTTGTTTTCGGCATCCCGCTCCCGCAGAGGTTCGTAAACTGGTGTTAGACTCGAGCACCTAGGGTTCATCCATGGCGTTTGTTTTGTTGTTTGCTTCCTTTTTTTTTTTAATTACTTTCGCGACTTGTTTTGGTGTTTGTAGTGATTTGTTTTGAAATTTCCATAGCTTTGATACGGCAGATCATTTTCAGTGATGAAAAAGCTGGAACCTTTGTTGTCTGCGTCTCTTTTGCTTTGGATTATCTTGATTATCTGTGCTTGCGAATTGCGATGCATGCGTGATAACGCGTATGCCTATCCTTCGTAACTTGTACTGGAAGGGTTTAACTTCGTCTTCCAAATTTTAAGCCTTAAGGATAGGTTTGAGTAATTTAGGAGACTTCTATGTTCTGTTCCGTTCACATTGTTATGGTTTACCTTTACTTTTCTGATTTTGATTTTCACTTAATGCTTGTATAGAGTATGTAGTAGAACTTCATGTTTCAGGCTTTTGCAGTGCTAGGTCATGGGTTATAACATGTACATTGGCAGGAAACGGTGAATGTTGAACCTCAAGCATTGTATTAGCTTCTATTCATGCAGTTGTATGTGTGTTTATATGTATTCTGATTCTAAATGAAGCTGATAGTACTGTAATTGCTAGTTCTGGGATTTCCCTAGAAAGTTGATCATTGTGAAAAACAACTCTTCAGGATTTGATTGGAGTAAGCCAACTACTTGGTAATAAATCATAGCCTCAAAGTGTTCGTTTTGGGGGTTGGCTATTAATTAAGGGGTAGGATGGATTTATGTATGTAGTATGTGTTACATTCACTGAGAGGTTTTCTGACTTTTCTAGTCTCTGCTGGTCAACATGTTGGCATGATCCTTAGTAGGTGCATAAACCTAGCTTGTCCAGGAATTGTGCACTTTTCGTCTTGTATTGACTCATTTTCATTTCTCTTCATTAAAGACTATTCTTGGTGCCTCACTACCTGCTATGGCTACAAAGAGGATTCAGAAGGAACTAAAAGAGTTGGAAAAGGATCCACCTGCTTCTTGCAGTGCTGGTTTGTTTTCTTATCCTCTGTGTTGTCAATTATTTTTAGCACATTATTGTTTATATGCTTCACTGTTTTAATTTGATTATGATATTTTATATTTTCTCCATTGGGATTGTTTATTCAGGGATCATTACTTGCAATGTAGGTTAATACTGTAGTCCGCATGTTTAAAACTAGCTCCTATATCTTGTGTTGGACTATTTTATGGTTTATGATGTTGAAATGTCTTGTATAGATTTGACAAAGTTATAGTTACCAAAATAAATTGTCATTCTTCCATTAGCTTATCGTCCCCTTTAGTTACCATATTCATTTGCTGGAAAGTTTGGGTTTGATGTATTGGTTTGGTGATTTTAAGTCATTTCTTTGATTTTCTAACTGTGAGTGGCTTCTTTCAGGACCTGTTGGCTCAGATATGTTCCATTGGCAAGCCACTATTATGGGCCCAGCTGACAGTCCATTTGCTGGGGGGGTGTTTGTTGTTACTATTCACTTTCCACCGGATTATCCCTTCAAGCCTCCTAAGGTAGTTGGAATATTTTATGAATTATTATCTAAAATTCAGTGCATTCCAATATCCTTGGGAATCACTAGTATATTTCATAACCTTGTTTTCCCGTACTGCATGGAGGGAATAGTGAATTCCATTGAAGGAAGAATCCAAGTATATTTAGTGTTACGGGGCAATCTAAATCCCATAGAATGGATGTAGCAAACACAGGAAAAGAATTAGCACTCAGAATCATTGATTCCCTTTCCTATGTGATAACTGGTTACTAAATTGAGCTTAGTAACTATTACTCTTTAGAAAATTCACCTTCTATGAGATTTCTTTTTTGTTATGATGTGCTTTCCTGGATCAGTTACTTTATGGAATTGTCTTTCTAATATAATGTGCTTTGCCTTTAATATTTTGTTTTGTTGTCTACTTCTCATTCTGTTCTCCTATCCTTTTGTGCACATGATAGCTGTGTTAGGCTCCATGGCTTTTGGCTTTCCACGCTCTTAAGTGAAATAGATTAAAGAGGAGCAATCATGATTGTATGCCTTTGGGCAACTGTATGTTTTTTCGCTGTTCTGGATTCGAGTGGATTGAAACAGTCAGCAACAATATTAGTACGCACACCTTTGGTGGTATTAATCTTGTTGTATACTTGCATAATTGTATGAAATAGGCAAACCATATTGAGCACAGTTGTGTGATTTTTGTTGTGTTCATTTGTGCAGCACTTGAGATTTTGTTAACCTTAATAGACAAACCGTATTGACCATATTTCTTTTGCAGGTCTCCTTCAAGACCAAAGTCTACCATCCTAACATCAATAGCAATGGTAGCATCTGTCTTGACATCCTGAGAGAGCAATGGAGCCCTGCCCTTACAATATCCAAGGTGATTATCATTGACATGGCATTGTAGAAATGAAACCAGTTAATTTTTATTTTAGTGCCTCCATATCTATTATTTGTTCTGTCCATTTGTCTTTTACAAGTTATCAAGCATCTTTGCCTTTATTTTGACTTTGAATATAGTAACAATCTAATGCATGCTGTATACGGATGTGTAGGTGCTGCTGTCCATCTGCTCCCTCCTGACTGATCCAAACCCAGACGATCCGTTAGTGCCTGAGATCGCCCATACATACAAGAACGATAAAGCCAAGTATGAAGCTACCGCTCGAGCCTGGACCCAGAAATACGCAATGGGTTAAGCTCCTATATATTCAGTAACATCAGCTGCTCTGCTAGCTAGCTACTTAGTTCCCCGTAGCTATTAATAATTAGAATTACAGAACATCCCAACATTAGCAGCTAGCTCTCCTAATGTTTTCCATTTTGTTTTGACAAGTGGCCAAGAATCTGCTCCCCGGCCCTCTGAATACTATTCAATTCCCTACCTAGTATATCGAAATCAAAATGGATGTCATACATGTTTTATCCAATGCAGTTTTTGTTTTCTGACTCTACTACCACTCTCCCTTGGTAATTTCTTCTTCTCAGATTCAAATGCTTGCTTCTTGAACTCACTATAAAACAATGCATTATTATATTGGACCACAGCAGTGAGGCATTGTTGTTGGGATCTTCAATATAATGTTACTATCACTATATGATTTTGTATGTATATATATTTTGAACAAGTGAACAGTGATGCATAGATCATATTGGGATCTTGGCACGTGGAAATGGAAGCAATTTCAGAAGATAGAGAGATGGTCCCTGGCTTGCAAGCTGGGATGTGGTAATAATAAGGGCATGATTGAATATGCATCCACCCCAATTTAATTCAAGGCGACAGAAAGAACTTCCTCCTTCTTGAAACGTCATTTTACACCACCTCTCTCCCCTCCTTTGGCAGCTTCTTCTTGTCCAAGTATTATTCCATCCTTCTCATTCTGTTGGGTTTTAATTTTACTGCACTAATTATTACTCCATTCCATTATATTTCCATTGAGGAAAGGATGGATTTCTTGGAATGAGAGCTGTGTCTGTTGCAGTTAGTTTTGGACGAAGCAACTAACTTATATTTATTATCATATATTGTACTCTCAGATCAGATGAGTTTCAAACCCACCAACAATAATTTCTTTTACTCGCCTATGTTCAGAATCTATCACTCAAGAACTAACTGAGCTGCTTGGCCGGATATGGTGAAGAGTGATGACAAGAAAATTAAATTTAATGGTGATGGGGTGCAAAATAAAGATGAAAAAGATAGTTACTTTAATCATTCTTGTAATGAATGGTAGAATTTAGATGCATATATAGGTAGAAAGAATTGAAGGAGTGATAGTGACAAGAAGGTGAGAGGGAGGGATCCCTTGGGATAGTGTTGCATGTGAAGTCTCTCTCCGCGCTCTTAATTGTGGTTCCAGGTTGACAGCGATCTCTCTCTCTCACATTTTCATCGTATAGTACGTACACGTACGTTGTTAAGTTGTAAAGTAGGGTCGCCTTCTCTCCTTGTTCCATAACGTTTTGCCTCCCCACTCCCCATGTCGGACCCTTCTGCCATCCTCACATGCCTCTCAGCAGATACATTTTTTATTTTTTTTTTATCCAACACCCAACCCCCTGCAAAATATTCACTTTTTCCCCACTTTCTGCCACTATTTCTTTTAACTTCTTTGGGGCTACATCACACATCTCCATTTATTTGATTCAACCAAATCTAGCTGCTATCTTTCAAGATTTCTTCATATATATGCCCCAAATTAAAATAGATTTCTCTGTCCGATGACTCTTATACATAAAAAGGGTGTTTGTTAAATAATTATTAGTTGATTGGGTTAGTGAATTTGATCAGTTGATAGTATTGATTTATTGTAGAAAAAGGTTTGGTAAATTAGCCGGCTGATTATACACAAAAAGACTTTCTCAAAAAGATAATCGAAAAAGCTGTTATATATATATATATATATATATATATATATATATATATATATATAAAATTGATTCTTCCATGTATCTTTTGGTTTCTCTTTTGCATTCTTAGATATTTTCATACTTTCGAGTAATGATAATTCAAATTCTTTATAATTACGTGATTTCACTTGTTATGTTATATCTTAACTCTTAAGTCTTGTGCTCAAAATTATCATATGGTGTATGTTCATTCTGTATACAATTTGTTGGTGGTCATCCTTCCACTACCAACATTCTTAAAAGTTATTAAAACACTATTGGGGTGAGGATAAAAATTTTTAAATGGGCAATAGGGAAAAGATTGGGGACCAAAGGGAAGATAATGGGAACAAAAATAAATTTGTCCTTTTGATCCTTTGATTTTATAATATGTCCAAAATTTGTACACAATATATTAGCATTTAACGAAATTAGGGATTGAATCACAAATGTCCAAACAAATTTTTATTGGTTAATAAATTTAAAATAAATGAGGCTAAAATTGTTAAACCTGATTTTTTTTTTTTTAGGTTCATTATGGCGTGATTAGTTACATTCTAATACGGAGTAATTGTTATCGCAACAAAAACAGATTTAACTCAACTACTATGAATTTTGAGTCGTTTAAACAAGTTGTAAACTCTAAGTATGGTTTGATTAAAATTCGAATGAATTAGTCTCACACATCTAAATACAGATATTTGTATGCTATTAAAAAAATTATATAGACTATCTATTGGTATTCTTAATTTGATGAAATAGATAATTATGAACAACTTAAGATAGTTTATGTCTTTTTGGTCATTTGTCAACTAAGGTATAATATAAGCTTCACCTTAAACACATTAAAGTATCGGCGGAAGATTTCATCGTAAATGAAAGATAATTGTGCACTATTTTTTTTTTCTTTTTTTTTTAAAGTTTGGCATATTTCATATTGTGTCATGGGGAGACAGCACTTGAATTTGTGGTGGGGCCATTAGGTGTTAGATATTGGTGCATATATCACACTAACGTCAAATCTGCTACATGTTTCTGACTTTTGCTTTCCACCCATTCTACATTACAAATTTGTAGCTTCATTTTAAATTATTTTATTATTTATATTTGATTGTTGTTAAACAGTAGTTATTAGGAGTATCATATCATGTTTAGGTCAGTTCATGATTAGGATAATGTTAGATCGTTTCGTACGTTAGCATACAATTTGACTAATACGGAGTATTTATTTATATTCTTGTAAATGGAGTATTCTAACTGATACTTTGTAGTGACAAATAATATATTGTTTAGATATTATATTTGCATGTAATCGGATGATTGGTTGAAAATGACAGGATTTAACGTGTGTGTATGTATAATGAGTTTATGATATTTTTTTTTTATGTGTTTAAAATTTTAAATGGTCTTAATTTGTAAATAAGAGTGATATAATAATGTGTGTGGTACAATGAGGGGACTATAAAATTAAATACACGGTGATTGAAAATTTTGAGTAAATATGGTTGGACAATTCTGATCAGATGTAATATAAGATAGTACAATTAATAATATTGTCATAGATAAGAGAGGTAATGAGTTATTTATATTGGATCGATCTAAATAATATGTTTGTGTCGTGATAACAGTTTGTAAGTGGGTTGATATGATGTGTATTCTTTAATTGGTCAATGTGTGAGTTATGTGGCGCGGTAGTGTTTTCAAATGGTTATGGCCGCAATCTAATTTAGTAGCGTGACAAGTATAAATATATTAGACTTATTCTTACGAGATAGTTAATGGTATTTGTAGTATGGAATATGGATTGATACAAAAATGGGAATATATAAGCATGATGTGATATCTCACATTCCTGGAAAGAAGCTGCCCAAACTACCAACTAACCTGTACCTAAATTCCTGCTAAACAAACTACCAAACCCAACATTAAATGATGTTTCTGCTTCCCCATACGAATTACCCAACAAAATTTCAGATAATTATTACCCAATCATTTTTTTAGATCAATTGATCTTCTCCTTTAAAAAAGTAAATATTATTCTGAAATTTGAATCTATGACTTCTTATTTAAGAGAGATCATAAAGTCACGATATAAGAGTCTAATAAGTATGCTAATTAAATAATATCAACGAGGAAATATTCTTGGAGTGATTTTTTTTCGCAATATATTTATTTATTTTTAAAAATAGGAAAGTAAATATATATTAATTTAATAACAAAAAGTTACGGCGGCAACTGTAGAAAGGGAATAAAGTGAAAGTTGAAAATTTATGGGGAAGAGTTAAACATACAGAGGGCATAGTAGGAAGTCAAAATAGAGAATGGCATACTTTTGTACTTTTTGCTGTCATTTACAGTTTTTACGTATTATGGCACCACACAGTCAAACCACATCGTTACATTTTCCTATTTACATAGATGAAATGTTAATATTACGACATAAATTTAAGAAAGGAATATAATATAATATTACTCTAAATTTGAATAATTGTAGTTAAAAAAAATATAACAAAACTATAATATCGTACACAATATATTATCTGATTTATCGTATATTTGTAATCTCAAAATATGATAATATGATAGTTTTAATCTATTCGTATTAATTAAATAAATGCGCATTAATAAATGAACATATTTGTGAGTTGCGTATTTCTAAAGCTCAAAGAGTATTAGTACGACTATGAATAGGATTCCAAAAACATTCCGGGCTCTAGGATAATTCTATAAAATTGGGGGTGCGAGTTCAAATTTCCGAAACAAAGCAAAACTGTCGACACGTAGCGTCAGAGCGGGTCGACAAGTGAGCAAAGAAGGAAATAAAGAGGCGCTGGAAGATTCAGAAATTTGGTTGAGTGCGGGGGAGAAAGGAAAAGGCAGAAAGAAAAAGAAAAATTAAAGTTTTAATTTTATCAGGTTTTGTTTTTGATAATTATTATTATATAGTAAAGATAAAAGCTCTGAGATTAAGATCTTTCTTTTTTTTCCATTCCTCATTCCCAGCTAAACCCAGAATTTTCTCGAGGAAAATAAGGAACTACTCTACAAAGTTGTGATTTTTATTGTTTCCTATAAAGCTGCGAATAATTTGGTTCCAGAAGATCATCGGAGTAGCCGACATCCTTGTGATTTAGCTCACTTCTTTTGAGGTTTTGGTAAGCTTGTATTTTCATCATGCCAGCGTATAGATATAGATGTTTACAGGGGCACAATGTTTAAAGCTTGCTCTTTTTTGTTCATTTTTGATATTGGGTATGGAGGTGAAGTGAGATCTGCGGGTGTAAGTGAATTTTACTGGCATTCTTAAAACTAATTGAATTTTAATACGATGAGCTTTGATGTTCTGTGAATGTAATTGTTTGATGATTTGAATGCTTGGGTTTTGCCTTTTTTATTGTGTATTTTTATGTTTTTTTTTTTAAATTTATTTATTGAGATTGATTCCTAGCTGAACAAATAGAGTGGGGGTGGATTAGTCAGCTTTGGCAAGTTTTGGGAATGGCACAGGAAACATTTTCATGGATTACCCACTTGGATATGATGTTTATACTTGATTTTGATCTGTGTACAGGGGGTATTAATGAAGTTCTGTAATATTGGAGCAATCTGAACTCTAAAGCTTGATTCTTTTCTTCTGTGTTTGTTCTTCTGCTCTTGGATAAGATGTCAGGTATAAGCTACCATTTTAAGTTCTTTTTATGTGGCTAATTTATGACTGGTTAAGAAAGTGTGAGCTCATGTGTGTGTTTATGCTTGGGGTAGAGGGACTGGAATTTTATGACGAAACAAGAGAGCGAAAATCGGATGTTGAGAATTCAGAAGATGAGAGGCGGCGATCTGGAATTGGAGCATTGAAGAAAAAGGCAATAAATGCTTCCAGCAAGTTAACTCGTTCACTCAAGAAGAGAGGAAAACGGAAAATAGATTACAGGGTTCCTTCAGTTTCCATAGAGGATGTTCGGGATGCGAAAGAAGAGAGTGCTGTAAATGAATTGCGTCAAAAGCTTCTTGACCGAGATTTACTGCCAGCCAGACATGATGACTATCACACACTCTTGAGGTTCGAGAGTAGTTTGGTTGTTTTATGTGCTGTTCCAGGATGCCTGTGATTTAATGCAAGGCTATTCAAATGCTTTTTGTGCAGATTCTTGAAAGCCAGAGATTTCAGCATTGACAAAACCATTCACATGTGGGAGGAAATGCTTAACTGGAGGAAGGAGTTTGGAACGGACGCAATATTGGATGTATGTATCTCTTGGAATGTGGTTTGCTAAAATCATATGCACCAGAATTTTAATTGTTCAAATTACCTTCTTTCCGACAGGATTTTGACTTCCATGAGCTTGAAGAAGTATTGCAATACTACCCTCAAGGGTATCATGGTGTTGACAGGGAGGGCAGACCCTTATATATTGAAAGGCTTGGGCAAGCTCACCCGAGCAAACTAGTGCGGATAACCACAATAGAACGGTACCTGAAATATCATGTCCAAGAGTTCGAGAGGGCCATACAAGAAAAGTTCCCCGCCTGCTCTATTGCAGCGAAGAAAAGGATCTCCTCAACAACTACAATATTGGATGTGCAAGGCTTGGTATGTTGAGTTTTCTCCCTTTTGAAAGATAATTTTACTTTGTTATATACTGTAGCTTGTCCATTATCTTCTCTGAACGAGACCTTCATTTGCTAGAGTTAATTCCGTAATTTTAACACTATGAAATCAATTATTGATAGCTCAATTGGCATAAAAAACTATTCTTCATTGTGCAGGGAATGAAGAACTTCACAAAGACAGCTGCTAGTCTTTTGGCAGCTGTGACAAAGATTGACAACAATTATTATCCCGAGGTATTATTACGTCTTGAATAATAATTGCAAGTGCATTATTACTATTTTTATTGCCAAACATTACCTGCAGAAGTAGCTTGATTGATTTCCCGATCTTTATTTTACCATATAAACTGCAGACCCTGCATCAAATGTTTATCGTTAATGCTGGATCTGGCTTCAAAAAGATGCTTTGGCCTGCTGCACAGAAGTTCCTGGATGCAAAGACCATTGGTAAAATCCAGGTAGAGGCTAAGTTTGCCATTTACTTAATTTCACTTTGTGTAGTTTTCAAATAACTATATTTTGTGTTTTCATTTGGTGAATTTTCAACTATATTTTGTGTTCAAATTATCATGTGTAGGTCTTGGAATCTAAATCCTTGGGCAAATTGCTTGAATTTATTGACCCAAGGTTGGTTTATTTTCTGTGCTCTGGATCTGTGGTATCACATACGGACAATAGAGTCATCTCATATCTGGATTTCTTCTGTTTTCTTCAGTCAATTGCCCGACTTCTTGGGTGGGTCTTGTACTTGCCCCATTGAGGGAGGCTGTCTAAGGTCTAACAAGGGTCCCTGGAGTGATCCAGATATAATGAAGGTGCCTACATTAGATATAAACGCGTTCTTCAATCACTTTTTGTGTCATAATAATAACTATATTTGTGATGGGAGTTTGATTACAATTTTCCTCTACTTTTAGCTTGTAAATAATGCGGAGGCAACATTGGTGAGACAGGTAACTAGAGTACGTAGTAACCAACAGAACATTGATTCCTATTTTCAGATCTGCCCACTGAAGGTAATCCTTTCCTCTACTTTTCGCTTGTTTATTATGCATAAGCCTTGTGCCTCATTGTACACTTTCGAGTTTCGAGTTTGAAACCATTTGAGTTCTTTCAGTGTGATATGGTACTTTATTTGTTTAGGGGAGAATCAGCGATAAATCAAGAATTGAATCCTTTTCGGACATTGATGATCCCTATGCTCTGTGTGAACAAAGTAGCAGCACGTGTTCAAGGCTTGCCCCTGTTCTTGAAGAAGTGAGTGTCGTAATCGAATATTCCTAATTAGCGAGAGGAAATAACTTATATAAGTGTGCAATTCTGATTATTCATATATGTATTTGTTCATTTGCGTTGCGAATCTCTGGTTCATGTAGGCAAGGGCATTGAACTCAACTCCTTATTATAGTTGTGATGATGGCTTAAGCCCGAGTGATAGAGAAATTGGCAGTGAGCAAGTATTACAGCATTATCGAGCTCACTCATCTGGAAGGAATGATATGGATTCATATGCTGATGGAGTACCAAATTCTCAAGGTATTTGTTTCAATAGCCGTTATCTTCGAAAGAGCTACTTTATACATTAATTCTTCTTCTTCCCTAGCCAACTCGTTCTAGTGAAAGTGTGAAATGTGAATTCCAACAACCAACCGAGCTAATATAATGGGTTTCGTCTTTGCATTGATAATAATATGGGTACTAGGTGCTGTTTTGGTTCATTGGTTAGATGACATCCAAGAAAAGCTCGTGAGCAGATGTTTCGGCTATTTGACAAGAAGAGTGATATCTTCGACACTCAAACTGTTTGCGACTATCCGGACTCTCCCTTTTGAGTCGTGGCGGAGACAGACAGACGTTTACCCTTCTAGTGCATTGGAAGAGAAGCACGATTCTCATTTACCTAGTAATAATGAAGCTGCGAGTGAAGAAGACCATTTCCATCCATGTATCGAACGCCTTCAGAGGCTTGAACAATTAATCGAAGAGCTAAACAAGAAGCCTACCGAGATGCCATTGGAGAAGGAGCAAATGCTGCATCAATCCTTGGACAGGATCAAGTCCGTAGAATATGATCTAGAAAAAACAAAGAGGGTAAGCTAGCATTCGTTCTCAATGAACATGATTTATTGTTTTTAATGTTATAGACCATTTGGTAATCATATATTCCACAGGTACTACACACAACGGCAATGAAGCAGCTCGAAATTACAGAGTTGCTGGAGAATTTACGAGAATCCAGCATTCGAGTATGTGAACTTTCCCAAATTCAGATTTACTGCTCTCATTATTGATTAGATTGAATAGATTGACATGATTAGCTACCTGAGTGTCTTTTTCATTTTTACTTTCAGCGACGGAGGTTTTTGTGTTGAGTTTTTATAGTTGAGACTCGAGGTTTCTAACAGAGACGAGTGTTACTGCTAACCCTGCGATAATATGGTTGTTTGGCTCGTGCACACTGGACACACTTCAAAAATTACAGACCTTCGACAGGAAGAGTTTTCAACAGACGAGAAAGAGTATTACTGCTAACCATACAGCAACAAACAAGGATGTTGGGCACATGCACACTGGACAGACATTGCAATGTTGCCAGGAAGAGCTCTCCCCCATATCTTTGTTCCTCCCTTTAAACTTATCTACAATTCTCTTGTACAAAACCTGCAGTGATAGGATATGATAGCTCCCCAGGATATTCCTCATGCAGGTTTGAGACTGTCAAAGTTGTAATGCTCCGTTTTCTTCTTGTTTACAATGATGCATACTAAACTGTTTTAAGCTTAGATTATGTATTTACGTAGCATTATAAAAATAAGCTAGAAATTTCATCTTTTTATCTTTATTATTTTAGTTAAATGACATCATTTACTTTTCCCATTAAAACCTTTTTGACATTTTTTCACCTCTTATTTAATTTTGGGAAAAAAAATATTTTATTTTTCAATGCTTTATTGAGACCACTTAAATTGTTACAAAATGAGTTTGAGGTTATTTATACTTATTCCACTCCTCAACGGACTGTGAAGATTTACTTGATCACATAATTATGATTATACTTTTAAAATCCTCCTTAAAATTCTATACAATAATATGATCAAGTTGTATATTGTTTTATAAGATTTTATAAATTTTTATACTTGAAATGTTAAATTTAATATGTAAACAAACTTATTTAAATATAAAACTATTTAAATTGTATGAAAATGTCTTTTTTAATCTTTTTATATTTATCAATTTATAAAAAAGTTAATTTTACCAAACAGACAAACAATTTTAAGTATAATCTAACTTAACAATTCTTCAGTTTTATAGCCATAGTATGCACATCTTTCTGGTTATAAGACTGAAACCCGAATGTGCAACTCAATTAGTTGGCCACAGGAATGATGTTTGGGAACAAATACGGTCACACTCAATTGAGTTACCATAAATTTACATCCGGAAGGTGTGGGGGAATGTACAACATTGGACAATGTAACTAACTTCCTGTTGGAACCTGATGGTTTTCATTAAACTTTGTGAAACTGAAAAGAAAAGTACTGCTATGGCCGCAAATTAAACAAACATTGATCAAAGTATCCTGGAACAAGATTTAGTTTGTTTAAATAAAAATAATCAAATGGTAATAAATAAGAAGAATCTTGATTTTTGTAAGACAAATGAATGGAGAAGCGCAGAAACCTGTTTTGTTTTCTACATTTTTTCATTTGCACTTTGCCTTTCTCCTCTGATCTCTTCATTTTCTTTGTAAACACAATTCTGACGCTTCAATTCTCTGATAATATGTGCTCAAGTCATATTATCAGAATCTAGATCGAGATCTGTCTTCAACTCTTGATAAAAAAAGAATATAATATACACAATCCCACAATTATTACTATATCCATACATGATTCACATCTACATACATGCCTTGTGTATAATGTATTTAATCCCGCTTATTAACCAGATGAGCAGAAATGGGGTGGCTGCAGAATTGTGATTATTCTGCTGTTATTCTACTTTCATTTCTCTCTCTATTTACAGGCCATTGTTATGCTTCAGGTATGCGTGTCTTAGCAGAATCTAAGGTTTGGTCATTCTGTTGTTTCCTTTTTTGGAAAATTCTATGTGGGGTTTGGATAAAGCTTTTTTCTTTGATCTGCTAATTAGTTTCCTTTTTATCCATTACGGTTTTTGGTTTCTCTTTTCATCTTTCTGGGTAGCTTTAATGATATGATGTTCTTTTTTCTGCAGACTTTTTTTCCATTGGGAGAACCCTCCTTCAAAGCAAGAAACGTAATTTCTTTCTTCCACCATACATACATTCTCCTTCAAGAGGCCGAGAGGGTGACCAATCACGAGTTTGATTTTTTTCAACGTCCTCTTGGTCGTACCCATCGCGCACACAATCTTTTTAAGGCGATTTATCTTTTTATGTGTGATTTAATTTGTCTCTTTTTTATTTATGAAACTGAAAATACTATTTGGTTTTCAGCTTGCCCAGTAAACTTTGAGGTTCAGAATTATACAATTATCACGAGCGAATGCAAAGGACCAGAATACCCTCCGAAGATATGCTGCAATGCGTTTTTAAGGTTCTCTTGTCCGTACGCTGACGTCATCAACGACAGGACGTCGGATTGCGCCGACACCATGTTCGCTTACATCAACCTTTACGGCAAGTACCCGCCGGGAATTTTCGCCAGCGAGTGCAAAGGAGATAAGAACGGCATATCATGCAAGGACGTGCCGTCGGGCGTTAGCGGCGGCGCTCTTGCCCCGTCTCCGCCGTCTCTGCTGCTTGCACCACCATTTCTAGTGCTGTTTTTGTGCTTCGTCTAGATGCCTGAATTTTTTTTTTTTTTTTTATTTTTTAGTTTTTCAGAAATTTCTCTAATTTTTTCTAGGCAGTTGATATATCTTATAGGATTATACAATAGAGTTGTAATTTAAGTATTTTATACCTATAGTCCTATAGAATTTAATTTTTAAATTCAGCTGTATATATATTTATATTTTGTGTATAATCGAATTATGCGCTATTATATTAGTCTTAATCCATTCGTAATCTGACACGAAATGCTAGGGAAGACAAGCATGATTGAGTAATTGGACATTGTTTGGTGCACAACCGGTTTATTATTTTAGCATACACGATCATAATCACTATTATAATTTAGAGCATGAAATGTTGGGTAATACTAACCTTATAATCTTAGTATACAAATGACTATAATGAGCTAAACCAACTTAGGTTATTTATAATTAATCGACTTAAACTAATAAGATCAATATATAATGCTTTAATTAAAAAATAAATTTAAAATTTTGTAGGTACGAAGTCAATAGCCTGATTATATTATTTTTTTAAAGAAAAGTGATAAAATTATTGAATAGTAATATATTAGTAATTGCATGCATCTTAGTTTTCCAAGGGAAATGAGATCACAACCACAATTCCCCTGGTTCACACAACCATTTTCTATGCAGAAATTAAGAGTTAATTCTATTTTTTGTCCTAGATTTATAAGTGGCAGTCCATTTGAAATTTTTTTATATTAAAATATTCACTTTTAGTCTTAGTATTATTGTGACATGTCCATTTTTGGTCCTTTATCAACAAAATATTTTAAATATCGTTAAATATAAAGACATTTCAGTCTTCAATTATGAATTTTTTCAAAAAAAATAAACATAAAAAATATAGCGTTTCAGCCTACTTTGATTTAAAAAATTAAAATGTCTTTGTATTTAACGATATTTCAACGATTTTGTTGAAAGATGGCTAAAAATGATCATGCCATAATAATACTATGACTAAATGAGGATGTTCTAATAAAAAAAAAAAGGACTAAAATGGACTATCACTTATGATAAAAATAAAATTAACTCCAAAACTTAATTATGAAACATTTCTATGTTAAAAATTATGTGTGGACCCCATGCACTTCAATCTTTTATTTATTGTTTGATGTTATAATCCATTTCATAATCAAATTTCAATCTAACTCATTATCAAAGAGTTATCCCTACACTACCATTCTATATTCACAATACTTTCTTTATCTCATATCTAATATATACTAAAAATAGCCCAAGAAAGTTATACCTATAATGGGTATAAAAAATAACCGTCAAATTATTAAATCAAATGAATAATTCAGATTGTTCAACTTTTAATTTTTCTTTGACATTTCTTCAGTTATCCTTAATTATATGATTATCCCTTAACTTTTCCATTAAGTATTATCCTCTCCGTTAATTTCTTAATTCACTGTTAACATTGCCTAAAAGTCCTTATAGAATTCTAATATTAAAGTCTTTAACAGAACTCTAACTCACAAATCCTTATAGAATTATAACTACATCATTAGTCTAATTCTAATAATAAAGTCTAATCTAGAATTATAACTACACAATTAGTCTAATTCTAATATTAAAGTATAATATAGAATTATAACTACACCATTAGTCTAATTCTAATATATAACTACATCATTAGTCTAATTCTAATATATAATTACACCATTAGTCTAATTCTAATATTAAAGTCTGATCTAGCCTGGGCAGCTCTACTGGTCATAGGGGTGAAGTTTGGGAATAATGACCATGGTCGAGTCTCACCAGCGGCAGTGTGGGAGCAACCTCTCAAAGTGAGAGGGGCTCATTGTACGCATTAAGCAAAGGTCTAGCCTCTATGGTTCGGTTGAGTTACTATGATTTCTATGGTTTGGTTGAGCTACCATGATTTACATCATCTCTGATGCTCTGGGCCGGGGTGTGGGGGGCCCTTAGGGCTACACCATTAGTTTAATTCTAATATTAAAGTATTAATTAATAGAACTCTAACCCACAAATCCATTAGTCTATATATTAAGTCATTGCCCACCAGGACTATGTGGTCTAATGGTATCCGGGTTGGACTTCCATTTAGAAGGTTGTAAGTTCGAGCCTCAGTGGAGGCGTTATTAGCTCTCTGTGTTTCAGTAGGTTGAGAAAGTATATGAACAGATACTACAATGTAATAGAGCTAGTAGCATTCAAAAAAAAAAAAGTCATTGCCCATTGGTTAGAAGTGCAAACCTAATTTATTATGCAACACAACATCAACGGTGAATTTTGTGTTGAGATTTAGTCTGATCAGACACAATATCAACGGGATTAACGGGAAATTATGCAGGTATGTTTCTATAATATTAAAATAGGTAATTCTAAGTTTACAAATGCAACATAATATAGTCAAAATTGATTATAAGTGTCAATAAAATAATTGTACAGGTATGTTTCAGTCTCCCTTATGTCCCGCATTTGGTTTCAAGCATACCCATACAATTATTTTATTGACAATTATAATCAATCTTGACTATATATATTATCTTGCCTTTGTAAATTTAGAATTATCTATTTAAATATACAAATTCAATATTCAATTATCTATGCATGAACAACTTTAAAATAATCATGCCTTATACTTATTTGAAATAAAAAACATTGAGCATTATCCCAATCGTGCGATGCCGTAAAAAACACTAGTGTTTTAATAAATATCCTTTTCTATTTTATATATATATATATATATATATATATATATATATATATATAGAGAGAGAGAGAGAGAGAGAGAGAGAGAGGGGAGAGAGAGGCAATTGGCAAGGAGTCCAATTTTAAATTTCAAAATTGCTTTATAGCATGGAGTATTGTCCTATTGGCATTACCTTTATGCAAGGGAAATAGAACAAACCATTGGGATTGTAAGGCCAAAGTACAATTAAACTCATAAGTTAGGTATACATTTAATAGTTTACTTGATATTTATCACTCTCACATAAATATACGCATGTTACAATTGAGATCAATCTTAGTTAAATTGATCGAACAGTTCACTTGATAATCATCAAATTCTAAAATTGACTCATGTGGAAATTGTTTATTTGTTTTTTTAGTTTGAGTTAGTCAACTATTAACAATACAGACCGATTATTTTCATTATAATTTTTTACCAATTAAAATTACAATATTGACTTTATTTAAAACACAGATTAGAGTAATAATTTTGTGTTTCTCATAAATAAAAAAGACCGCGTATATATAATTATATTATATAATTTATTTATTTATATAATATAATAGTTAGAAAATTTATATAATTTTTTCCAAAAAGATGAGAATATTATAGGCCTATGTAAAAAGAATTATAGTCCGTACATGTATTTATTGAGATTGAGATAATAATATATAAAAGGAAGGAGGGTAGTCGTCGGTACACAATTCACAATTCACAATTCACAATTCACAATTGGGTATAATGTGCGTAACCGACTTGTATTTCTACGGCAAACCTGTCACTTTCCTTCCCATTTCTTAACAGGGACGACTCACCCGCGGATAAACCCAACCCTAACTCCGAGGCTTTTTGCGATCTGCTGGCCAGGAACTGCAATTCCCTTTTCTCGCTACGCTAATTTTGATTACCTTCTTATATATGGTGATGTCCAATTTCCCGATTTCGTGATCGAGATCAACGGAGCTCGACCATTTTTTCCCTTAGCCCTTTCGATTTGCGTTAAGGTCGGATTTTTATCAACTATGCGTGCTTGTTTTGGCATGTGGGTTTGGGTAATTAATTGAATTGTGCTGCTTTATGTTCGTGGTAATTTGGTTTTGATGTTTTGGTGTTTTCTTATGATTTTAGGGTTCGTTATAATGTTAATTTTTGTTCCGGCTGGTTTGTTGTTTCCTTAATTCGGAGGATTTTGAATTGCCCTGAAATTTTGTGCATTTTTAGGGTTTTTGGCTGTGTGGTTATTGTGGAGTAATTGTTTGATTGGACATTAATATTATATGATATCTCTTTTAAGATTGATACAGAGGGATTATTAGGTGTTTATTGATGATGGGATAGAGGATGAAGATCAGTACCTTTTGCTTTGTTTTGTTTTTATCCCTGGCATGTAGTAGGCTCCAAATTCTCTTTCATTCATGGGTTAAACCTGCATATTTTTTTTTGTGATTTCAATGCTGGAATATATGTAATTTGCAGGGCTCTTGCTCAGGGCTTAACCTATGTTTTTTTCATTCAGGTTTGACAGTAAATCATGTCTCATCAAGGGGATGATGCTGATTACATGGCCGATGAGTATGAAATGGAGGATGTAGATGATGATATGGACGACGAGTTTCATGGCAGAGAGGAGATGGCTGCCTCAGACTCTGAGGATGATTTTGACTACATGGTCTGTTCACATGCATGTGAAATTAAATGATAAATTTTTATCATGATTTTTTTTTTTTTTTTTTTTTTTTGTTTCTATTGTATCTGAAGTTCATTCGGTTTGTTTGGTTCCAATATAGAACAATAAATTTCAAGATACATCTGCTGCTGAGGCCAGGAGAGGGAAAGACATCCAAGGGATTCCCTGGGAAAGGCTTAGCATAACAAGAGAGAAATACAGAAAGACTAGGCTTGAACAGTATAAGAACTATGAAAACATTCCTCAATCTGGGGATATATCAGAGAAAGTATAACTATATCTGTCTTTTGGTACTCTTTTCCCTTGTACTTGGTTTGTTTTCATGTGTTTAGTCCTGATGCTATATCCTTTATGGACAGGAATGCAATGCTACGGAAAAAGGAAATTTATATTATGAGTTTAGACGCAATGCAAGATCTGTGAAATCAACAATTTTACATTTCCAGGTAACAGTTTCTTATTGAATTTCTTAAGCACTGTGCTTCATCACTCTATGCATGGACCATTTTCTTGCCCTCATTGGTCAGTAGGAATGAAGGACCATTCATAATGTGAAAAATGCATGTGGAATTCATGTTCTTTTTCTTTTCAATGCTGGTTTGGAGGGAT